TAGAGAATATATATATTAATATTAAATATTTCTTCTCTATATATTATATATAGTATAGGAAAATATCCCCTACTTACTCTATATAATATATAAAGTATTAAGACTATTACTTCTAGAGTATTTAATATATTATAGCTTAAAAATAACTAATATATTAATATTTTATAGATCTACTATTAGAGTATATTATATAGTATAAAAATAAAATAAGTTAGGATAATAGGATTTTACTTTATTTTACTTTTTAAATCTCTTTTATTATTCTACCCTAATCTATATATATACTTAGAATAGATAGATACTAGAGTGTTTTTTACTTAGTTCTAAGGTACTATAGACGTTAAATAAATACACACACACACACATACATAGACAATGAACGCAGCAGTTAGGGAGCATGTTGAAATCTAGAGGCACCTCACCATGTCGCTCAAATGAATATGACTCTCCCAGCTGCTCGCCTTTCTCTGGCTGCTTTATACCTCCTCGTGTGATGCACAAGGTGAGGTGGCCAAGCTTGGTGAGCAATGCAGGCCTGTCCACCGTTTCCGGGCGGCGCTTGTTATTGGCGTGTTAGTGCAAGCGCCAGCGGTTAGGCGCCAAGCCCGCCCAAGGTATGTACACTGTTTCAATCGCAAATATGATTCGCTGGTCACACCATTGTCAATCTCCTGGAAACAACAATAACTGCACGAATGATGTGTGTTCAGAGTACTTCATGAACATGGATATCTGGTTCCGGGCCTCTTTCATGGAAAAATGATTATTGAGTGAGAGCGTGTGTGGACACAGGGCTCCTCTACGGGAATTCAGCAATAATTGCCACAGATCTGATTCACTTGTCACCCAATCTCAGTTCTGAGATGGATAAACCCTTAAGGATGATCACCGTGGCTCTTATCGTGTGGCTGTACCTAATTGAATAGCATATGCCAGGAAAAGTCGCACCGCAACCGACGCTCACATTTCCCAGCCAGGTCGAGGATTGACCCACGCCAGTCTTGTCTGATGTGCTCAAAAGTACAGTTTAGCGGGTCTTACCGAAACTGCTGCAGAGGACTGCAACGATTAATTATAAGCCCTCTTCAGGTGTAATGTAGGCGACGACTATTACTGAGAGAGGAACGCTGTGTTGCAAGGGAGGAGAACGACTTCTAAAGCGCGGTTGCTTACGAATCATGTGTAGATTCCGGGCTTTTCATTAGGTTGCACGTCTACAGGTCTAGCGTTCTCACAGAATGATGCTCCATACAACCCCCTAGCATATCCCCCCTGCGCCGATGGCGATTTGTACTGAGTATCGACTCTTCAAGGAAAACAACGTGGTATTTATCAGTGAATTTAGCTCGACAATGCTACATATCCACGTTAAATAAAAATTTCCTGGTAGACCTGGTAGCATAGTTCCCGCTCGTTGTTCGTCAGGATTGAATTCAGAATTGAATTCATAATCCGGGCATGTAACGAGATCAGCTCCCGTAAATTCTGAAAAACCCCTAGACCTTGTGCTATTCTCTTGGCAGTTGCAGTTGGGTTTAGATCATTCTGATGGTACCAAGATCCCCTCAAGCTTAAACCCCTAGCATTTTAATGCCTTAAGTACTTTCTCAAAGTACCTTCCGCACACACTGCATATACACTGGCCTTTGCTGGGCGTAGACGAATATTCAACCATAAGAAGAAAACCGAAACTAGAAAGAATATAAGAACCAGTAGGTTGTAGAAGACAGACGACAGAAATTGAAAATAAATTTAAGAGATGAGATAATACAGCCAGTGAAAGTAGTAGAAAAATAGCGAGGCAACAAAGCTGGAGAAATAATCGACATAGCAGAGGCGTGCTGGGCGAGAGACGCGAGACTCAAGGAAAGGACAAGGCCAACCGCAACACACTCCAAGATATCAGGTTAACAGCAACTCAAAATCTCCTCTTCACTCAATCGTCTCCCAGCATACAGTCGGTAGTTGTTCGACCGCATCTGCAAAAGAACAACATGATCATTAGTTGATATTGATATCTCTGAATTGAGTCTAGAGAACTGAGGACAACACACCTGCAGCCTGTATTGGTGACCAAATCTATCTTTCAAAAGCTCTTGCAGCTTCCTCCTGTCAATATAACGTCCTTCGATCATTTGTTCTTCGCCATAGATTCGTCTATACGTAGAGGAGGATGATGTGGACGAAAATCCTGTGCTTCGTCGGCTTGACGCCGGGGAATAGGGATCGATGTCGCTCTGGAAAGAGTACGACCTTGGAGGAGGATAGAAAATGGCGGTCAGGTAGTTCATTCTCGGGAATGCACCTGTTTGCGATAGTTGCTCGTTAGAGATGCGGTCTCAGCGTCTCAGTATCAGCAGATAGAATAGTGTTGTGTGGTGTCGGACAGGCTCTTGCGCTAGGCTATTCCTGATGATGTGGACATGACCAGGTTCTTGAAAAGTTTGGGGGTGGCTGAGTGTCCTGTTAAATTATTGTTTCTTATTGCAGCACGTCAGTCTCACTCCCGAGTCTGAAGCGAACACCAGACTGCCTTGATCATAGACTGAACAAGGAGCTGGGCGATGCTGCGCATTGCATCTTCCTCGGAAGAAGAGATCAGCTTGACCATCCCGTCGATCAATGCTACCAAGCCAATCAATTTTGCAAGTGCATGGCCAAGCAAGTGTGTCTATGCGACCCGACGAATGTATAGGCTAAGTACCTGGACAAATTCTCAACACTGATAATGAGGGGTAGTTGATGCACGAATGGAAATGCAGGTTTCTGCTCGGCTTGGGCGTTCCTCAATGCCAGTATTCAGATAACAAAGGAGGCCGGTACAAAGTGATGTGGTGTGGTGAAGCAGGCTGTGGACTTCGTTCGGCTGTGCACCATTGGTGTTAAGAGGCACTGATTGGGCGAATACCGGACATCCAGCACGCCAGCCCGCACTGGGTTGCGTTGGTTGGCACCATGAAGCCTACCTAGATGGTGGTCCAATCTCACCGGGGCTTGCGAAATGTTGGTCGCACGCGGATGCTGCACCGGATGAAGGGAGTTCGGAACATGGGAGGTAGAATGGCATAATGCCCTCACTTTTTCTCTCATTTTTCATACTGCGGTAAAATTCCAGGCCGCAGCCTGATGTGGCCGCATGTGCTAAGGAGGCGATGCGTGTCAGCAAAACATGACTCGGCCTGCAGCCTGCAGTCAGGGCTGCCTCGCCGATCGCCAAATCGCCGGCTCTCAAAAGAACACTTCTGTCCGCTTTCTATTTCATCAACATAACTCGAAGTCAGACTCCATTCCCATGTCCAATCAGCCGTACATTAAACCGGAGACTTCCGACCATCATACCAATAACCATCACGATATAAAGTACCGAGCATGGATCGGGGTCAGAGCAAATCAACTGTAAGTAGTGATGGCAAATAAACCCTATGTTTGTTGATTGGACGAAGAGTATCGGGCAGCAGTGCTGATCCTCGGGCGATGACATGTTGGATGTATTGTAGTGCATCCACTGCATATGCATCATTCAACTTAAAGGCTGCGCGAGGTTGTGTGTTGGCAGAGTTCGCCCGCTGACCATCTCTTTGTGCAGATGCCGAAATTCGCCTCGAATGCCAACTGCCAATGCGTCTCACAACATTGTCACCATTGTGTTGGGGCTGCCCGAGACGAGGTTAGTCGCACACTGCTCAAAATATCGCAGAAAGACGTCAACGATAGCCGAAATCGCTTCATACCACGACGCCGGTTAATTTCCGAATTGAACCCCGGCGATGTGTTGAGATGGCTATCAAAATGTTTGCGATCTGGTATGGATGCCACAAGCATTCAAGACATCGCTAGTCAGATCAGTCCAGAAGGCGAAAGTTGTTGCCGATGCGGAAGTCCCATATGCACCGGACTTAGAATCACATTCGCATGTTTGGTGTTGCTAGGAAGGGAAGACTACATTGTGCCTATACAAAGATCTCAACACAACATCTGTGATAGCACGTGGCCACTTGAAGGCTCGACCGCCGATTTTCCAGCTGCTTCAGACGTTCGAAAAATCCTTACCTCCCTCGAAGGTACAGAAAAGGAGTTATTCATTCATCTGCAGTGGCAGATGAGATCTCCTTATTTCCCGAGTTTGACGCCGACTTCTCCCGACTTTGGTCATTTCATTATCCAGGACCAAGTAAGTTTACCCTGGACATCAACTATGGAGGTAGAAGGAAAGATGGGTGGCAAGTTATCATCTGTGCACAAAATTTGTATCCACGCAGATCATTGCGCATTTGTAAGTAACGGCTTGGCCTTTCCACGCGCATTTCGTGCATTTCAACTTTGACATCTTTGACACCCGGAGGCCCAACAGGAAGCAGAAGGCAAATCATTTGCCTTGAAGATACTAGAAAGAGGAAAGGTACTTACAGCTGCCGAAACAGCGTTCAACAAGGAAATGGCCGCTAATCAGCGAGCCACACATCCACACATCACCCCACTTCTTGCAGCATTTAAACATAGGAATAAGTTCTACCTCTTATTTCCATGGGCAAACGGGGGCAATCTTCAGCATCTATGGAGTGTTTACGAGCCTTATCCCGGTCTAGGAGGAGAACCAGCTCTTTGGTTCTCAACTCGATGGATGGCGAACCAATGTTACAACATTGCTGATGCTCTAGCTACTGTTCATGGCCAACCGTCAAAGGAAGGGGGCCATTCGATCCAAGCCCAGCTTCATCACGATATCAAACCGGAGAATATACTCTGCTTTGATGATTTCGAGAACGGGAGTAATAAATATAAGCTAAAGTTGACAGACTTTGGCTTGTCATTGCCCGCCGACAGCCAATCCACCTTGCAACCGAGACAGATAGCAGAAACAAAGTCGTATAGACCCCCCGAAACAGACATCGGGGCTCCTAGCTTGGGGCAGAAGTGGGATGTCTGGTGTCTGGGGTGTCTCTATCTCGATTTCATTACTTGGGCTGTTCTCGGCTGGTCTGGAGTGGAGTTATTCGAAGAAGCCCGTGTTGAAATAGACGATACCGATCCTGGAGGCTCAATCATGGAGGAAGGCGTGTTCTTCATCAAAAGAAGAGTGACTAAACGCGGGTGGTGTCTAGGGAGGGCCACCAGCAAGATTGTTGCAGCAATCAAGCCTTCCGTCACTTCGGTGAGCCTCCACAATCACTTCCCTTGCCCTAAGAAATATTGGAGTTCGCAAATTCGAACTTCTTCACAGTGTGGCGCTAATAGTGTGTTCGTGAAAGCATATGCAATACCTTCGAGATCATCCACAATGTAGTCCTGCTTTAGCAGGTTTTCTTGATTACATCAGAAGCAAGATGTTGGTTATTGAAAGTAATGAGCGGGACTCATCAAGCGAAGTCCGCGATTTCTTGCATATTTGGATGTCACATCAAATAGATAGTTAGGCCTGCTCGGTGGTGATAGCTTTCTCACCATAATTACTTGGAACGGGCCCGGGGCAAGGATGCTAGAACCTGTTTTCAGATGAGTTCAGAACTTCAGCATCTATACGGTAGGATTGAACACACGAGCCAATCGAGCGTTATAGAGATGTTCTTAATTGTCAGGTAAACTTGCATTGTCCACTTGGAATTGTGAAATTCCTGAACACAGGGAGATATCTAAAGTAACTTGGGAAGGAGGAGAGAAATCCATTGTCGACGATTCCATCAGCCTTACATTTCTTCAACCCTTTTGGCCTCCTCTTCTTCGAACGCCGTCATGATGTTCTCATGTTCATTCTTAGGTTTGTCATGGTTAGTCAAATCATCCGTTGACAAATGGTCAAATAAAACACACCTCCGTGAGTGGTCGAGGGAGCTGCATCTCGAGACCATTCTTCTTGGTCGCCTAGAGCTTGGTTCAACACGGTTCCGCTATCTAGCGATCGCATCACCGCAGTCGCCGATTATCACCTACCCTGATCCAAATATCCTTCTCGGGTATTTTGAACTCTATAAGCTTCTTCTTCAAAACGGCCAACTTGGCATAACGATGGGTCACGACGTCAGTCGCTCGGAATTCTTCGGGTTTGGACATCTCCGGGCGTTTTCGAAACAACAGGGGAACTGAGTTCTTGAGTCTCGTAATCAAGGACTGTCTATCTTCGACATCCATGAAGGACGAGTTTGGGTGCTTCGAGGCTCAAATATAAATTGCTGGGCTGGAGATGAGTGCCTGAAAAGAGGCTGCAAGAGGTTATACGACCTGAGGGAATACTTGTCTATCTTTGAGCGTAAACCATGTATCGAACCTCTGCTTCTATCAGATTCTAGGCCGAAATGTGTTATTATGTGCTGACAGAGCTCACCGAAATAGAGAAACTGTACGAGTCTGTGGCTGTGTAAATGAGGCATTCATAAGGCAGACTGTTGCCTTATTCGAGCAGCCGAAAGACTCCGAGGTGAAAGGCTTGCCGGGCGCACCTTATCAATAAGCCCAACTGCCAAGATTATCAGGACCCGTCCCGAGCGCACAGAGGGGCCTTAGAAGCAGGCTAAATGCAATCGATAGGGTTGCGACTCTTCTCGGTATCAGGCTTGAAGGACATCCATTGGTTGGAAAAAGTATTGTGGTGTCCCGAGGTAGACAAGATGTACTGCTATCTGCACCAGACTCCGCTCCAAACTGCACAAACCTTGCTGGCACATTCTTGAACTGGCTTGCATTGCATCTGCCGTCAGCACTGCCAAGTCTTGCGAGCCGTCAAGCCAATGAGGTTTCCGTATGGCGCATGGTCTGATAGGTGCAAGCATCACCAAGTCGCGCGATAGTTTATTGGAGCAAATTGGAATGGCAGTCACGTATAATCTTGCCGCGACCCCAAATCCTCAGGGAAGAGTTGAATGTTATTCCGCATCTATGAATCGGCATGGAGTGGCTGAATCAGGAAACCAAGTTTCGGGGGACCGAACTTAGTCAATTCCCGCTTTGCCCCAGCACATCATTTCACATTGTGCGACTACGAAATGAATCTCCCCATGTGAGTCGTCCAACTTCCATCCGGAGAACAAGCTCTAATACGCGATTTCAGACATCTCAAATCGGATTTGCGTACGAGATGCCCAAGTATGACTCTGGAAATGCTTTCGCCAGCTCGCTGGATTCGGTATGGCCTGTTTTGTTCATTGACAGATCCCTATCCCGCTCAGTTCTTAGAAATTCTAATTTTCAAGTAGAGGCCTCCATTGCAAGGAATTCCTAGCCAACCAGGACTCCTTCTTGTTATGCATTCAAGACCTGACGCAGGGTCTGAGATGGCCAGTGAAACTATGGCAATACCATACGAGCAAGAGACATTCCGCAGAATTGTCGATGGTCTCTACCAACATCGCTCCCTAACATTCCTCCTCGGAAGGACGTCCACTGCTGTCTTCAATACCAGATCGGTGATGTGGGGTTCTGGCGACTCAAAGAGTTCAGCAATCGGTACGTAAAGGCTTTTGCTTACTGCCAAGTGGGTAAATTTAGTCGATTCCGTACCTCAATAACCCCCTGTCAACTCGAAACCAAAAACTTCGGGCCGTGCCTAGTAACACGATGAGTATGACCAGTCTACAATTGCAAGTCCGATACAGCGTCGCCGGGCAAACAAGACGACATAGCACTGTCTGTGACACACTTTAGTGAACAACGAATGACGTACGCTATGATGTATGGATGTACACCGGGAACCATTAGTCGCGTTTCTTCGTGGCTCAAAATGTTCAAGGGGCAGGCTCTTCATCCATTGGTCATGCCATTGATATTTGTGGAGCTCGAACGCAAACGTCTCTTCAACTTCCTTGAACGTGAGCAATCAGCCCTTGAGAAGTGGATTCTTGACCTAGAACACAAACTTCGTCTTGAGTCGCAAGTCCCGAGGCTGGGGACAAACGACGTGGAGCTTGCATCTCAAAGCAGAGACAGTCAGTCGACAAAGCTATGGATTGATGTCAGCTCACTCAGAAATGGATTGGAAAGCCTGCGCGATCAGCTAGTGAAGATGATACAGCACTCTGAGGTCTTAGCGACAACAGTCTTCAAGCAGCCCAATGAAGGCAGTGATGACATTGACAGCCATTCAGAGGAGCGCACCACTGGCGAAAGGATCAAGACAAGGTTGTCGGAGATGCTCGCGGAGTTTGACAACAAGGTGAGGACTTGCGACAGTCTGCTCGGGGGAATGGCGTTGGCCGCACAAATGGTGAGTTACTGATCACAAGGTGGTCCATTCTGAGACAGACTCAATCATTGATGTACCGTATCTGTGTGCTTGATGACTGATTTGTTGTTCAGGAATCGAATTATTATACTAGGCGAGACGCACAAGTTGCAATTACGATTGCTCACGCCACGAAGAAAGACGGCAGCCAGATGAAGAGTATTTCTCACCTGGGGATGATTTTCCTGCCAGGCACTTTTCTTGCCGTAGGATATACCCAGTTTTGCCTCTTGATAGAGACATTTATAGGAAATAACAAGGCTAATGAAATGCTAGAGTCTATTCTCAATGTCTTTCTTCAATTGGACTCCCCTTGACAGCGCCCAAATTATTTCACCCTGGGTAGCCCTTTATTTTGTGTTGACGCTTATCGTCACCGCGCTTACCGTCTGGAGAATGAGGAAATGGATGGAAAGGGAGGAACAAAGGGCGATTAAACAGTTCTTGAAGGACATTGGCGATGCCGAGTCGCAGCCTCCAGGAAAATCCTGAATTCCTACAGCCGTGGAAGAGATCATGTTCATAATCCATCGACGATGCCGCCGGCAACAAGTGGTTGTTGCTGAGATATTCTGATGACTTGGTCTGCGTTGATGTATGATAGTTGGAGAGAGCTGGAAAGGGTAGACCCTCGAGATAGCGAACCGTGCTGACGGAGCAGGTTGGAACCTTGATAGTTGTGTGCGTTGCTTTAGGGTTGTATTAGCAATGCTGTTTGACGAAAGAGAGGGGGTGAACTTGGAACGCTCTCCGTTTGTCCACCATCTAATCCCCTTCCCTCAGACACAAAGACTTTCCACAAGACAGAGCAATAAATAGAGTTCCACCGAAGTGAGAAACAAACGAATTAGAATACACTAAACGTCACTCAAGATTGATGACCGTCGTTCGTAAATTTTGAACCAGGTTCAGAGGAAAAGAGGGCGTGATTGAGAGAGTGAGAGAAGCACATAAGACAACCGGGGCTAAATAAGGCCGGATCGTAATCCGAGATTGAGCAACAGGGTAAGGATAAAAGAGAGGAGAGAGAGGAGATCCATGGATGATACTAGAACGACTGGATAAAGTGGAAATCCGTAGTGGGCGTCTGACCCACTATGGCACTGTACCCCACCAAGGGCTTAGAGAACAGCGATACACCTGCCACAGGTACAGCAAGGTAACGTCTACGCGGCGTAGCGTAATTTTGGGGCGCCTCAGGCCGCAAGAGCGGTCCCTACCTGAGCGCGACCTTAAGGCGGCGGGTGATCCGGCCGCACCTGAACGATAGAGTGGCATCATGAGAGAACACTGAACAAGAGCTGCCATACAACAACGGATGACTGAAGGTGACTTCCCGGGACCGGCCCGCCGACCGGGGTTCGCGCCTTAGCATGCGGCGTCGATAAAGGGTAGAGACCCGGTCCCTGCTAGCGCTCCCGGGGACAGCAACTGTCGAATCACGGCCGGTCCATCCCATTGTAAACCGTTACCCTTACTCACAGTCATGTTGGAAGAGATGGGGTTAGCGTCATCATGTTGGTAGTCTGCAAACATTATGGGGCACGTTCATAGGCGAGGATGCAGAGTACAAGCGGTGCTATCAAGTATGGAGGCGACTATCCAGGCTTCGTTAGGTTGCAGGGCCAGCTGACGGTTGATGTTGGTGGTTACAACCGGTATTTTTCAATCACGGTTGTCGAGAACATCGAAAAGCCCCACGATGGCGTTCCTACGATTCCTTGGTCATACAGGACAGCCACCAAAAGGCACCCGGCAAACATAATGTCACAAACACTACAGCTCAGCAGACTTGATAAAGGTTTTTCTGACCTTGACGACCCTCAAGACTGAACTCTGACAGCAGTTTGAATTCTTCAACCTTCTCTCGGTGGTCCGTGTGTTTGTGTGGATGTTATGAGTAACCAACCAGGGAAAACTTAATCTCAGAGAAATAGGTACAGATTTACAAGCACGCGGTCAACTCTCTACCCTCAATGGAAGCAACGGCTTAGAAATACAGACAGATTTCTATGCCTCAAAAGTTCCAATCAAACTGAATCAAATACTTATACCACTAAACCCAGGCATCTTCGAATCTCCTCCGCTATTTTAAGACATAGAACGGTGACGACATCTTGGTGTTGAAGGGAGTGGCTAGTTGTGGAGTTGTGGAGAGACAGTTTCCCGGGCAAGGCAACTCGCGCCCTCTACCTCATAAGTAGCCATAGAGGTCTCTCTGCGAAGCCTAGGTTAGCCTAGGTTATCCTAGCCCTAGGACTTTTCCCGGTTAGAGTTATCCAGTAGTCACAAAGGTGTGCCTACAGGCAGCAAACCATTATAAAAGACCATAGAAGAGACGAGGGATCTTTCAGCCACCTCTTCTCATCTCCATACTCTTCACCACCAACACTGTTCTCGCAACCCCAACCAACATGCATCTCTCATCCGTGATTCTCGGAGCCTGCCTCCTCGCCATCGGCGCAAACGCCGACCCCGTCAAAGGCACAATCTTCTACGGCGTAAGTCGATTCCAGACACCCCCTTCAGTCAAGACGACCGGGGGACGACCCCCAAAATCGAAAGAAACCTCAGACTGACAACTACCAGAAATGCGACAAACAGACCAACATGTGCGTCATGATAAACTCGCTGAGGCCAGACACGAACTGGTCGCTGCCTTGCAAGTATCTCGTACGTCCCCCTAGCAGAACAAGAAAAGCAGCACCCACACAAACCCCAAACTGCTGCCCCCCCATCCCCTACCTCGTCTGTATCTCCCGAGGAAGAAACCGCTCTGATCTCCCTCGAACATTCATATCGCTAACACAACCCACCCCAAAACACAGTGCCACGTAGACGGCGCCGACTGCTGGTACGCGACCGACCGCACCGTCAGCGGCGTGCGCTGGCCCCCGTCGACGGACATGGTCTCCTGCAGCAACAACAACATGCCCCAAGGAGACAAGAGACCTTTCCCCTTCCCGGATCCTGAACAGTTCAAACCTTACTTCAAGGGCTTAGACCCTGAAAACTACAGACCTTACTTCAAGGGCGTAGAGAAGTTCGGGAAATGGTGAGGACTCGGTACTGGACCTTACACAATGAGCGTGTGCTGACTTCTTGAACGCAGGAGGCCGGGCCGCCGAGCCTTGGAGTTTACGGCTTGAGGCGTGCGATGGAGTCGATGGGTGTTTTTCGGCGCCGTGCTTGGAGAAGAGTGTAGGCAAGCCATCGGTGCCGATGGCTGAGTTTACCGATCGAGATTTCAGGGCGCGTTGGCGTTCAGGCAAACAGGGTATTGAGTAAGCGCTCGTCAGGCTTGAGTCCCTGGCTGGTTCAAGACGGCCAGGTAGGTTCACAAGCAGGGCACACCGCCGACCATAGAAAACACAGAGGTAATTTCTACACAGCCTTGATTCGTGATCCATGTGTCATATTTGTCTCCTGCGTAATCTATCGTGTGTGTCCCCAAACATCGGTCTCAAAGAGATGAATCGTTGTTTTGAACTATTGCGGGAGTGACGCGGCTGGGAGGCTGGTGAGACGTTTTGCGGAGCTTTTGAGCTGCTACAAACAAAACAAGAGTCGAAGGCCGGTCGGTACTCAGCATTCCTGATGGGCTACAGCGCCGAGAACTCCCTCACCTCCATTCGGGCCGTTATGTTTTTGATATTTTACGGTAGTAATGTGCATCTCATATCGGCCCGTAAAGCTCAAATACCTGCCTCCGAGGCCACTTCACCATCTCCAGCAATGCAGGATGCTCTGCCAGAATCATATCCGTGACCTCAAACAGCCTCCGACTCCACCCCTGCAGGAACCAATACCTCTGCTCCAACACGCACAGCGGGATCGCAAAGTAGGACAGCAGCACCATGCTAAACGGGTTATGTCCCTGAATATCCGTCATGATATTCTCCGAGATCACGTACGGCCAGAACAAGATCATGCCCACCTCAACGTTGGTCCCAGCATGCGCCATGAGGTAGATGGCCTTTTCTAGCTCCTCGACGGCCTTGAGGTATTCATCGCGGCAGCCTTCGCCAAGGTTTTCTCGGAAGAAGGTCGCAAGCTCTGTTAATGCTTGGAAAATGTCGGGGGGTAAGGGCGACAGATGCATTGGGGGATTTCTGTGGAACACATGTTAGTAGGTCTCGCGCATCAGAGGTGCTCGTGCCAGGGTCTACTACTCACCTGTAATTGGCGTCCTTAGGGTCTATTGTCCAGATACCGTACACCAAGGCGGCGAACTTGGTTTTGAGTAGGCGTCCTTGATATGGCTCCAGCACCGCACGAATGCCCCTCACAAACATGAACAACTCTAGGATGTTCGGAATGGCTTCTGTTTCGCTCCCCAGCCGCACGGGCACGGAGGATACATACATGACTACGATGGAGGCGAAGCTGAAAAACGTTTGCCAGTTGGTGTCATTGATATTGTGTAGCTCGACCCGAAAACCTTCGAGGCCAGCATTTTGGTGTGCCGTTGCAAGGTCAAGATACGTCTCCCGTTCTGGGGGTATTAAGTAGGCCTTGTGTAAGGCAGATATGGTGAGGATGCCGTGCATCACGAAAGGGCACGCGTACCCGATTTCCGGGAGATTCACGCGCCACACGTACTGCATGTCAGGACGGGTGGCTAGTGAGTTGGCGGTGGATAGTGTGTAGTGGTGCATGAGTTCCAAACCACGACCCCAGATTTCAATGGTCGGTGCCGGCGGGATCATGCGGGTACGGTCTGCCACCACGTCGAGGAAGCCATATTTAGAACGGGGGCTTGATCCATCGGCGGAAGACGGGGCGGGTGGCCGTTGGGGGTTGATGTCGCTGGGCGAGTTGCGAGACGTTGATAGGCTACAGACTATGCCATGTCTGGAACAATTGAAGCAGGACGGGTATGCCTCGTCGCACTGGAGCAGTCAGTGACACCATTCTCCATTGGCTCGACAAAATGAGAGTGGCGCCAGGGCGGGCGCAACGAAATAACGTTGCCGCGTGTTCATCGCGTGCCATGGTCCCGGAGCCAAGGGTAGACGTCGCTTACCTTTACTTTTCTCCGTTTGCAGTCCCTGCAGCCGTTGCGACTCTTTGTATGGGATCGTCGAGTTGCCATTGGATCGGTGGGGGCTGGCGGCCGATACCTTAAGTAGGAGGGTGTTTGTCTGATGTTTCGGACGGGATCTCTCCACGCAGCTAATCTTGACAGTTGACGAACCGCTACCAGAGGTATGTCTTGGTGAGAGGAAGGGCGACGGATGGCGTACGAACCCGCGGGTTCGGATCGAATAAGAGGAATCTTGGTGGCAGTCAAGCCAAGGAGAATGCGGATATGAAAGATGAAAACAGCGGGTCGATACGAGACAAAAGCGAATACTCGCAATTACGGGGCGTCTCTCCTTAGTTCAGCGGGTCTCCCGACGCTTGTCATGTCCCCGAAGGTCCAAAACCATGGGCATCCCAGTCAACTCGTCAGCCCTTGCGCCCGTAGTGCTGCCCAGCCGTACTCCGGGTGCCGTGATTGGTTCCGTATTTCGTACACTAGCTGTACGGTTGGAGGCTCCATCTGTCCCGATTCTAATGATACAAATACTCGGGATCGCGGGTCCTCTGTGGCGCAGTGATACTCGGATCTCACTTTATTGGAGAAATTTGTCCGTCGCAGGCGCCCAAGACCTGCCGTTTGGTGAGCAAAATGCCAATTCTTTGGCTGACAACAGGGCGAATGCAGCCCTTTCGATGGACCAGACTTGGCGCGTCGTCCTCAGGAGGGCGCAAGCATAACAAACGAGCGTCAACTGAGAGATAGAAATATCCCCAGCTTCCTCCTTGTTCATCGATCGAACATCCTCTCGACCTCAGCAAACGACTCAGACAACCGCAACGACATTCCTTACCACCAGTCAACTTCGTTCTTTGCCGTTGGCTGCCTTGCCCGAACCGATACGACGACAATCCTTCCCAAGAGACTGATTTCGAAACCACCACAATGGCACGAGCGTGCAATCCCGACTACGTCAACGCACAATGGGCCTTTTACCGATTTGAGCCCTCGACGGCGGCTGCGATCTTCTTTTGTGTAGTCTTCATCTTGACTACTGCGCTGCACCTATTCCAGATGGTTCGCACAAAAACGTGGTATTTGACTGCGTTTGTCATTGGTGGTTTCTGTAAGCTTGCTTGTCGTGGAATGGGAGGCGACATCTTCAGTTGGATCAGCGAGCTAACAAAGTTGAACTTGCAGGTGAGTTGATCGGCTATGCTGCCCGCGCGAAGAACACGATGGAAGACCCTGGCTGCTGGACCCTCGGACCGTACATCATCCAGAACGTCCTGCTTCTCATTGCTCCGGCCTTGATGGCAGCCTCGATCTACATGATTCTCGGTCGGATCATCATGTTGACGGATGGAGAGAGCCATGCACTGATCAAGAGGCGCTGGCTCACCAAGGCCTTCGTCTCCGGTGACGTGCTATCTCTGCTTCTCCAATCCAGCGGTATGTCTATTCAAGCCCCAGCTGGTTAAAATATGCTAATGACCGCAGGTGGTGGAATGATGGCGGGTGCCGGAGAGGGCAACAACTTCATGGAGATTGGCGAGAAGACCATCATCGTCGGTCTCTTCGTTCAGCTCTTCGTGTTCGGCTTCTTCATCGTCACGGCCGCACTCTTCCATCGTCGCATGGCTCTTGTACCCACGGCCAAAGCCCACCAGCCCGAGATCCGGTGGAAGTACTACCTCCTGACGCTGTATGTCACCAGCGTCCTGATCTGGGTGCGAAGCGTCTTCCGCGTGATCGAGTACCTCCAGGGCAACAAGGGAGAACTTATGACGACGGAGGTGTACATCTACATCTTCGATGCGACGCTCATGTTCCTCGTCATGGTGTGGATGAACTGGTTCCACCCCAGCGAAATCGGTCTCCTGCTCCGTGGGGAGCCGCCCATCAAGAACGGGTTGGAGCTGATGAAGATGGGAGGTAACTTCCGAAAGATGCAGCACGAGAACAGCAGCATGAGCGTGTAAGCTTGTCGCTAATCCTCGGAGAATAATGGAATTGCCGGATGCTTGTCGGTAGCATTGATCAGGATGATGGGTGTTTGCTGGTTGAGGAGAGTTGTCAGCGCGCCAGCCTATGCAAGAGGAGTTTGGGGTAGCAGTCTCACCATTCCGCTTGAGACATTTCTTTTGTTTGGGATTCCTGTGTTCGGGACAGAGATTTGGGATGTGATATCTAGAAGGGTGGACTGCGATATGGCAGACCATGGCAGTCCGCATGGAATGACGGGAGCTCAATGACGGAATTCGGCACCTGCGCCATCACGGCCTGCGGAAGCGCGCCATAATATTGATCGGATTTCTCGGCCAACACTGCCCTTCTCTCGGTTGACGTGACACGATTGACGGGAAGGTAGTCGTATCTCTGCAAGTATTGAAGAATGAGGTCGAACTAACAAAAAAAGGCCAGCTACCCTGGAAATGAGCCAGGAACATGTGGGCTGGAAAGGCTCCTTCCCCAATCTTCGCGATGCAGCCTGAGGCTTATCGCAACAGCCAACAGGGGTTCTTGTCGCCGATAAGACAAGCGAGGAGGTGCACAGACCACAACTGCCCACTGCGGGGTAGGGATCTGCAGGGCGACAAGGGTGATTACAGCGCCGGTCGCTGAACTGACCGACTCAAGCTTGCTGATTGGCCGAAGCTTCGGTGTGCGAGTGCCAACAGCAGCTGAATAGCTCCCACTCCCGCCAAAGAAAACCCACGGCAGCCTGCAGCTGCCTGCCTCACCGGTCGGACAAGGAAACTCCAGCCTGAGGCGCTTCTTTGCGTCCCTCCGCCTCCGGGTCAAGGCAGACAGGACTGGACAGGACTGGACCAGAATCTGCCTCCTTCTGTCCGCGTCACCGCTGCTGACTTGGGCACCTGGAGGGACCAGAAAGAGCCACCTATTCAATTGCCCTCACGCACTTTTCTGCCTTCCACATCCTTGCTTCAGAGACTCCCTCCTTCTTTCCGTCCCATCTCAACTTCCCCGCCCGACCAGGTGCCAGCTCACCGATTCAGAACCTACCTTAACTTCTGCAACTGCAACTAATCCCCCTCCATCATCACGTCCATCGGCTAACGTCCCAGCGACCATCCTCGGCGCCAGCGGCCATCATGGCTTCGCGCGAGAGCTTCGGCAAGATTGGCTCGGACGACGATTGGGAGGAGATCGCAGACAACTATTCCGTCAAGTCGCTATCCTCTGACGATGAAGAAGACGAGAAGCCCGCCGCCAAAGTCGACGTTTCTCCTCGCAGTCATGCGTCTCCTACTCGACATGCTCCTCAAGTCACTGCAAGCCACGATGCGAACGATGCGAACACGTCCGATCTAGGACATGCCCTATCAAAGGTGGATATTGGCACTCAGTCTGCTCCTAGACCGACCAGCCCCGTGTCCGTCGACAAGATGGCGGCTATCAAGACCGTGTCTGCATCGAAGCCAAAGGCCCCGCTGCCGCCGAGCCAGCAAGATATAGGACAACCTACTGCATCGTCTCCCTGGGAAGAGTCACAACGGCCACAATATTCCCATCCCCCCACGTCGGGATACGTCTGTCGATACACGGAAGCACCAGCCGCGACTGCAGATAACGCCATCCTTTCCTCTGTCACATTCCCCGACGAAATAACAAAACGTGCTTACATGCTTGGATTCGGTTATCCGCCTCCTCTCCCTCAACTTGCTCGAGCTCCGCAAAGTCGACCTCCAGTATCGAACAGATCTGCCACTCAACACAAGAGAGCAGATGGTACCTTCACACCACAATCCAATGCCTCAAAGACATCTGATGTCAGCAATGAACCAACATATCCAAACCTGCCTTACAATGATGCAACCCAGGAGTTGGGCAGCCGGAAGCAGTTAACAATGGGCAAAGTCACTTCCGCGCCTCTCAAGAATCTGAACCCCCAGGAGTCGGGCCCCAGAAAAGGCGCGAAAGGCGCGCCGAGAATTGGCGCCATGTCGTTGGAAGGTTCTACTGAACAAGAGCGAAAGCCAAAAGAGATGGTCTCGCATGGTGCATCGTCCTTTGGTGCATCTACCCATGACACGGTACCAGGATCTCTTGGCGACACACTGGACCTCGACGAGACCTCCACAGATCCCATCGTCATCGACAATGCGCTACAGTCTCTTTCACGCATGCTGCGAGATACCAGCCCAGCACTTTGCATAATGCATCTGAAGCATGCGACAAAGGTCCTCCCTGCTTGCAAGTCTCTTCTGGCTCAGGTTGACACTCTCACACCCATACTTGCCGTCTATGCAGCAAAGTGCAATCAACCCACTGCCACGGCGAGAGACGTCCCGCTGGATGCTAGTCTGATGATGTGGATCGCCTCACTGAGCCGCACTTTGTGGGAGATTGGTTTTGAATTCAAGATTGTCGAGTCTAACAATCCTGGCTCGAGCAGCCCGAAGCGTGCTCCTTCACTTGAGACGTTGGTTGGTGAGCTTGAGAGCGCCGCGAAGCAAATGGATGAATTTCTCCCTATCATTCAAGCGTAAGCTGTCACTCCATACACCGCGTCGTAGCTTATTGGCTAACCTGGGCAGTGATTTCGCCGAATTTCAGAAGAAGCCAAAGTATGGTTTCCCTGGTATCACAGCGGCACCCGCACCCAACTACGAGATCGAAACTCCCAATGACTATCAACGACCTCAAATCCGGCAGACTATGTATGGCCTGAAAAAGGAACTGCAGCATGCTATTTCCATCCTGAAAGATTGTCAGAGATGGCTTCCCGACGCTGCCAAGGTTATAGTGGGCGATGTAACTAATGGCATGGGCATTCTTTTCGATGTCGTTGGCGGCATCATGGCCAGCAATGGCCCGGCGTGGATCGAAGGCCTTACGGCGGAGACTGGGAGGCCCAGACTCATCACCCACTCCGAGTTCGGGAACCTGGATCCCATCGTAATCGAGGACTACAGCGCTCGCATCCAACAAATATGCGGCTTGGTTCACATTGACGCAGCTGAAAGCCGCACGTGGTCCGAGGAAATGATTCGGGAGCATCACGTGTGCATGCTCATCGAGCAGCAACAAATCGACTCGCTGGAGCACATTGTTTCAGTCTTGAAGGGGATGCTGCTTCGTTAACCGATGCTAAGTCCTGTACGGAATGGGTTTGGAGGAGGCTGGAATCGTGTCAATGGTAAGTCGAGCGTGGAACACCCACTTTACGAAGTCTCTGCAGTTTGCCCGCTGGTATGAAAAGGGGTTGGTCCTGCAAAACTCCGTTCTTGGAACAGAACTACTGACGAATCATGAATTTCATTCCATGTTTGGGATTCGGAAAAGATTACGGTATTGCAGTTGACAGAAAATGGGCAGTAAAGTAGTTAGGTATCGGTTCCAGTCCATAGCCTAACCAGGATAATTGTTTATCGACTTCAACTTTATCATACGGCTCATTGATATCCACCAACTCCCGCTATTTCAGGCTTCTTTCTTCTCAGATGAATATCACTGATCACATCAGGAGCCCCTAGCACCTTGTGCCTGAAACAACATGACCTATTAGAATTGTTCCTACCAAACACCGACTCGAAAGGCCTATCAACCGGTGGGTATTGGTAATACTTAGGCATCCTTGGGAATGTGACCCCCCTTTTGACATGATGAATACCACGTTCTTCCCTTAATGTTGATTGAGAGTTAGGCGTAGTGTACCTCAAGCGGACTAATGTAGATAGTGCGCTAGCTGCATATGCATGAGCATGCTTTGAGGCCATTTTCAAACACTTTAATCAACATCCGAGTGAGAGCGACGGACCTTTACATTCCTCAAACGTAAATCAGAACAAGACCCGTTCGTATATGCAACAGTTTCCCCGTGATCGTCAACTCCACCCTTTGTAGCCATTACGTGAACGCGGCTTTCGACCTGCCGTTGCTGGATAGCGCAGACCTGCCAAGCGCGCCTTTTGAACATTTCGCAGGGTCATGCGTTTCGAAACGCGGGGGAGACATGCTGCATTGGATAGGGGTATCGAACTCGTTGACGTTGGATTAAGGTATGCAAACCGGCATGACTCGCGGCTGCTGCCGCACCCCCTTTCCAAACTCACCCTCGTCCGTCTCCCGTGCCGGCCGGCAAACTCCCCCTCCCGTCCTCTCATCGGGGAACGATTAGCAACATCTGCAGTTCGGTACCGGCGTTTTCTCATGCCACGAAACATCAGTCACACCTCGGAAAGAGAGGAAAAATCGAATCGGCCTTCTGACCGTGGCACCGTGGCGTTCTCCATAGTGCGCGCGCCCCGTAGATCCCGGAAAGGGACCCAGAGCGGGCCCCGCCAAGTGGATTGCAAGACGTAACGAAAATGCCGAATTTTCGCCCGCCGTCTGATTTTGTAGCGGAGGTTCCAGATGCAGTAGCACCTTCTTAAATTTTCAATTCAGTCATCGTGTCAGAAAAGTCTGGCTCCGACAATGGGGTCATCCCATGTGTCCAGGTTTTTGGCGGTTTGAGGTGGCGTGGGAGATGAAGAGCCGTGAGTCAATGGGTGTGGGTTGATGATGGGAATGTCTTCCCTCTTAAAATGTTTATCCCCTCCGCCCTTCTGTCACGGATGCCGACGAGAACCGCACAAACGCACCTCAGAAGGAAAAGAGAATCCGGGGCCCCTCAAACCTAAATCATCCCGTATGCAACAGGCTTGATTTCCCGATTTGCTCCACAAGCCGCTCCCCGAAAGCTGCATGTCGGCCTGAGTCCCTCTTTGTCCTGCCATCTCATCGGACCGCTCCACCGGACGCGAACAGGTTCCACCAACAACACCTCCCATCTTTGAACCTGTGAGGGGATCGTGAGGCCATACAGGTTCGCCAATTCACATCGCTCGGCTTCAACCGATCTCTTTTCCCAGGCATTCAACATGGGAAAGGACACAGAGGCCACGAGGGCGCCCGTCGACCCTGAGAGCCAGGTCAAAGCCGACGCGCCAGCTGGCTCCAAAGTTGTTCCGGACCAGCCTCCCGCATTCTCTTCGTCGAGCCACATCGGCGGCGTTGGCGAGAACGACGAGGGCGAGTTGATCAACTTCAAGACCCTCCACTGGCTGTCAGTCCCCCCAACCCTTCAAACCTCACATCCCAACTAACTCTCCCCCAGACAAGGCGGCATCGTGCTCGTAGCAGAGACCGTCTCCCTGGGCATCCTCTCCCTCCCCTCCGTCCTCGCCACCGTCGGCCTCGTCCCGGGCGTCATCCTCATCTGCACCATCTCCGCGCTGGCCACCTACTCGGGCCTCCTCCTCGCCGAGTTCCGCAAGCAGTACCCCTTCGTGCAGCACTTCGGCGACGCCGTCGAGCTCATCGGCAAGCCCATCGGCCTGGGCGGCGTCTTCCGCGAGGTCTTCGGCTGGGCGCAGACGATCCTGCAGGTCTTCCTCATGGGCGGGCACATCCTGCTCTGGACCATCTGCATGAACACGCTGACCAACAGCGCGACGTGCACCGTCGTGTGGGCGGCCGTCGGCATGATTGCGTTCTGGATCTTCAACGTGCCGCGGACGCTCAAGTACACGAGCTGGATGTCCGCCGCGTCGTGCGTGTCGATTGTGGTCGCGGTGCTGATCACGGTCGTGGATGTTGCGATTGAGAAGCCGATTGGGAGCGGGTCGGTGGACATCTTCCGCAAGCTCGGGTTCTCGCCGGCGTTTTTGGCCGTGACGAATATTGCGGGCGCTTTCTCGAGCCATTCCATCTTCTTCAGCGTGATTGCGGAGTTCAAGAACCCCGACGACTGGCCGAAGGCGCTGGCGTTTTTGCAGATTACGGATACGACGCTGTACCTGATCTCGGCTGTGATCATCTACGTCTATGCCGGCCCCGATGTCCCGTCCCCGGCGTTGTCAGCGGCGGGTAGCGCCACGATCCGGAAGGCGATTTGGGGCGTCGCGATTCCGACGATTGCGATTGCGGCTGTGATCTACGCGCACGTTGCGTCGCAGTACATCTTCACCCGCATCTTCGGTAACACGAAGCATGTCGTCAGACGGACGAAGCTGTCAACGGTTGCTTGGCTGCTTGTTACTCTCGGTATTTGGGGCATCGGCATGGTGATTTCGGAGTCGATCCCGGTGTTCAACAACCTGCTGGGTCTCGTGTCCGCGGCGTTTGCCAGCTGGTTTTCGTTTGGGCTGCCGGGCATCTTTTGGTTGTGGATGCACTACGGCAACTGGTTCAGCAACTGGAAGCAGAAGACGCAGTTCTTTTTCACCTCGCTCCTCCTGCTGGTGGGCATCCTGCTATGTGTTCTGGGGCTTTGGGTGTCGATTGAGTCGATTGCGAGTGCTTCGGGGTCCAAACCGTGGACTTGCGCTAGTAATGCGGCTGAATAAGGTAATGTTTGTTGTGTTGGAGAGAATTGGATCACGTCAAGCTGGTTCCAGTAGTAGCATGAAAATAATTAATGCGTTTAGTGTGCCTATGAGCGCGTGATTATTGGTTCGTTGTCGATGTCTTGTCCCGCCCATCTGGCGCCAATCTCAGGTACAGCCGAGCCGCCCACTCCTGAGGTTTCATGACCAGGGGTTATTTCTACTTTCATCACAAACATTCACCATTTCGTTACGATCGCGAGTTATCATCCAATAAAACATGACTGCAACAAATCAATGCCGAAGCGGTATGGGACTTAGCTCGGGCGCGTAAGGTCGTACCAACCGTTATCACGCTGCATGAATGCCGGAGTGGCGGTGCTTGCGGCACAGTTATTGATTTAGCGTCTGCTACCGGCACTGCCTTCAGGGCGCAATTGGAACCATGATGTTAAGAACAGCCTGATTCCCTCCATGGAGAAGACTCTTGCAAGATGCGGGCGACAACTACATCTGGGCAAGGACTTGTTGCCAACGCCAACACAGTCTTTCACATCGTTTGCAGTACTGGCCTCGTTCTGCAGCCATTGCGAACGTGACATACAAACACGCGATTTAGCATTGCCCTTATCATACGATATCCGTGTTCAAGCAGGATGCAGCAAGACGGATATACAGACCCCGGAACGTACGATGACGGGGACGGCCAGTCGAACACAGATGATGGAAACACCACGGATTTACACATAGACGACTGCAATGATCACAGCTTGGAGACGGACCAAGACAATTGCATCAACTCCGAATTCGACGAGAATGATGCTACCGATAGCCATGCATCGACCGACGAAGATGTCGAACTACCAGAAGAGTGGCGGCCTCGATTGAGTCAGTGGGCATCAATGGTCTGTCTTCTCTGTCGCAGGTTTCTCGAAGGAAAAGTATGTTTGGAGCAGCGAGGCTGGCACAGAAACTACTCCACATATCATTCTTCCATGTCTTCATTGAGGCAATCCGTGCAGGCTGGCTGTCCTCTTTGTAGGCAGCTATCTTTGTCCCTGAATGGCTTCTGCACCAAAGCTGGATTAGGAACACCAAGCAACTCATGGGTGATCAAATGTTCATTTTCGTCAAGATACAACCGCTTTACGTATCCCGAGGCCAAGGACCTTCAACTACATTTCTACCTTTTTGACAGTGAGGGACGCCATCTTCGTACCAATTACTCCTATGGCTTCGGGAATATGACTTTCTGCCCTGCAAAAGCCTTAGGTGGCATAGGACCAGAGTTCTTCGGTATGTTGAGTGACGAAATCCAGTACCATCATAAGTCTAAAACTCAATAGATTGCGACTCAATGACGAGCACAGCAAAGTCGGCAGCAAGCATTGAATTAGTCCGATACTGGTACCAGCAGTGCACTTGCCGAAATTGGCACCCGGAATCCAGAGTTCTTCCAACCCGCCTAGTTCAGGTGTGGAGACCCGTCAACAAGGCTTTCCAGATATATGTGCCAAACTTTGTGAAGCGGGAAGCCTACCAGTATCGTCCACTTCATATGTTACCCTTAGTCACCGCTGGGGGCCAAACGATTTCTTGAAGCTTCAAAAGAGCAACCATCAGGCATTCCGAGAAGGGATACCAGTTAATCAGCTGCTCAATGTGTTCAGAGACGCGCTATACATAGCTGCTGAGCTTAGGATTCATTACGTATGGATTGATTCTCTTTGTATCATCCAGGACTGCGAGAAAGACTGGACACGCGAATCCAAGAGAATGGGGGATGTGTACCAATATGGCGAGTTCAACATTGCGGCAACAGGTTACGATCACGGGGCCCAGAGTCTTTTCAACACGAGAGATGCAGTTCCTTCTCAACAATTTCCGGTCTATGTAGACTTCCACTCGCGCCGAAAAGACGCTGAACACTTCGAAGGCTACTACATCAAAGTTAACGAACGTGGCTTTTATGAAGCTGTTATCGACGGACCCTTGAACTCCCGGGGCTGGGTAGCCCAAGAGTGGGCTCTTTCGCCGGCCGTTGTTCATTATACCCCAAAGGAGACCTGGTGGGACTGTAGCGATATCATCGCCTGTGAGACCTTCTTGAGTGGTTCCGAGAACTGGGACCCTTCGGAAATCTATAAGCACAGGCGAATTCGGGCGCTCAGTGACGACAACAAGGAGCCAATCTACAGATTTTGGAGGCAATTCGTTGAGCTCTATGTCCGCACGAAGACAACCTTTGAAAAAGACCGCTTTCCTGCCGCTGCCGGTATAGCACGCATTCTGGGTAACATGCTCCACGAAGGCTTCATTGCTGGAATTTGGGAGGGCGATATCGTCCGATCGCTTGTTTGGGAATGTCTTGACAATGTAAGCATACCTTCTGCGCCCCTGGCGCCATCGTTGTCCCGGGCATCTGTATGCGGCCGTATTGGTAATTGGGGATTTGAACCCAACTCATCAGCACAGCAATTAAGCTGCATCAGTATTGAAGTACTGTCTGATATCGATGGGTTCACGTCAGATCTCGAAGCAGCTTCCTTGGAAAAGTCCAGCGTGAGGGCTCTCGCAGTCCGAGGACCATTGAGGACATTGCCACAAGACCTTTCAGTCCCGGTTGGGGCGGGAACAAATGGGTTGAATTATGTGCATGTGGCTGAGGATAGGGATCACATTATTCCAGGCTTTCAAGACGGAAGTATCCCGGACGAGCAAGCATGGCACTTGAAAGGCTCTACACATCTTCTTCCCCTTGCAAAAGACGACGAATCCGTGTTTGGCCTTTTGCTACAGCACGTGCCAGAGGCCCAAGATCCCAACACATTTCATCGATCGGGAAAGGTTCATTTCTACTTCAATACTATCAAGGTGGCGGAAGAATATTTGGGTATTTCGCAGAAGGATGGGAAATACCAGCCCAGCTGGAGATTTCGAGAATGTGGTGTTCAGGATGTAATTCTAATTTAGACGAATTGGGCCTTTGACCCAGCTCTCACGCCCTGATCATCTGCAGAAGATAACTTACTAAGCCTTCTTTTTATGAGACTGCCTATTTTTCCTGTGTCTGCGCGGGTATATTTTTTATGTACTGAAGTACTCTAGTCTGAGATGACAGTAGTAGCGATAATGACAGCGACAGTAGAAACGATGACGACGGTGAAAACAATGACGATAATAGAAGCGATTAAACGACTGTTAAAGCACAATGATAAGGTAGAGTAGCCATAAGAAAAGTAGTCGACATAGCACAGGGAGAATAGGCGGTCTTCTTTATATAGAGGAGTGATTACGGACTATCGGCACGTGCCTGAGATTTAAACTGAATGCAAGGCATTCTACCAAAACGTCAAATTCTCATTAAAACTTCTCCGCGGCGGGTAGGCGACCCCTTGCACAAAACAGAGACTTGACAACAGCGTTCTTGTTCACAGCATAAAGGATCCATTGCTAACTAGCTATCACAAACTAGCATCCGGATCAGAAGCTTTGGTTCACAGGCCCTCTCGGGCGGGCTTTGAGTCTACATTTTGAAGAGTGAACGTACAAGTTTACTGTAGGCAGCACTTCGGTTTGTGTGGTAAAATGCCTGCGAAGTTTGACTGCTAACTGACGTCCACGTGGACATACAGCCATGACTCTCCACTCCATGGCGTTTGCTGACGGCTTGGCGAATGAGAAGCGTTGCATCCTGCTTGATGTAAGGTAGCGGAGACCTCCCGTCATCTGCCCAACCACGTGAGAAAGATCAGTGGGATCACTTGAAATCTCAGATTTCAGATGTCGACTGCGATATTCTTTTCCTTATTTACCACCATGGCTGCAACCCAATGTAAATCAAGAACAGAAGAACCGAGGAGAAGTCTAACTAACGCATAGACGAGGCGACCGTTTCGGCAAACCAGCCAACCCTTTTATCGTTCAGATGATAGATTCAAACACCAGCTCGTCGGCAGTTGAAGTCAAAGAGAATGGTGAATCAATCCCATGGGGGTTGTGGAATGTGCGGGACATGATACATGAAAATAGGGGAACTGGTGGTTGGGACTACGGTCGGCACTTGGATAACGAGCAGCGCATGCGTTGGCCTGTTGCGACAAACACTGAAGGTCACGGATTGCACCCCAAAGCCCGACAGACTGCGCCGAGTCGCGGTCCAATCACTCCGATCCGATTACTGAACTGCAAAACGGGACTCGTTGAAGAAAGCCTGGAACGGGAACTGCCATATACAACCATCTCCCATGTATGGAGCGAGACCGCTGGGAAGGATTGGGCACAGTTTGCTGCCCAATTGTGGATGAAGTACGGAGTCCAATACATCTGGGTGGACAGCCTGTGCATCAACCAGGCTTCAGTGCAAGACAAAGCAAACGAGATTCCCAAGATGGCTGAGTACTACGCTGGGGCTGAGATGAACATCATACCCATAGCGGCACCGGGGCTCAGAAAAAGCCTTGACGACTGGTTGGAGGGTGGTGCCACAGCCTCACAACAAAATTTCTCTGAAGTCCTGAAGTTTATCCAGACGCTCGTGGAGAATCCTTACTTCGAGAGAGTCTGGACAATGCAGGAGACAGCTCTGGCGTGGTGTACGCACTTGGAATCGCCCGATGGAATCATATATGGTTGGGAAGTCGATGAGGCGGTTAGACGGGCATGTGGAATTCCATCACATCCACGGAGTCCGGATGATCCTCCTACTTACAGAGAGACGAGGCCTTCTTTCAACGCCGCTATTGGTGAGATGGACAACAGGGTGGTGTTATTCGACAATAGACACATCCGAGGCGACCTTTCAACGCAGGCATGGATTACTCGCAACCGTAGACCCTTGGCTCTGGTGTGGCGCATGGCGCAAAACAGAAGGTGCACTGTCGCCAAGGATGCACTTTGGGGGATGATGGCGATGGTCGAGGGGGGCGATTCTATCCAAACAACATACGAACAACCTGTTGCTCTGGTACTTGAGGAGTTGGTTGAAAAGGGACTGCTCGGACTTGAAATTCTTTGCGTGCGAAAGACTATTGCTAGTCCGTCCTGGGTGCCGGCTCTCGAAAACGAAGTTCCGCTAATGGGCGCTGAATGCACTATCGAACCAGCGCGGCGAAACCTCATGATCAGAAATGGGTGCATCGAAGTGCGCGCTAAGGAGGTAATTGCAACGGACGTGAAAGGCGACTATTATGTTCGAATCACAGACACCGACCGCAGCCAAGAAATCGTAATGATGACTGAGGGATGGGACTTTGAGAGTAATAATCTGCCAGGTCGACGACACTGGCTCATACTCATGGAAGGTACCGAGAGCCGAGTCACATTTCTACTCATATCGGATCGAAATGAGGCTGGTAACATAGTCCACAAAGTTGATGCCTTGCAGTGTGGGCTAGAGCTTCCACCGGAAGCAGTTCCATGGGTCTTGGATGGACAAGTAGATATTCAGATCGATTAGAATATAATAGTTGCGTAATGCATCAGTGCGATTTCCTCATCATCTACTGAGCCATTTTGAAGAGGGTCGAGATTGACACACGCATTCCTGAGAATGTGTGGCAAGGGCGAATTTCTTTTCTCGCTGGCCAAAGTCTGGTCTCAGACGTTGCTACCGCCATATCCAGGGGAGCCAGACCAGACGAGATGGCCCTGTGGCTAAGATTATTATGGCTGGTAATCTTTTGTAAAAAGGCCTGGGCCGTACGATGCCTAAGACCATGTTGACTTGTGGGTTCTTTTCCTAAGCCTTCACACCTGTGAATGAGAGACACTCGGCATGCAGGTTTGACAGCATATGGTGCATGTCTGGGAACAAAAGCTAAGACTTCCGAGATGCGCACCCTGATTATCAACGTATCACTTCATAGTCCACAGACTGTGTATCGTTTCCATATCGCCAGAAAGAACATTTATCGAGACCGCAACAAAGTCACCCTAGAGAGCTTGAATACTTGGGATACTCCTGTGTGGTTCCGGGCTTGAGTCAGAACGTGCTTCTTTCTCTACACTTACGGCTACTTTGACTGTAAGCGAGACTGACGCCACCGGCCGAAACGAAGGGCCCGCGTTTCTTCCGTGATGTTGTTTTAAAAACAGAGGTCCTGGATGCCGTGGCCTGGCAAGCGGACCGTGCCCCGTAGAGATAAAATTGAACATCACAGCCCGAGTCCAGAAGCCTATGTCTTTGCCATCAGCTCAGGCGCGCATATTACATATGAGAGACTTCGCCTTGTGTGAAATGAGATCAAGATGGGGTTTTATGTTTGTTTTCAATGATTTGTCGATCTGAGGCGCTTCCTGCTTGTAAAATTCGAGTATGTACTGATTCTCCTTTTCCATGGCCTTATCTTCGTTGCTTTTCCCACATGGGAATGGTTGCACAGGCAGTCAGCGCGAAACCCGCTAACAACGCGGAGATCAGCAAGGGGTTAGGGCAAGGCTAGACCAACGAACCGTCCCATCAACTGAAATTGGATCGTCTGAATCATTTGCTGCAAGTCACTTGCGAGAAACTGCGAGAGGGTTCTTTTTTAATATGATTTGATTGTTCCATTTGTCCAGCTATCTACATGTATTGGCGACTACACATTATTTGCATAAACCCCACTCCCGCATGTAATTAGCATAAAAAAGAAACTATGTTCGTGACTTCATTCGAGGTGCAATGCCCGTGTACCCTCGACCTCTCCTACCCGAAAAAGGTTTTTTGTACATTTTCGTTATGTGCAAATGTCCGTCCCAGATTCGCAAATTTTGCGCTGTTGGGTTCAATCCAGCTGAGCCACCAGCAAGTACCGCCAGGGTTCGTAGCAGAGGATTTAGATGAGGAGAGCAGCGATGGCGACGGCTAGGCCAGCACCGGAGAAGGTGGCGGCAGCGCCGGCGGTGACGACGCCCTTGGCAGTAGGAGAAGCCTCCTTGGTGCCCTTGGTGGTGGCGGAAGCATCTCCGTTGGTGCCCTTAGCGGTGGGAGAGGCGCCCTTGGTGCTGTTGTTGCTGTGGCCGGGGGCGGGGACGGCGGCGCCGGGAGTGACACCGGTAGGAGCGGGGGCGCCGGCGACGGGGCGGGTGGTGGCAGGGACACTCTTGTCGTTGCCGCCAGCTCCGGCGCAGGGCTTGCCGGAGCACTCGGAGAGCTGGCTCTGCATGTCGGAGAAGACCTGGGTGAAGTGGGCGATCTCGTCACCACCCTTGCCGCCGGCGGGGAACTTGGTGGAGATGGTGGTCATGAGAGTGTTGACGTTTCCGGCTGTTCATAGTGTGAGTCGGTTGGAGGTTTCTGTAAGCTGAAGTGTGGGAACTTACCAATCTGGGCAACCCAGTTGAGGGTGGTGTCGCAAATGCAGGCAGCAGAGAAGAGGGTGACCTTGCTGGAGATGTCGGTGAGGAGCTTGTCACCGGCGGCGTTGAGCTGGTCAGAGAGAGGCTGGAAAGCCTGAGCCTCCTCCATGGTCAAGGGGAGCATGGCAGCAGCGTTGTTGGTGGCGGTGCGGATGATTTCGAGCATGTAGGTCGAGGCGTTGGTGAGCTCCGGGCCCGGGCCGCCAGTGTAAGACAGGCAAGTAGTGTCGAGGTTCTGGATGCCGTTGAGAACAGTCGTCATGATGGTGTTGACGGTGCTGAGCTCGCGGGTGCAAAGCTCGGAAGCGCTAGGCGCGGCGAGGACGCCGGCAGCGAAGAGGGCAATGGGGGCAGAGAACTTCATGGTGATTATGGTATTAGAGAATAGACTCAAAAGGTGTCAGTGAGAGACTGTTGTAGCGAATGTAGTTGAAAGAAAGTGAAGAGCTGGAAGATGAGGCTGCTGCTGGATGCTGGATGAGTGCTGATTAAAACTTTGAGATCGGCAGTCGAAGCTCATCTCTTATATATCCAGTTTCTCTCATGCCATCTTTGATTTGAAGGTGTCGATCGCTTTGACTCTTGCATCTGGACCCCCGCCCCTGAGCAACTTTACCCCGGATCATCCTAGCTGGCAGTTTCTTCCTGTACAACCACACGTGTGCCGGACAAGCTGCGATAAGGACTAACACATCTCAAACGACGCCAGGCGGCTTGTGCTATTTTCTTCCAGGGTTGCTTCTGTTTCCCACGAACCCTAGCCGCAATGCTCGGACGAACATAAGATCTGAACGCCATCAATTGTGCTGCACGGCAAATGAGCAACGGCGCGTGGTGAGGCCGCCACGGCGCGCGCTAGCGGAGCCGTTTCTTTTTCCCGCAGACATAGCGCCCGACTTTGGGCAATGAAACAGGAACGCGCCAATCCTTCCCTCCGAGTCAGGCTGAGAATTCTGAGTCTGTGAGTGACGGCTGGAAAAGAAAAGGACATTGGCTTTCCTTCTCGGCGCTAGGCCGCATGCAAGTCTAACAAGCCCACCATCCACCAAGTGTGCCTTTTCTTCTTAGCAGGCTTCCATGTCTCTCTGTCGAAAAGGGCCCTGCGGCCAAGGCGCCTGCAGCCCCCAACCACTTTCTGCCCCTCCAGCCCTGGCAGGTGTCGTGCTCAGTGTCGAGGAGCATGGCTCTGATGATCTCCCACCTCCCGCAAGACCGGATCAACCGCCCTACGCAGCATGACACTGATCAGACACTGGTCAAATCACTTTGGCTCCCGTCCGATTCTAGGCCCTGAGCCCTGGACTTGTACGTAAATCGCCCATGCTGTCCGCTCAGATAACTCCGGTAGTCGGATGTTCATGTAAGCTGTCTAGGCAAACAACCTCAAACGCACTCAATCAGTGCCATCCGTGGTGGCCACCAAATCAATCGGACTATTCTAGAAAGGCATGATTACAAAAGAGCTGTGCACAACATCTATGCTGCTCGTGACCCCAATTAGTGCAATTGTGCACGGGTCGTTCAGCCGCTGCCGCGACTCAACCTCCCTCTCCCCCTTCGATGCTTTCTTCGGACAACGGACTAGACGGCATCGGGCGGCTGGCGGTTTTGAGAAGTACCGTGGCGCTTGTTGGCGGCTGGCCTTCGCTCGGTAATCGGGGTCCGGCTTACAATTTGAGGCACCCACCTTTCCAGCATCCGGATAGCGTGGAAGCCCCAGGCAGTTGGAGGCTTCGGGCACTTGGAGATTAAGGACTGCAAACACAAGATTCCAAGAAAAATAGATCACACTTGAGAAAGTTTGTTTCTCTCGAACTACTCAATTTCCCAGAAGCCTAAAACCGAGCCCAGAAACAAGATGAGGTTTTCTTAGAATTAAGCTCACCTGCGTCCAGACTGTAAGAGTGAGCGCGACTCGTGCATGCTGTTGCGTCACGCACTCCGCCGTTGGAGTTGTGCGGCTGTACCCCACCAGCATGCCGGTGGCCATCGGACGACGAGAATTTCCCCAACGGAGGCTCATATTCAGCCCATGCAGGCTTAGAAATATTTCAGCTCATGTCTTGGGACCGCCGCCCTCTTTACTGCGTGCAGAGGTCCAAGATATCATGTGCATGCGACGCTCGCTCGCCAGGAGAACTGACCCAGGCTGATGGATGACATTCCTTCCCGAATCCTTCAATCACCAGCCACGTCGGATGTCAAGCAGCTTTCGGGCCGAGCTAAATCTAGACCTCATTGAACAGGTTTGATGTAAGCCTTTCATTTGTGATCATTGAAACTTTGCCTTATAGTGACGGCTGAAGATGTTAGTAGATTCATCTTCGCCAGCCTTCAACCCATGTCCTGTTCGAACGCCGGCGGCTCACCGGTCAAATGACCCATGCACTTTCTATCGGCGTTTTACTACACTGACGATCTGAATTCTGTTGAAACTTGGAAGTTGACTGGAGCGACTTTAGATCCAATGATAGCAACGAGGTATGAGAAGATGCAACTATTGACAATGAAGGGAAGCTGATAGCTGTTCACAGTGGCCAGTCTATCCACCAGAAACGCCCCATCTAGAGCGCGTAATTTGCGCAGCCGCAATCACCAAAATTCGGAAAAACATGGACGCAATCATCAAGATTGGGGTTTTGGTAGACCTCCCGGACGTACCAAGCCTGCTCATCTCGGTCCTGGGCTCCGTCGCGGACACGGTGAAGTGGGTCCGCAAGCTCATCGCTGGCCGAGACCGGTACCGGGTCCGGATGCCGCCCCCGTTCCGACGCTCTGCGGGAAAGGACGCTTCTGCTTCGCGGAACAAAATTTACGACCAGGCTGTCCTCGTGGCAGAAGCAACATGCCAGCTTGATCTTCTGCCCTGCAATAACCCAGGGTCAGTCGCGGGAGTGCCCGGCAATTCCTCACTTGCCAACTTCGTCAACCACTCCCGTCCGACAGTGGTACGCCAGCGCCTCACACTATCTTCAGTCGCATTGTCGGAGAAACTGAGTCCGTGGTGGGAATGCAAGACAAGTGTTGTGAGACAGCCTGAGATTCGTTGCAAATCACGTAAACGTTATTCGCAAAATTTCGACGCTCAACAAGCCGTTTCGAGGGTCGTGGTGTCGGAAACATCACAGCAGCTTCACTTTCTTCACAGGTGTTGAGGCGACCACGTCCGTAATGAGGTCAGAAGAGGCTCATCACGATCGAGTGCATGATGCAACCGTGGGGCCGCGGACAGCTCCACTGGGTGGAGCGCGTGCCTCCACGTTTACACCTCTCACCCACCATTTCGCGGCTGATCACGATGCTAGAACACTGGCAAATACTCGTGCAGTATGAGACTTGCTCGTGCATGATACAGGGTTGATTGTATGTATTTCGATAAGGCTGTTCATAAACACAACGGTACATAGTTCTGAAAAACATCGTAAATAAGTCTTTCACGCCAAATAATTTTTGAATTTGGCAATCCCAGCTGCCACGTACAGGAAAACAATGACTAGAAATATATTACTTTAAATATTCCTGCCTCATTGACCCCTGAAAAGCTTCTGTCTGAAACTAGAATGAACAGAAAACACATGAGACGAAGTCAACTTCAAGAGGCGCAAAATGTCATCGTGGCCCGCTTTTATGACATTTCGATGAATGATCGGGCCCCATTGAGGCGGATTGACGTAACCTCTACATCGCATGGACCACCAATTCTGACGTTCAAAGTCCTCATAAAACTGGAACTCGACGGTTGAGGTCATCGTTATGTCGCCGTGAAATGCAGCAAAATTGTAGGATATTGATGATAGCTGATCGGCTCATTGGCATGTATAAGTAACACATCGAAGTCGCCGACCTTAAGGGTTCTCATCCTCAAGGTTCTCACTTACATCAAACATCCTGGTATAATATCCCGAATTGTAACAAATATTTGTCGATCATCATGGCAGACCAAATCCCCAAGCAGATGCGTGCCGCATCCATCAAGGACTTCAACAAGGGCTACGAAGTCAAGTCCGTCGACGTTCCCACTGAGCTTGGCCCCAATGACGTCCTCGTCAAGGTCGCCGCCGCCGGATACTGCCACACCGATCTTCAAGTACAAGAAGGCGTCTACGCCTCCTCCGGCGCCAAGCCTGGCCTCATTGGCTCCCATGAGCCTGTGGGGACGATCGTGAAGCTCAGCCCAGAGGCAGAGAAGAAGGGATGGAAGATTGGCGACCGCGTGGGCTCCATCAACACCTACGGATGCTGTGGGTCATGTAATTCTTGCAACCGGGGCAAGCAGCTGTGCGACAACTTGACAGGCATGCTCGGTCTGACCGTCGATGGCGGTTTTGCGCAGTACATGAAGGCGGACGCGAGAGTCATCTGCAAGGTCCCTGAAGAGATTCCGTGGGCCGAGGCCGCGCCCTTGTTCTGTGCAGGTGCCACTGTTTACGGTGCTCTTGTCGCGGCGGATCCAAAGCCTGATCAGTGGCTGGCAGTCGTCGGCATCGGTGGCCTGGGACATTTGGCGATTCAATATGCCAAGGCCATGGGTGCCAAGGTCATTGCGATTGATAACCGACAAGAAGGAATCGACTTGGCGAAGGACGTCCCGTCGCACATGAAGCCCGACCGGACATATGTCCTTGACAGCAAGGAGGAAGAGTCAAACTGCATCCAAGAGCTTCAGACTTCCTTCTACGACACCAACCCCGGCGTTGACCGCGTCGTCATCACCACGGAAGCCCGACCACTTGTCAAGTTTGCTCAACAATTCTTGAGAAAGGGTGGCGTGCTTGTGGACGTTGGACTTCCTGCCGATGGCCCCTTTGAGGTCGACCCATTCGCGCTGAACTTCAAGGAGCAGACTGTTCGTGGAGCGTTGATCTGCACACCCGAGCGCAGCAGGGAGATGATTGAGTTGCATGCGAAGAACAAGTGCACGACACATATCGAGAAGACTTTCAGCGTCGAACAGGCGAATGAGATGGCGGAGCACTACCTGTCGAAGCAGTTGAAGGGACGGCTATGCATGGTTTTCTAAGGATTTGTCTGTAATGTTAGCTCATGAACTGTATGACCAATGAATGTCTAGAACCTCTGGGGACAGGAGTTAAACTCGATCCTTTTCTGAATCCAGTCTTGTTTCCCTTGTGATGCGTGTTCTTGGGGTTCATCTGATCTTTCGGCAGATGACTGATCGAGTCGCGGGGTAACCACTGAACCTCGCCTGCGTAACAACAGCAGAGTAATCTTAGCCGGGTATAAAACCCCCCAGTTTAGTAATCGCGCCAGACCCGAGGTCAAAAACCATACCCTTATGTGGTCAATTGATGTGATATAAGTCGGCAGTAGACCGATTCCTCTTCGGTGAAAACACGCAACACCATTGCCAATGAACTATTGATACAGAAAGCTCATCCACCAAGCGGTACACGAAATGTCTGAGCCAAATTTCCAACGCATCATCACCTCTCCAGAGGAGAAACCCGCAGCATCCAAGCGCAGAGCAATCTACCTGCGGCCTTTCTTGCTTTTCTACGTCAACTCTTTCATCTTTGAAGTTGTAATGCTCATTGTGAGCGTCATCTTCTTCTCAGGCTGGCGCGACATGCTCCCTAAATTCATGTGGACAATCGTCTTTTGCCCACTCGGTATGGGAGGGGCCATGGGCGGTCTCATCAACGCCTTCATTGTGGACCGCATCTATGGCACTAGAGCCGTGCACCTCGCCGCCATCATGAGCGTCTTGGTTCTCGGTGCCTGCAACGATTTGTGCTATAATTTGGATCTCGTATTTGGATGGTTTGGTGCAAGGGACCATTTTTGGTGGTGGCATTGGCGATATCTGGGCATTTGGTTCGTAGGATATACAAATGGGAAGTTGATGTTCACGGACCAGGGCCAAGAGACATTGGCCGGATGGGGAGTATGAGCACATGAAATCATGGCTTTCAATTTAAGAAGGTAGAACCGAACGTGGGAAAGAAATTGGCTAGGTCATCGTATGTAAGGTACGCAGTCGTGGCGTCAGTCCGGTGTCTGAGCACTTGCGAAAAGGGGTTGTCGGAATTCGAGGCTTAACCATCTTTGGGGATGAATACAAGGCCCAAGCCGCTTTGGGAAATCACACCTCGGTTGCAATTGAATTGATCAAAAGTATCATTAGAAGTAAGTCTATAAACAATTCTTTCATAAAAGTCATAATGTGAAGGCCCAGTTCCAACCAATGAATAAGGCCTGTCTTGGAAATAGAGAAGTCTAAAAAGAACATCGAATTGAAACAAAGAAATCGTAAAGTCATATCCCTCAGCTCGTGAGGCTCTATACCCTCGCAATGGAGTCGGTGCAGTCAGTCATGGTCCTCTTGTCGTTTCCGAAAAGAGCCATCTTTTCCATACTAAGTCCGTGTCAGTTCAACTGCGATGGAAACAGGACTTGATAAGTAACTTACGCGCCGGAAAAGCTGCTAGCCCACTTGTTCTGTTGGCCAATGAAACCCTGAAACTTCGCGGCAACATCGGTCTTGGTGTCCGTGGCCAGCTTCTCGTCAGAGGGGAACACGAAGACGCCCGGGGGAGCAGTCTTGGGAGCGGCCTGAGAGGCGTAGTTGTATGTCTCGGCGTAGTAGTTGACATCCCACTTGCCGGGAGTGGAGTCCTGAGATGCGTTCTTCTGGCTGGGGTCGACGAAGTTCTGAGTTGATGTGCTGTGGGCGCCAAGAAGAGCGGCAAGGTCCTCAGCGCTGTAGCCCTTGGCCTGGAAGAGAGCAAAGAGGTCGGACGCCGAGGCAAAGACGTCTGGGAGACCGCCGGGCTTGGCGTTGGCAGTGGAGTCCTTGCGGCCGACGAAGGTCTTGACCTTGGGACCGCCGGGGCACAGGAAGATTGCGGCATCTAAGTTGATCAGAGTCAGCAGGCGTCTTCAAGTCGTCGATCATGGGGTAACGTACTTCCAGCAAACACAATCATGTCGGCAACTGATGTTCCGTACTGAGTGGCCATGTCCTGGAGAACCTTGGCAATGTTCTGCAGGCCGCGGTTCTCGTTTCTGAAGAGCTCATCGGGGTCACCGGCAGATGAGCTCTTGCCAAGAATCAGAGAACCGTCACAGCCACCGCTGAAGCCTTGTGTGGTATCCCAAGAGCCACAGTCGTGGAAGATGGCACGAATGGCGGCGCGGGCAAGATCGTTGCACTGGTCGCCGGCCATGAAGCGCGTGTTAAGGTCCTTGTTGACCTTGGTCCAGACAGAGCAGGTGTTGCTGCCGCTGCTGCCCTTGCCACTGGAGCCGGAGCCGCTGTCATCGGAGCCGCCCTTGCGGGGAGCCAGGTCAACAGTGGCCGCGGAGGTGAGGGCCAAGAAGCTGGTGAGGAGGTAGAGGCTGGCGTGCATTTTGGCGGTGTTGGTGGGTTAGGTGTTTGGCCGTTGGTGTTAGTTGGCGGTTCTTGGCGATACTTGGCGATGGTGTCTGAGTGATGATGCCAAGAGGTTTGATTCCCAGATGCGAATGGGCTGTCTTTATAGAAACTTGGCATTCTCGATTTGGGAATGTTTCCAAGCGTTTGGATATTTCTGACTTTGCCATTTCGATCTAGACCTGAACATAAGCTTACTCTAGCCTGTGGCAAACGCCTGCGTTGCGCGAACAGTGAGCCATCTTCACAGCTCAACAGCATCAGCGAAGTTGACTATCCTCTCGTGTAATGCGGGCGTCCTGACAAAGCACGACACTGCTTCAGTCGGGAACTGCAGCACAGAAGAATTCGGTATCCGATGTCTCTAGCGTCGAACGGGGTTCGAAACGGACACGGTAGTTTGGGGAAGGTCTAGCCGGTCCGTTGCACTTAGCGCCGTTGAAACTCACGATGGGCTCGATCTTAAATTCTCGGTCGCCCAATAGGATGTCGGCTATTGTCAACCTTCCGCGAGCCGCACCAGTGGTGTGCATGGGCTGCACAAAGGCGAGAACAAAGAGCCCTAGTTGTTGCAAACCGAGTCGCTGGGATTGGTCGTGCAATGTCCCTCCCCCCTTGTTCTGGACCACAAAGGAATGGGAAACGGGGAAACGGTGCAACTATGCACGCATAAAGAGATTTGTGATGGAAAGGCACGTGTGTATTATGCCTGGACGTATCAGAGTCAGCCGCAGCTGGACCCGGGCAGTTGGAAATGAGGACGCCTCAGCAGAATTGGGAACGTCTGTGGAGGTTACGGGGACGGTTTTGTGGAGGCTGGGGAAGGTTGGTTGTCAGAGAGCCTAGACTCGGCTTTCAAGTGTCTGTGTGTTCGTCCGAATCATCTTGTTCCTGAAAATCGTCCGATGAGATCCTCAGGGGAAAGTAGAGCGATGCAGAACTTCAAACCGATCCTTGTATTTTGGACGACCTATTATTCGGATGATATCAATATCTTCATACAGATTTTCATTGCTCTCAATCTCAGCAGGGCCATCTTTCATTACAGGCCCATCTGCCCAGTCGTGACTCATGGCAAGGAAGCTCAGTATATATAAGCTAATGGGATAAGAAATAGGTCTATGCGCCGACGCCACGACCCGTCAAGGCTTTATTCTCTGCTCTAGCCATGTCTTCTCGCCGGTTCCATTGTCAGCTTGTTAAGCGACGACCGAAGTCCCCATTAGCACAGATCCCTCAGACCTGTCCATCCGCAGTCTCGGGACGGTCAGCACCTGTCTGCGAGGTCAGTCAAAAAAGGGGATGCCGTGGTTGGTCAGCCCGTGAAGAACCTCAATCCACCTCGGTTTAACCCGAACGCTATGGATCTAGAAGAAGCCGGCTAGGCCCGCCAAACCTCTCTGCTGGGTCTATCAAAGGTCTGGCTATGTTTAGAGCTCGTGGAGATGAGTGGATCGTGCCCCAGATTCACATTGCTCTTCAGCCCCAGCCAAACTTGAATATGGATCACACATGTAAGCAGACTAGACACCGTGTAGCTTCAGTCTAGACGGTGGAGGAAATGAGAGCTGCCAGCATGTGGGAATCATCACTTTGAGTTTTGGCAGCTGCTGACTACAGCTGTCGCCCAACGGCTGAAAAGCTTATACACATGATAACGCCATTGCCAGTTTTCTCGGAACACCGGCACATGGAGTCTCTTTCTGCCGTAAAAGTATGAAAATGAACTATTTACGTGCCTTCTCGGAGGAAACGAGGCGCAATAAACTTCTTTAAAGGTCCATCTGGGATTCAAACAGAGCAGAAGGATCGCCATCCTTGTTTTGCGGTGTTGAAGAGGCGGGCTCTGCCAACGTATCTTGTTGATCAGAGCTGGCAACATCGTTAGTCAACGAGGAAAACTGCCTCAAAACACAATGGTGATACCCTAAGAACCAGATGTATGGACCATTGAACCGTGTCGGCAACTTTACATTGTAGACTTGCATCGAGACCATGGGGCAGTCTTTCAGCTCACAGTTCTAATGCGAGATTAATAGAATAAAAGTCATGTTCAGAGAGGCGGGCAGAAAGGGGGGAAACAAACGCCCAACCAATCATTTGAACGCAAAGGTACTGAAGGACAACCGGGTGGCTGCTCGGACGGAGCGACATTGTCCGATTACACTGTGGCTTGTCTTGTCTTCGCAAGCTCTGCTGCCTCGAGAATCACAAGGCCCTGGCATAACCGGTCCGCTGACGTTCATTTCTTCCTTTTTGCCTGCCACATTCTGACCCAAACACCATGCCATTAGTTCGTATTCCGGCATATGACGAACTCAAATAATAGAGAGCTCAGCACAGCATTATTACATTGTGTGGCATTAAATCTTCAACACGTAAAGCGTGGCATTGCGCGCGTCGTGAGCGGGTAGAACGCAATACCAGTTTTCCCATTGACGCAGAACATCATTTGAAGGATCTGACTAAACCTATGTTGGACAGATCAATTTAGACGGCGTGGACAAATCTGGCATATAAGCCCCTAAATTCGATGTTCCGCATGCAATTTGAAGAGCAGGCACGGATATTGCTCCCCACTGGAATCACTCTATCATAGACGCGTATCCTCAGGTGCGTAACGTTCAAGTAGTCTTTCTTGACGGGGGCAGCTTGAAGAAGGGTTCCGTCAGATACAACAATACTCTATGTCCGAGTACGATGCCTTGATCATTTACTGCCTTCCTGACATATCTAAAACCCTCAAGCAGGCGAGGCATTAAGCATCCAAGCAAGCCGGAGAATGGAGGTGATCAAACAGCTTACGTGGGCTTCAGGAGAACAGCATGTGGATAACCCTCAGTGTGTACAGGATTCCACCATGATCACCTACAGGTGACGACACCTTTTTATTTGTCAATTCATAAAGGCCCTGGCTACCTCAATACAGCACTCTCTTGTGCATCACGCCATCCTGCCGAAAGCCATTCTTGAAAGTCTGGAGTTCTACAGCACTCCAAGCGGACGGAAGAATTCACATCATTCAACGTTACTGATCACATTCAATGAACAACAATGATCCATCTTTGAATCGGATTGAAGAAGCAAGAAGTTCTTATGCAAGAGTAACCTGACTTGAACCGCCAAGCGACAAGCGCCGAGCCTCGCCCAAGAAGCGCCGAGCGCCGGGTGGTCCCAACGTCAGCGAACAATCCCTGACAGCCAAGCGCTCCCAAGAACATGCGGGTCCTATGACAATCATGAACCAAGACAATCCTTCCTTGGCCTCGCTCAACGGTGGTCGTCAGACCGGCGAAGGGTGGCCGGCTCGCGCCCTGCTCCACCCAGCGGAAGTCCACAACAACACAACAACCACCTGCTTCCTCCGCTTGGCGCCGAGGAAACGGTGACGCCGCCGCGAATTACGGGCCCCTCCGCCGAGAGTCTGAGGGCGGGCCACACGCATACTTCAACGACGTTTTATCCAATGAGGGTTCCGCTGTCCGCCGGCCGGCCCTGTCCGCCCAGTCACTCTGTTAAGACACTAAGATTCTTGTCCGTCATTTCGCCATGCTGGGCAGCTGGGCATCCCACTCTATTTCTCTGGGCAGGTTTGGCTTGTCGCCTCCTTAGACATTAACATTGATACCTGTTTACCTGCCCAGCGCCAGTTTCCAGTACCCAGGGGGGCCCCGCGCAGTGTCGTTTTCGTCCCTTCTTCCTCCCATCGTCCTCTCCGCCGCCCTTAAACTGAAGTCTTGGCATTCCGGGGAAACAACGACTTCATGGGATATCACGATCTTGGCCTCCCATTATGCTTCACCAACTTAATGAGAATGACTATTTTTGCGTTGTAATTGCAAATGCAATCAATTGAGCCAAGAAACCTAGCCGCCCGTACATCTACTTCGCACCTTTCCAAAAACAAGACTCCGCCAACGGCTATCACCTCCACCTTTCAGCTTTAATGCTTCTTGTTCAAGAGATCAGCCTGCCAACATCCACCATTTTGGCGTTGTCGGAATGCGTGTCGCAGATTTCCTCTGCAGCAGTGATAGATGACAGTTCCAAGCCCGAACTAGTGGTTCATCTTGTCCAACAACGGACACGGCTGTGCGCTTCCTGGGGCCTCCAAGCCTCCAGCTTCTCTCATCGTTTCAAATTCTTCACGGTCCACAAGAGGGAGGACCAACATGCGGCAACGGCCGAGCGGATGTGCGTCCCAGAATCACCGGCGATGTTACCGACAAGAGTTCTATCTGTAAGACAGTCCACAACCAAATGGCCGAGATTGACTGGAAGGCCCAACTCTTGTACTCGTCAGCGAGGACGTTTCGCAAGACGTTGCATCTTGAATGACCCAGACACCGCCGCCCTTGGTCCGGGTTTCCTTATTCTAGAGCGCTCTTATCTCCCTAGGAGAGACACTGCCTGTCGTCTCCCGCGCCGGAGTGCCGCTCTTCCCCGAATGTTCCATCGATGGCCTCCACGACCCGTCCCCTGGTGACAATAGTCCCCTATCAGGATCTACGCGGCACAACTTGGCCATGAATCAGATGCGTTTTGGTCCATTTCCAAATTTCTAAAAATTCACCTGTCACTGCGATCTGCGGCCAAGCCGCTCCCTTTTGGTCCGTGGCCAAGTATGGCCCTGGTAAACATACCACTGTTAAATAGACCGACTCTCGGCGCTGAGGAGAAATCACTTGCCTTTTCCCGCCGCTCACCAGACCATTATCCATCAGCAGCGCTGGGGTACCGGGTGACCGTCATACCACAAGAGACTAGAGGACATCTCTGCACTTCGTCATTTCAAGTTTCTCCTATCTGACTTCATCTTTTGCGCGATTTTCCTTCCCTTCTCTAGACGTCCTTTTAATAATCCTTTATCTTCTCTCGAGGGGTGTTTGATATCTCTTGTCTTCCTTTTTCCCCAGACATTTCATGCAATCATCGTATGAGCAATAGCTAAAGAGATCTTCCCCTTACATCCAAAGCCCTTGCCGGCCAAGGCAGCCTCCCTCGTCACACACACACCACTGCCTCTGGGCACACGGAGATCTCCAACCTCAGAGTGAAGCCACAATCAACAAAGCAAGATGCCTACTCTCGATCCCAGCGAACTGAATGTTGTGCTTGCCGTCTTCGGTGGGTACCCCAAGCCTTGGGCCGTTTGACTGTGACTAACCATCGTATCTCATTTGCAGGAGGCTTCATCATTCTTTACGGTGTCATCTCTGTCAAGATTAAGAATGCGTGGTACCTAGGCGAGGCCTGTAAGTATCTTGCCCTGCTAGTCCCTTACCATCAGATCAGTCCTGCATGGCACGATGCAGCACATGGGTACGCCAAGCGGATACACTGACATTCTTTTCTTCATCTTGTAGTACCGGCCGTGGTTCTAGGCGTGTGTCTTGGTCCACTCGCGGCCAAGTTCCTCGACAGCGAAAGATGGGGGTCAGCTGTCCCAGGTCAGACAAACGACATCACTCTGGTTCGTACAGCCTTTGCCAACTCGCCCCTGCCAACCATGATGCCACGTGCTTATTGGCTAAGAAACTGACGAGTTACTCATGATAGGGTCTCATGAGAGTGATGATCGGCATCCAACTTGTCATGGCTGGCTACCAACTCCCCGCGAAATACCAGAAGACCAAGTGGAAGGACATGCTTGTTCTGATGCTACCCGTCATGACTATTATGTGGCTTGCTACCACTATCTGCATCCTTGCAACTATCCCAAAAGTGACCCTTTTGGGAGCGATGGTTATTGGATCCTGTGTTACATCCACAGATCCGGTATTGTCACAAGCTGTCGCGAAGGGCCCGTTTTCGGACAAGTTCGTGAGACGTTCGCTCCGAGAGATTATATCATCGGAGGCTGGAGCAAACGATGGCTTTGGTTTTCCGTTCCTCATGCTGAGTGGGAAGTATCACGTCTCCATTTGGTGTACGTCTTGGCTAACTGATCTCCCCAGTGTACCTTATGCGGCATGCGGACGGGAAGGAAGCATTGCATACCGGTGACTCCACCTTGCACGCGGTAGCGCGTGCTCTGCTACCGAGGGCAGGAGATGTCGGTCGTCAAGGCGGTGGAGTGGGAATCGCCCTTCAGAATTGGTTCCTCGAGACCTGGCTTTACTTCGTCCTTATGAGTATTGCTTATGGCGTCATTTTTGGAACCCTGATCAGATATGCTTTGAAGTTCTCGGTCAAGAGGTGCGCACAATTCGGACGCAGGGGGTTGTTGAAGTCTGCGACTAACAAGATACCAGGAAGTGGATCGATTCCGAGAGCTATGTCCTTGTTCCGACTGCCATCGGCGTGCGTATCACCCCCGAAACCTGAAAGCGAGTAGATCTAACAGTGTTATAGCTTTTCATGATGGGAACCTCCGGAGCTATCGGTACCGACGACCTTCTTTCCTGCTTCGTCGCCGGCAGCGCACTTAACTGGGATGGAGAATTCCTAGCTGAAGCGCAAAAGAGACACGACGAGGTCAACGCCAGTATCGACGTTTTGCTCAATTTCGGCGGCTTCATGTACCTTGGCACCATCATCCCATGGAGCGAGTTCAACTCGGATATTACTGGGATCAGCCCCGGACGGCTCTTCGGCCTGGGCGCTCTTGTCCTCCTGTTCCGTCGGATCCCTGCAGTGCTGATGACCTACAAGCTGATGCCCAACACCATCAAAGATTGGAAGGAGGCCTTCTTTATGGGTTATTTTGGTCCAATCGGTGTTGGTGCTGCTTTCTACGTCGAGCACGCCCGCCATCTTTTCCCCAAGCTGGCGGAAGCAGAAGCGGTTGGCGATAACGAGGTCGTTGACGTGCTCCGCGCTATGGGTCCTGTCGTCTACTGGCTGGCGCTGTTTTCCATCGTCGTCCACGGCCTCTCTATTCCTATCCTCAGCGCCATCTACAGCTACATGGGCGTCAAGCCGATCCAAGAGGACGCCGTCCAGCTTCGCCGCCGCTCCGTCCGTGTTCCGCCACCCGCAAACGCTGTCGAAGGCGACAGAGACACCTTCATCGCCTTCAACAGATTCTCGCGACCGAACCTTTCCACTGAGTCGCTCAGCCATATGGGTGATGATGACTCGATCGCTGACGAGAAGGTCCGATATCCGGACCTCGAATCGGGACTTCAGGAGGCCAAGCAGAATGCCCAGATGTCCCCTCGAAGGAGCTTCAACATACCGAGGCTTACTGCGCCTCGAAGCTTAAGTCGTCCCCGGACCAGCACCAGTCAGGTGCAGTGGGATCAACCTCACGTCACCCGCGACTGATGAATTACCGTGACCGTGGAAGAGCAAAGCTGGAAGAAAGATATGAGGAGCATTTCGCGGAGCAGGACATCTTCGTCACGCGATCTATGAGATAAAAAAGATGATGAGTAGGAGATGGGAAGTACAATTTGCTTCTTCATACTGGGCTCATACACATACGGGTTGGCCGCTATTGCTGTCTTGATGACTCGCTCTGGTGGGTGCAAGACTTCTGTGCGCTTGCGATTACAATTGAGGATCGGTGGAGGACATCGGCGGGGGCGCAATTCTCTGTACGACTGCATATGAAGCTGTACATACCGAGATACCAGATTGCAAAGAGCGGTCCGAAACAAACACAAAGTTCACTGAACCAAATAGTTGTATTCACCTATGCTGGTCCACGTTGTCGCGAAGTCGTGTGAGATTCAACAGGGAAAAAAACGAGGGTTGAACGCACTGAAAGACCAAGAAACCTGGGGCATGAGAGGTCTGGGAAAATCATTGGTGTCAGTGGAGTTAGTCCCGGGCTACTGTAACAATGCGAAGAAGCCTGCGACACCAGCGCCTCCCACCGGGTGGTAACTGCGGCGGAGCTCCGCTGCGACTCATGACATGAACATGCTAGCTAGTGAAGCGGCAACATGGGCACTAGTTGCGGGAACTATTCCTCATTTAATTTAGGGGCAGAAAGCGTCTTTAAGCACTTGTTAAAGTTGTTCCTGCTTCTATTCAAGCATCTGCTTGCAGACGTACTTCATAGAGTGCCGTTGAACCAAGGGTCCTGAGCGGGGAGGGCTATCCCTGCAGCTAACGTGGGTTCTCCCACCTGCAAAGCCCCCGCGTCTCCGACAGTTTGATAAAAGATCCGTCCGTGGCAGTCAGTAGACGCGTAGATCATTTGCGGCCCCGGGTTGCGATATAAGTCCGTGAGGACAACGCTGGCATATTTTTCTGCGTTTCAACTATGAAGCTCCCTAGGGTGAGGTAGCTCATGAACTGGCTGACGATCAAGAGTGGTAAACTATAAAGCTCTTGAAATCGAGACATGAGTCTGGAGAAGTCCTGTCTCAGTTTTCCGACAAGATTTTGACCCAAATTTTCATCAGTAAACATGCCTGAGTGTGGTTCAATCGTGGACGGGGTCGTGCGATACCCTCTTTCTGGAATCAACGTTGTCATCGTTGGTGCAGGCTTAGGTGGCTTACAGGCAGCCGTCGAATGTTGGAGAAAGGGTCATGAGGTTCAAGTACTTGAGAAGGGGGAGGCCATCTCCGAGGCTGGTGCGCGTGCAATTTGTCTACGATTATCCTCTAGTTTTCGACTGACGTCTTTTGCCTAGGCGATGTTATCAGACTCGGCCCAAATAGTTACGCCACCTTGAAGGAGTACCCCACGATGCTTCAGGAATGGGACCAATTTGCTTTCGACGTTGAAACATGTTTCTGCCATCGCGATGGGAAGTTCGCCATCCCAAAGGCCGAGTTCGAGCACCACCTCCCAGGAGTTGCCACGCATGTCATCTGGCCCATCCGAGCCAAGCCAATAGCGAGTCGGAGAGATCTTGCCTTGATGTTCTTGGGTCAGTGCAAGCGGTTGGGAATTCCCGTGACCTACAATGTCAACATCACACAGTACTCCGAGGATGGCAAGGGAACTGCTACGGCCCATGCTGAAGACGGTCGCACTTTCACTGGCGACGTTGTGATAGCGGCGGATGGCATCGGCTCTAAGAGTTGCGGTGTAACGCTGGGCAAACCGGTTCGAGCAGTTAGCACGGGATATTGCGCTGATCGTGTCATGTACTCGACCGACCACATCAAAGATGCTCCCGCCTTGCAGAAAGCAATTGCTGAGCTTGAACGACCGCAGCTGCGCATGTATACCGCGTACGTCTTCTACATGGTCCTTGCACCGCAGGTTTCACTGACAGAAGTCTAGTCCTGACATGTACCTCGTGTTCCTCTTGTCCAAGACTCATATCTTCCTGGGTATCACGCACAAGGTATACGTTTCTCGCCACCTTGTAACTCAAGCTAATGTAAAATCCACAGGATGATGGCACCGCCGTAGAGTCCTGGTCATCGACCGTGACCCCTGAGCAAACCGCGGATGTCATGCCCGATAAGGAGAGCTGGGATCCAGTCCTCATGGAAGCGATTCACAGTACCCCGCCGAACACTGTTGTGCGATGGAAGCTGTCCTGCCGCAACCCCCAACCCAAGTGGCACTCCGATGGCGGTCACATCATTCAAGTTGGTGATGCAGCGCACAGCTTCATCCCATCATCCGGGAACGGAGCGTCCATGGCTCTTGAAGACGCCATGTCACTTCCCGAGTGCTTGAGGCTGGGGGGCAAAGATCGCATCTCGCTGGCTATTCGAGTTCATCAGCTTCTCAGGTAAGTTGAAAGGATTGTGCAATGCATCCAACATGGCTTCTAACCGCTGCAACGTAGATATGAGCGTACGTCACTGCTACAACACAATGGCTTCGTCAACAGGCGTCAGGTTCACCGCGACATGAACGAGATTCTCAAGGATGAAAGACAGCCTATGCTGCTCGGCAAGTGGGTATGGACACATCATGCCGAGAAATATGTCACCGAGAATTTTGAAAACGCTGGCTTGGCAGTTGAGGGCGGCAAACCGTTCAAGAATACCAATCTACCAGTAGGTCATCAGGTGCAGCCCTGGAGTATTGAGGAAGAGGAAGAGAAAGAGAAGTCCGGGATCTTTGTTGAGGATTTGAAGAACACGGGCGACTGGGGCTTGATCTGAGGGACGGACATTTGATAGTGTCAAGACTAGCGTCTTGCGGAATCCCTATGAACGTAGGAAGAGACAAAGGTGCAGATGAAGGTCAAATTCAATTTGGTTAGAATTTAGTGTACAGTTGACTTGATTCCTTCCTACTAAGTGGGGTTTCCTACCATCCAGTGTGCCGGATTGCCTTTGCGAAGATAGCTCCGCCTAATTAGCATCCAGACTATTTGTCTACTTGAGTTGTAAGATATGTGTACAAAATACCGACGCTAGCTCTCCGAAAATCCCACGATGGAAATGTCAGTCGCGTCACAATCAAAATTGGCTACACAACTAATTCAGCCTTACCTCTAGTATGCTGTATCGACAACGGATAGTTGAGCTCAGAATTCGCTCAGCCCCTTTGCGTTGGCCAGCCCCCTCGGGGAGTGGTGGGGGTGGGGGTGGGGAGTGCAGTTCTGTCATTGTTTATATACCTCCGTAGGGATTACACAAGTTAGCGCGGTCCTATACTAGCCTTCTGAGGTATGATTTTCATGATTTTCAGAGGTCTCTTCAGGGATAAAAAAGGCGGCCATTTAAATCTAGCTACAGATCTTTTCGAAGGAATTATTCTGGAGCTCACCCGTTTAAAAATTCGGGTCGTGGCGATGTTATTCTCATATAATTTTCTATGAGTATTACATACTCTCAAACCGCGAGCCAGTCGGCCTGAGCCCTCGATGTGTGGGCCGAAAAGTAATACGCTAACTTGTTTAATCCCTACGAAGGTATATACATCCCCCGTGTACGAGTGGAGCAACATATTGGCTCAAAAAGTTGACACTCACCAATCCTCATACGATATGCGTGTTTTGACTAGATTAGGACCACGGCCGATGCCGAATGCCCCTGGCGCCCTACCCACTGATACCCGGTGGGATCGAAAAAGTGCCGGTCGATTCGCAATTATTGTGGAGGTTCTTCAACGCCGGCAGTGTCTCAACCTTGGCACGGGGACTTGAACCAGTCCGATTCCGCAATCGGAATCCCATCTCGCCCGGCTGTTGGGCTTCGAAATGCATAATACCATTAGCTGAAGTGTCAAACCTGCCAAAATGTCGCTCTCAGTATCTATTCCCACTCCAGTCTTCTTCTTTTGCGTCATTGCATCATCTTACAATTCTTGAGCAGATTCAAAGGCTTCGCAATGCCTTTCCGAGTTGTTATCGTTGGGGGTAGTGTGGCTGGCCTTGCGCTGGCCAACATGCTTGAGAAATTCGACATCGACTACGTAGTATTGGAGGCTTACCCCGACATCGCACCTCAAGTTGGCGCCAGTATCGGTCTGTTGCCAAACGGCCTCCGGATCCTGGACCAGCTTGGCTGTTACGAAGCGTATCGAGCAAAGGCTGAGGATCAAGTCTACCAACAAGCGTACCTGAGGGAGCCCTCAGGCAAGGCGTATGGCTATCAACACGATCTCATGGAAATGTGGGAGAAGATGTGAGTTGTATCTTTGTGATGCCGGTTCTATAGTTGATGCTGATTGAAACGCAGGCTTGGATACCCAATGATATTCATTGACAGACAGATGCTCATCCAGGTTCTCTACTCTAACCTAAAGTACAAGGAAAAGGTTCTTACCTCCAAGCGAGCCGTTTCTGTCGACATCATGGAATCCTCTGCCCAGGTTACAACGAAGGATGGCCACGTCTTCAGTGGTGACATCGTCGTCGGAGCCGATGGCATCCACAGCACTGTGAGGAAGGAGATGTGGCGCAATGCTCCTCCTGGCTACTTCCCCCATGACGAATACTCCAAAGTTCCCGCTACAACTCTTTGCATTTTTGGAATCTCCCATCGACCCGAGGCCTACCCCGCAGCTAGCCAGCACAACACCCTTTCCGAGGGTCACAGCTACTTTCTCATGGCGGCTCCCGGTAACAGAGTGTACTGGTTCCTGTTCATGGAGTTGAAAGAGACTCTTTACGGAGAGAATATTCCCAGGTGGGTTGGACGAAGACGTTTCTCATGTGCGTTCACGTGCAGTGACTGATGTCAATGTTGGAAAGGTACACCAAAGGCGATGAGGCAGAAATCGTGAAACATCATGTGAACGACCAAATCCTGGAGAACATGACATTTGGAGAACTCTACGAGAAGCGCATCGTGACTACTTTGGCACCACTCCAAACTTATGTGTTTGAGAAGTGGCACTACAAGAGACTTGTCACCATCGGAGACTCTGCTCATAAGGTAAGCCGCCTGAAACTCAAATTCCGACGTGATGTGACCGCTACCAGCATTTGCGCTAACAACGGTGTCTTTGGCAGGTCGATCCTGTGACAGGTCAGGGTGGAAACGGCGCCATTGAGTCAGGGGCACTTCTAGTCAACGCTCTGCTCCGAAAGTTTGACTCGAGCCCCGAAGGTCTTAGCGAGAAACAAGTAGAAGATGTGTTGGCAGAGGTTCATGCCATCAGATTCGTGAGTAACTCATACGACACACCGATCCTGTCACAAATACTAATCACATATTGCACGAGCAGGAACGGGCCCAAGATGTTGTCCAGCAAGGCTACTGGCTCCAGAACGCCTTCACTCAACGGTCAACGATGGGCAAGCTCATTGCCCGTTACTTCATGCCAGCCCTTGGATCCTTCGGAGTTCTTTACAGAGGTGTGGAGTTCTGCTCTCCAGCAACCAGCTTGCATAGACTTGAGATTCCGCGTCGTCCTCGGGCTGTCCCGTTTGAAGACGAGCTGCCCGCAAGACCAGTGAAGAACCTGAGCAAGATCAATAAGCTTGCATCTATTGCTGTCACCACGCTTCTTTGTGCCTTGGCTGGCGGCCTGGTACGCTTGCCCAAGGGCCTTGAGTTGGCTATTGACGCTTTATGCTCGATGGATGTCGCGAATTCGTCAATCTCACCGGCCGTGACGTTTCTCGTCAACACAGCCTCGCTTCTGGCGATGGCGCTAGTTGAATCTAACCGAGTTGGCAACAAGATTACTTCTTGGGTCCAGTGAGTTTCTCCTTACCGACGGAGTCCACAGACCTTCCCTGAGAACCACGCTGACTAGTAACAAAGGATTCTCACCTTCTCTCTTGTCAACAACTTCCTTGGGCCAGGCGCGATAGGACCACTAGCTGCGCTGTTTGCCCACTGGTCGTGTTGTCTCATTGTCGGAAGACATGTGCCGCTTGAGGCGGCAAAGATGGTGCTGCCAATCGTCACAGTCGGGTATGTCCTTCCAGCCGCGATCGCCATGTTCAGGATGGACTCGAGCTCGATCACAATCTGGAGAAATGCTCCCATCATCTGCTTCATGCTAGCAAGAAGTCTCTCGGCTCTTGGTAACTCGCCACGCCAAGTTGACGACGAGAAGTCCAAGCTTCACATCGAGAGGGAAAGAACGCGCAACATGTTTGCCAAGGCAGATTTGCCATACATCCGACTCGTCCACTACGTTGCGTTCATCATTTCTGCAGCTGTTCATCTAATCAACGTCTTAAATCACGGCTTAAGCCATGGCTTAATATTTGGCGGGAACGATGCGACCTTGATGGCGTTGGTATTCTCCAAGTATGAGGGCATGGCCTTCACATTGTCGTCACTTCTTTTGGCTCTAGGAGCTGCACCCTTGAGCCTACGGCTTTGTGGGTACATTACAGATTCTCAGTGTTCAAGATCTGCCATCCTCATTTGCCTTGGAATTCCGATAGTTGGTCCCACGGCCACGGTCGCGGGCATGGCCGCTTACAGAGAAGGGGTTCTTTCCGGGTTTGGCCACTGAAACAAAATGTTTGGATACCACCCATCTCATCACAAAAGGAATTTTCAATATGTGGTACCTACTACTGAGATGGCCGTCGTGGGAAACGGTGCTATTTAAGTACGTTTTTAAAGTATGTCTTCAATTCAGGCATGCCTTCTCTCGGCAGCATATACCTGTTCTTCGTTCTTTGAGGTTGTCATATCTCTGCTGACTTCCCCGGAGTTTGAGACCTGTCGGTTTAACCTGTCGTGGTATTTTGATTGGGGTATGGGGACTTTTACAGTAGTGTCGCAGATAATTCGCAACAATAGTCAATTTCTTCAATCTAGGATGCATCGGATAATTTGCATGCACCTGTTCACGTTCTCGATTGTAGTTATGGATCCTCACCGCTCTAGGCATCAGGCAGTCCTTGCGAGACCTCTGCGTTCTTGACTAACCTGGACCACGAATTGTCAACGATTCTCTTTCTTCCCTTCTAACTTTTCTTCTTCGCAGTTTGAGACTCTTAATCTCAAGGTTGTTATTGATTCTCTACCATGCAACGACGCACAATAAATTCGTTTTGTGGGATTTTGAAATGTTTCAGTGCAAACTTCTACACAGTGAAAACACCACGATCCCATGTTCTTACTAAAAGTTTAACGTGATAGAAGTTGTCCATCATATGTAGACAAAGCTTGGAAACGTGATATTCAGAGGTCGGTGTGCTATCATTGGAACCTATCACCGTTCCGTCTGTCCATTCTCTTCGTGATTATTGCTGCAATCTTATCAAGCTGAATGGCGTTTCGTTTGGATGCAATATTGTACGAGATAGGCACCCAACTTTGACTATAAACCTGGGTATCTACGAAAGAACACATGATATTAAACAAGGAAACGCTATATCAAGCTTGACAGAAAATGAACACCACGCTGAACCCATCCCGAGCATCGTACACCCTTTTCGTACAGCATTTTATCCACACGCGTCTGACATTGAGCGAGTCCTCTACCCCGTCGCATTTTCGGTCGTTCGCAGCAGATTTGGTTGGATAACCTCATCGGGAATTTCGATTCGTGACTTGATCTTGAATTTATTCTGACGAAGCTACGATCGCACGTCAGATTGGTCTTTCAGTTGACTAAACTGGCGTCATTTGTTTTGTTACCTCTATTGTGAAGTTTCCGGGCCCGCAATATTCCCGCAAGGAGTTCAGAAATATCTGTTGGTTCTTGATATTACGTGAATGAATCACAGTCTCTGTTGAGAGGCTAGCCAAACTGCGACCAGAACCTCTTCTCCCCAAGGAAGGCGCTTTTTGTCGGACCTCAAAGGTAGGCATGGTTTAAGATTCGTTATTTGCCAAAGGCTCTTGTTGGTGTTCAGAGTTGTATGAGCCCAGAAGGGGGGGAGGACATTGTTGGCCTTGGTCGCACAGCGGGGCTACGTTCATCGAGTATTATACCGCCGATCACCCCAGTTGCAACAGGTGGCGTGGACTGCCTATCTGGGACAAAGGCGCCTATTTACCTAGTGGTGGGTAACAAGTACCTAGTCCTGCGACGTTGGAATGCGTAGGGGGGGCTGAGCTAGTGGTGTCATCTTCCGACCACTCAACATTCCGAAGGAGAGGTCGCGGCTCGCGCTCCTTGACTCACCGGATGACCACACTGTCAGCCCACGCGATGTAAGTCAGCTGAGTCTCGGAGTTGTGAAAGGTGGCGTTGAAGTCCATTCACAACACCTGCATGGTTGGCGGACTGGCAAAATCGTCTTAGTGAGCTGGCTTACAAACGAAGCCTCATACATGAAATATGTTTTTTAAAAGGTGTAGAATCCAACGGAATGACTGTACAGTAGGTGAAGTCATTGATTTTGATAAGGCTGTTGCATGGTGCCATCCAGCCACTCGTACCCATTGTCGAGCAATGGGGGGAGGGGGGCAGAAGCAATTACTGAGACATGGCCACAAAGTCTTACCTAGTGTGACAGTGACAAGACATGCCTGCACTACGGCAGCAGACCCAAGCTCCGTGGCCGACGGCGACCGTGGTGATCACGGCTGAATCAACAAGGGGTACCTATGTACTCCCAGCCTAGACAAGGTGCTTTCTAAGGGAGATAGAAGAGGTAATGTCAATTTTCCAACCCCTTCCAGTTTTCCATATCTGTGCCTTGCTGTATATTGTACCTCGGCAACCCCTTCCAGACTCCCAAATTTCGTCGGAAGGCAAGGATCAGTATCTCGCGTGCTGTTTTCATCTGAAATCAGACCCTGTCAGTCTGCACTAAGCGATGGAGTAATCAGTGGGTGATAATTCTGCGGGAATTCCAGAAACGGAAATATTAGCATCTCTCTTTGGAATGTAAATGGAAGGACTTTAAATTGGTGGCATTATTTCTAATTTATGAGGATACCAACCGTTGTTTTCAAGAGTGGACTGAGTTTTCCTACATTCATCAGCCAGCTTCAATGGATGCATGTGAACGAACTTTTCCAGCAAACCTTTCCGAATGATATCAAGATGGTTTCCAGTCATGTGACCCCGCAAACAGTTTTGTTGCTATGTGACATTTAGTTCTATCGAACGGTTTATATTGACGCACGGTGGGAAGTGAATTATCTAGTTCACAGTCAATTTTGTCGTCCATAGGACGATGGCCCGGTACTTCGATTTGCTTGTTCTCTTGGAAGGCAACGCCCTGCATTCTTCCCTGGTGATATTACCGAGTCTTGATAGAACCTCTTGTATCTCATTCGCAAGGAGCTCTTCATGCTCATGATTTTTTGAGCAAGATAGACGATGAGACAACGAGGTTTAGTACACAGATACGTGGACGCACTGGAAGTTCGGTTCGTTCGTGCAAGTACACTGAGTATCCCTTCAAGCGCCACCATCGCCGGCTTGATCTGGTGATTCATAAACCCCGTGGCTCTTTTCAGCTTTCTCACATCCCTTTAGAAACAGTACTTGCACTTTTGGTTCAAGTCTTTGGCAATACCATGTACCGCCGCATGCCTGGACATTACCCAATTATGCAAACCCAGGCAGCGAGGCATGTTGGGGATTGGAGTCCACTTTGAGGCTGAGATCTACCAAGTAGGAAGGTTTCCTCTAATCAGGCTATTACTTCCACACAGGTTGCTGTTAAGTTCAAAGCCGGCTGGGTCGCACAATGCCTCCTTCCCGTCCTTCTTGAAAGCCTGATCGGCTCGGGCCCGCAAGATATGTCGCACTTCGAACTACTGTGACATACCAGATCCAGATCTTTGTCCGATCACAGGTAGGTAAGCATTGATATGGTGTCCGAGCGCTTGTCTTTTGTTAACCTAGTCAGAGGCCCTGATTTCGCGGATGCCGGCGACACAACTGTGAACACGCACACTTACTGTGGAAATAGTAGCCAGGAGAAGTTCAGTGAGTCCATGCTTTATTCAGAAATTCATATGGGCTGCAAAGGGCCACTAACACTAGACCCTCGCACCAGATAACATACGATGCCAGCCTAAGAGAGAACGAGCCTAGGACGCCCATACATAACCCACGTAGTCGAAATTCGCGGGTTCAGTTGCATAATGCGGGTGTTGGTTGTTAATGGTCACCAAACTCCCTCAACAGACCCGCGGTGAGCCCTTCGTGGGGCAACCAGCAGGCCATCCAGCTCTAGATACAATGTCACCTCAACACAGCGAAGCTCAAAATACTGATCAATTGGCGAGCCAGTTGCGACAGAAGATCTGTTCCACTGATCACAACACCTCATTCCTACCTCTAGATGCTCTGGATGACATCCTCGCTGGAACGGATAATCTAGCCGCACTACAACGATACACAAGTAGTCCAGATGGCGAAGCAGTCGGCCTCGACACGATCAGGAGCTTTGTTTGGGCGAACGATGCATCATCTTCTTCTCCTTCATCAACGACGACGGCACCAGGATCGAAGATCCTAGCGGTACTATTGTTAATTGAGAAGCCGCAAATGATTCACAGATTCATCTTGAATGATGTGAAGGACGACGGGTTGCCATTTGAGTTTACCTTCAAAAATGGTTCGTGGGATATACGAAGTCGACATGGGCAACAAATCGACCACTTGTTTTCCGGATGGGGCTACCTGCATATCGACAACTTCTCCAGACACCAATGGTCTGTCTTGTCACCGTTCTTTCGGAAGCCAGACGACAAAAGCCAAGACAAGGTGTACCATTACGATCTGCAGAAGGAAACGGTTCTTCCTTTCGAAAGATCTGAAGAGGAGGGTCTGAATGCGGGCAAAGGTAGCTATGGAACAGTCTTCAAGGTCAAGATTCACGCCGCCCACTGCGATTTCGACCCTTGTAGTGTAAGTATAATACCAATTCCCTAATCGAAATCCTCGAATTCGTTGCAATGTTAAACAAGGAGTCAGAATCCAAACCTTGAATTTGGGATCAAACGGCTCGAAAGATCAGAAGAGATAGCATTTAATAATGAGGTCGACACACTCAAGAGATTCAGTATCAACACAAACAATCACCTCATCCAGCTTCTCGCTACGTACAAGTGGCGAAACAGTTACTATCTTGTCTTTCCATGGGCGGACAAGAATTTACAAGGGCTTTGGGAAGCAATTGAACGGCCACAAAACAGCCTGAAGTTATCTTTGTGGGTGGCGCGGCAATGCCACGGGCTCGCGGTTGGACTGAGCAACATTCACGTCTATCAATCTCAACCTCAGAATGAAACAGGCGTATCTACTCTAGCCCTGCCATCTGACGAAAAGCCCTACGGACGACACAACGACATCAAACACGAAAATGTACTTTGGTTCAAGGATCACAGCAACGATGCCGAGGAATACGCCGGAGAACTGAAGATTTCGGACTTCGGGTTTGTCAGGTTCAACAGCGAAGGATCGCGCTCCATCATCCCCACACACAATCTATTTACACCGACGTATATGCCGCCCGAGTGCGCCCTGCCGAATCACATTATCTCTCGATCCTTTGACCTGTGGTCTTTGGGCTGTATGTATTTGGAATTCGTAACTTGGTTATTGAAGGGCTATACCGCTGCCACCGACGATTTCATAGACGACCGAATCGACGATTGCCAAATCGAAGAGGATCGACGCGTCGAAGTCACCGAATTCAAGGATGACAACTTCTTCATAATACGGGACAACATAGTGAGTCTCAAAAACTCCGTAGTTGCGGTAAGTAAAAAGTATCTATCCTAGTTGATGTCGTAAGGTAGTATGGAAAACTGACTGACTGACTGGTGGTTTTAGTGTATCAAAAGCCTTCACTCGCATCCTCATTGCACGGCGTATCTGCACGACTTCCTCGACTGTATCGCTAACCGACTTCTGCTGCCGGACCCTACCCAACGAATAAGCTGCGGTGACCTCGTTCGAGAGCTTGACGGAATTCTTCAGAAGTGCCAGAAGGACGAAGAATATTGCACCAAAGGCGACCCAAGAGGGGACTATGAGATACCCCCGAGGATTTACAGTTTAAGACCTTCCAATAAAGCTGCCATTTCTCCATCAGAGAGCCCTGCGGGGCCTGCAGGTCACTTGTCTGGCCGTCAACTGCAAGCCGCTGCTAGACATGCAGGTGCCAAGGAAGGGAGCATACAGCAAAGAACAAGCGACCTTGATATGACTGGTCTTGTGGATGGACTGTCTGAGGGAACCACTATCTCACTTTCGGACGATGACATTGCAGCGCGATCGCTCACCATCCAGTTCGGTAGTGAAGAGAGCAACGATGCGATCCCCAAGCCCCGAGCGAATCAAGGACCGGCGAGCAATGTTTCCGCTGATAACAATATCGAGTTAATTCATATACAAGGCAGAGACAATGTCGAGGGTACCGCCATTGAAACACGCGTTGTGGGAGTTCGCACACCCCCAACCGAGGGGTCTTCGAGTCCGCCAAGACCACATGGATTTTGGGGACGGATTTGTTTTCCACGTATCTGGGGAATATCCTGTATCGGACGCCGACGGACTGCGTCTAGTATGACAATTCAATGAATTTGCGTACTGGAAAAATTCATCTTTTGGGACTTCGTCATCCTGTGCAGTGAATTTTATTCTGCCTCATAGGTTATCTTGGGCTAATGTTCCTTGTGGCCAGTCAGCAGCTTCATGTGGTCTCTTGAAATGTGCTTTAGACGGCAACGGCGGGGTAGTTAGTCTTCGTGTACGTAGTACTCAGAGTAGAGGCAAACGTCTGGTCCCGGGATAGAAGTCAGTAATTACATACAATATAATGCGTGATATCAAGTACCAGAATCAGGATAATCCACATTTCCTTTGCTTATTTGACAATGCCATTGATATCGCGCACTACATGAGGGGACTTCATTCCAAGAACAGAGGGGAATTTGAATGGATTTTATTGGTTTGGCACGCAACAGACTATCTCTCTTTCGTAGCAAATGTGATCGATCATTCCCACGCCTCCCATCACTTCGAGCGTTTCATGATAAGTGAATGAACCTTCTCAATTTAAGTTTGAGGCATCGTTACTCTGGTAGTGGGCTCGAATCCTCAAATTCATGTCGTTTATTTCATCCTATAGGGGTGTAGATTTGGTCAGTCTGGTTGTTCTCATCGGCTCCACCATTCCACAACTTACATCAGACAGCTTTCGCGGAGCAGTGATGTAAAACTGGCCAAGTCTAGTCTAGGGGAATCGTCAGTTTTCAGCTCAAAGAAGTCTATGAAGGAGCACTATACATACAGTTATTAGGATCGGTTTCCCGGGGAAAAGTGTATTTAGCTCTTGCTGCAATAGTTCCCTGTCGTTATAGGCAACGTTGACTCGCTGGCCCCGGTCTGACATCTTTTGGGACCTTAGCCGTGACAAGTAACTCGAGCAGAAATGAAGGCTTTCAAAGGTTCCCCCGTGACAACTTTACCCCTCATCAGATGCAAGTCTAAATATGATAGACAGGTACGAGTATCTGGGCTGCCTCATGCAAGCGGGGTGTTTATCTTCCACGAAGCTACGCACATGCAATCTGCCCGACTGCCTTGACACGTCAGAAGATGCAGGCTAATGCCAGAAATTACAATTGAATCGGTCGTACTGCAATTGTAGTTCTGGTAAGGCGTTCAGGCGTTTAGGCATTTTCGGCATTTCCACCAATCCCGGTATCTCCCCTTCCCCGCCTGCAGGCCACTACATCGGGCTATCACCATCAATACATGTAGCGTGGGCAATCGAGCCCCAATTGAACAGGGATTGGGCTTTTTGACCGAATCAGCATTTTTCAACTTCACATACGTGCATTTGTTAAGCTGCCCATTGTCTTGGACTCATTCTGGGCTTGCTGGCCGAATCTCGTTTCAGGCAGTGCAAAAGTACGGCTTCGCTCATCATACGATATGATGTGGCTGATGTTTTGCTGAATAAGGTATACATGTACCTCTGATGACTGCTGTCATCAATAATAAGAGCTGCCCAACCGGAAGAAGCTTAAAAGTAGGTTATTCTTACATACGTTGGGCGTCGACACGTCGCCCCTCCCTGTGCCTGACAAGTACATTGCTTGGAGAGAACATTCCGGAAGCATTCCAGCGAAGCCTTTGGATTATCCATACCTTAGCTACCCTCTCTAAGCAATATTTCGAGCATGGAGTGGATCAAAGACGCCTTTACGCTGGTCAGAAAAGACCGTCAAACCCTTCGATTTACACCAGCATCAAGTAGCGTTATCACTGTGAAGGGCCATGGCGATGTCAGAACTCCTGACTCAAAGATGAATTCAGCTCACAAGCTTTTAGAAACTGAAGGTCGACGAGTATGGGTTGAAAAACGAAATTGACTGGGAAACTTGCATTCAGTCGGTATGTTTTCGGGTCAAACCTTGTGGTAACATTTTAATCTGACACGACTGGAATGACTAGATACCCATTAGCAACAATTTGGACGGAAATGGGGGCATGACAGTCATGTAATGAAATCCCTGTGAACCTTGGGGCAAAACTAACACACTGAAAGTCTAGGGCGTCGGAAGCCAGATGATCCTGAATCCCACAACCCTGCACTCTTGTCATACGTTCCTTTTCTGGGAAGCGTCTTCGACAAGATAATCAATCACCTACAAATACATGGCTCTTTAGCTAGGGTCATCAATCGCGGTCGAGCTACCTTCAATCGCACCCGAATTGAGACAGGCCTTCCGCTCCAGCAAGCAATAGGTTGGAACCGAATCAAGGAACAGAAGGCCTTTGCTGACGGTGTAACAGTGTACAACTGTCGTTCTTCACACAACTGGCCTGGTGACTTGGCACTGTCCATGACCTATTTCGTTAAATCAAGAACGATAAACGCAATCCTTTTTGGCTGCGACGATGAAACCATGGATAAGGTCAAGTGGCGATTGAGAAACGCAGAAGGCAACGTATGCCATCCACTGTTGCTCGTTGGTATTTTCGCGGAGCTCGAACGAGCACGCCAATTTGCACTTGTCGACCACAACTTCGACAAATTGCTGGATATTGCATCTCAACTGAGCCAAAATGAGAAAGATGTCCATGGCTCCATTGAACCATGGCTCGATATCTACTATCTCAAAATAGCACTACAGACCTGGAAAAAGCAACTGCAGAAAGTTGTAGATCATGTAGATGAGCTATCGGCAGCTTGGCGGGTGGGAGTAGGACAGACTGCGGAAACGTGTGCAGCTTTCCAGTCCAAAGCACAAAGCGCCGGTAGTCGAATAAAAGAGCGGATACTCGAAATAATGGACGACTACGACGAGAAGATCAGCGAGTGTGAGATGATCATAGAAGGGATGACACTGGCTAATTCTCTGGTAAGTTAACCATCGGAGATCTTGAATCCGCGAAGTAACCAAGCTGATAATCCACTAGGGCCACAGCAAAGCCAACACAAGTATTGCGGTGTCGACGAAAGAAGACAGCAGCCAAATGAGGTCGATCGCGTTTCTCACAATGGTGTTCCTTCCCGCGACATTTGTGGCAGTAAGCAAACTCACTGACTCTTGTAAACGAGACTCGTAATCCTGGAAATCTGACCTTCTTTTTAGACACTCTTCTCGATGACCTTCTTTCAGTGGATTCCGGATGACTCTGAGAAGATGGTATCGCCTTTTCTTTGGATATACTTTGTCGTGGCGCTTATTTTGACGTTGTTCACAGTGTGGCTTCTGCGAAGGCTTGCAAACCCGAAGAAGACGAAAAAGTTGGGAGTGGAAGATCCGGAAAAAGGATTGATCCCGCGAGGAATCCCGCGGGTGTTGCAATCTATTAATTGGAAGATCCAGAAAGTCAAGCGCGAGTCTGAAAAGCTTCACGATTGATCATGGCATAGCCAGCTTAGAATGAAGGAGTAGATGGGACATGTAAATAGCAGCGCCTGAATTTGCAGACACAGCCAGAGGCGGAGAAACAATTGAAGTCGCAGTCGAGCCTCCTTGTCATCGTGCCTCATTTGCTTTCTTATCACATTTTTGCCCCTGCAATCACCATTTGCGACTGGAGTGGAAAGTCTTTGGGGCCTGAAGAAGCCACCGGGAATCGGCCCGGACCCCGCGACCCACACCGGCCGGCCCGCATCTGTCATCTAGTAGCCCGTTACACTGTACTGTGCGCGAAAGAGACCGACGCCCGGTGAGCGTCAAAGCTAGAAAGTCAGTCTTTCTTGCCCATCTTTACTCGAAAGAAGAACTCTTGCATGTAACGTTCCTGCAAATCTGATTTACTCGTGACCTGCTGCAGCAACCATTAAGACACCTCATGAGCTGATGAGATCCCCTCACTGCAACTATGCAATGCTTGATGCTATCATCACCTCTCGCCAACAACAGGAAATGTGTTTCCAGACCAACACCACGCGGCTTCCATCGCACTAATCGTGAAGTGCCGAACAAGAGCAACGGGAGACCAGGGCGTCATGCGGAACATAGACGTAATGAATGCGGGGAACGGACGCTAGGGGGACGAACCCAACGCCTTACCCCGCTAAACTTGGCCTATGTCATTCGCTGACAAGCTGCCGCAACCCCCTGATTCTCATCATATGATCCATCTCCAGGTTTCACGAAGACGAGCCTTCTCAACGAGCTTGAAGCCTTCATTAATCCGAGCGAAGTAGTGCACGAAAGAAGGCTTTGCGATCAAATGTCGAAGCCACTCACGTTCTCTTGAACCGTCTCATGTTCCCTCCTCTACCTTTGACCTATTGGAAACAAGAAACGTCTGTTCGCGGAGTGGCAAAGCCTCCCTCACATACCTACTCGGCATCTAATTGGAGCCCCGACCGCCCCAGACCACACACTACATCATGCGTGGCTTAGCGCTCGTTGCGTCGTTGGCGGCCGGTCTCGCCCTTGGACGTGAAGTCCCACGGTTCTCCTCAGCCACCACCGAGCTGGCGGAGGCCGACCCAGACGTGCCCAGCGAAAGCCATTGGGCGGAGAGGGCAGAGAAGGAGGGCCGGAGCCTCTGCTACCTCGAGCCGGCCGCAGACGGCGGCGACGACGCGCCGGCGCTGCTGGACGCACTCAACGACAAGTGCCGGTCCAAGAGCATCATTGTTCTTCCCGGCCCGATCTACCACATCAACTCGCCCATGATCACCGAGGACCTCGAGGATGTCGTGATTGACCAGCGCGGCAGGCTCCTCTGGAGCAATGATACGACGTACTGGCTCTCGGTGTCGATGCCCGTGGACTTCCAGAACCAGAGCACGGTCTGGCACTTTGGCGGGGACCGCGTGGTCTGGGAGGGCCACGGCGTCGGCACCTTTGACGGTAACGGTCAGGTGTGGTATGACCTCAACGCGGGCGGCTCCAATATGCCCCATCGTCCGATGAACATCAACTTCCGTGGCTTCTCGAACTCGGTTGTCAAGGGCCTGCGCTTTGTCCAGAGTCAGATGTGGACTATGAACATCATGTACTCACAAAATCTAGTGTTTGAGGACATTTACGTCAACAGCACGTCGTCGACGGAAAACAACTCACTCAACACTGATGGAGCGGATACGATGTACTCGGATAACATCATTTTCCGCCGCTGGGTAGTGGTGAACGGCGACGATGCGATCGCCCTAAAGGCGAATTCCAGCAACATCTTCATCTACGACAGCGAGTTCTTTGGCAGCACAGGCATCGCCATGGGCTCGATTGGTCAGTTTATTGGCCAGTTCGAGTACATCGAGAACTTTCTCGCGAGGAACGTGACCTTGCACGACACTCTCCGTGGCTGCTACTTCAAAACCTGGACCGGCATCCAGATCGGATACCCGCCAAACGGCGGAGGCGGTGGAACGGGTTACGCTCGTAACATTGTGCTGGAGGACATCAAGCTCGACGGCACCCGCGGCGAGCCGCTCTTCATCACTCAGTGCGAGTCCTTCTCCGGCCATGCGGGTGAGTCGTGTGACTCCTCGACCTTCCACATCTCGGATGTCGTCTGGAAGGACTTCAGCGGGACCATCACCGACGATGTGCCCAGCTCGGGCTTTTTCCGGTGCAGCGCCGCAGTTGGCGGGTGCACCAACCTGACTGTCGAGAACTTCACCGTCCACCCCGCGTCGCAGGAGGCCGTCCTCGATAAATGGCTGTGCAAGAACGTTAATGGCGCCGAGGGATTCGACTGTACGGAGATTGAGGAAGACGCCGGCGAACTCTAGATGTCGGTTCTGGTGTTTTCCAACCCGTTCCGGCGTATCCGGAAGGTCTAGAATGTCCTTCGCGGCGATGGTGACGGAATGCATGTCGTTAGCGTAACCGCGGGTTCACTTCATATGGACCTCTTACCGCGTATTGACAATGGCATGCTTTGCTCCAAGTGGGAACACAGACCGTTGCCAAGCCTCTTCGTCCAAGGTGTAATTGCTTTAAGAGATGTGAATGTCCCGCCGGGTTGCAACTTGACTACCGTCACCCTGGAACCTCGGCCGAGGCCGGGGAGTTAAGACTCCGGGCGCCGATATCTTGCCCCCCTAATCTTGTCGCCCCGACGGTCCAATGGAGTTCGGGAACCTCGTAACAAGCAATAGACAGTCCGATACCCGATCCTCATCGGGACAGAATGCTCCTCCGTAACTGCTGCCGCCCCTGGAATGGCCCGATCCATCATCATGACAGCATCCACAAGGCGATGACATGGAAGTTCCCGCTCTGTAATTTTGCGGCGTCCAACTGCCGTTCTCAGCGCTAGACGGTGCCGCCCTGCACACGATAATCTGCCTTATCAGGAATAATCATGGCATTCTCACATCAGCAAATCCTCCTCGCCTCATCGATTGCATAACAGGCGCTCACAGCCCAGATGCCTGTACTTAGAAAACTGCTTGAAGTGATGCGCTGGCCTCGCTAGTGCCAAGGGTGGCGGCGTATCAAGCTCTGATCTTAGCTGCCGATCCTGCAGCTTATTCTGTGGCAGAGCCTTGTTCGTCCCTCAGACCTTGCCTTTACGTTTTGTACTGCAAGGACAACGGTTTGCCTTTTTGGCATTGGTATTTGCAGATTGGCGCCAGTTGGGGAAAGGACTTGGTCCCTGCTGTAGAAAGAACCAGGTCTGACAGCGGACGGTTTTGTCCTTTTTAGTTTGCGCGCGGTGCTCGAACGCCTCTTTGGTCTGATGTTGTGATTGGGTGGTCCGACGTGAAAGCGCAGGTTTCCGCAAGTCTCCTATTCCTGGATCATTAGAGCCGTTAGAGGCATGACTCGACACGCGCATAGTTCAGGCGGAATAAAACAACGACTGAGTTTCTGCACGTCGAACAGTGACAGCGTAGCCAAACCGTACCGACAAATCACCTAACGAGGTGACGGATGAGTTCCACCGTCCGTCCTATAGCCTGAGGATACAACACTCCGCGAGTGGATCAAGAGCGAGGTGCGAGGTGCGAGGTGCTCTGTTGTTTCTGATACTCTAATTTAACGGATTACTGTATTTTTGTCGGGCGCGACTTGGCACCCGACAAATCACCCCTGTCAATGATCCGGTACTTCCGGCTGCCGAGAAAACCTCAGGAAGTGGCTCCGCCAACATCCAATCGACATGTGGAAGACGAAACGGAACTGGGGATGAGTGGTTCCACAGTAAATAATGGATTATTCTTTTTTTTCCCTTTTGCGACTGCTGCTCCCACATCCCTTATTCAGTGTTTCTCCGACGTGTCTCCCACCGTCAGTTCATGCTGATTACAGGTGGTCCTACGTGGAGACCGGCCGCAGCAAGGAGCGGAATGAAAACTGGGTTTGATACTGCGAGGTACAGACGCAATCACACGCATCACACACGCGTCGATGGGCGGCGCAACGGCTTGGGATCCCCCTAGGTCGCGTGCCCTCCTTCCTCCAGTACCGCCAACATGCCGAGACCAGTCAACGCCCGGGATGTCAGTCGTGTCTCCAGTCCCTGCCGCTCCTCCTTTGCTACAGCCCCCTTGGCAACCCCCTATCAGACGGTTCTGTGTGGTCGCACCCGCACGTGTGTCGTCCAAGGCTGATGGGGAAAAATAGGAATCCCAACAACGCCTGGACGCCGATCTGACAATGCTTGGCCCCGATGCTGCTTTTTATGCTGGATACTGGGGCGCGTCCGCGCCCGCGAGTGGGTTTGTTCCGCCCGGAGGCAGCAGCTGTGCCCTGGGATTCTTATTAGCCTCGTCCTCCCTCTCCTTTCTTCCCCGGGTGGTTACGAGTCTCTGGGAGGTTTTTGGCATTTTACAAGTATTAATCGATTATCATTCACTCCTTTCCCTGTCTCCTTAGGAGAGAGACAGCACCGGTGCCCTTCTTCACATCAAGACGGATGTTGTGATACCCTTCGGGACGCTCCAGATTTCCCCGTTGACTTTCTTCTCTCCATTTTTTTCATTGGGTTAGACTGCGACCATGGCTTCGTCGATCCCAGCCTTGAAGAACGTGGTTGAGCCGGCATGTAAGTTCCACCGAGACAAACAACACCTCTTCTCAAAGACTGTCGCAAAGGCTTAGTATCATCTTGTTCAATCTCTGACCAACGTGTTCTCTCCAGTCATTGTCTTTGCGTTCACCATAGGCACCCTCATCAACCGCCGCAGACCGGAGTATGACGATGACGTAGACGCCTGCGAGCGTGGGTCGGAGGATTCGTCGTCTCGCCCCACCTCTCCGCTCCTCAAGCCGGGGATGCGCGTGGAGGCGGCGGAGGAGTCCCGCGTCAACAGCAACCTCCTCGTTCGGTTCTACAGAACATTCCCCTTCCTTTCAGAGATTTGGTATTGGAACTTGACATACTGGTAAGCAGAACGTCCCTGAAGTTTTCTTTTTCTCGTCTCGTCCTCTTTCTTGTTGGTGTGGTACCGTGCGGATCAGGGGTCTAACTCTACTTCCACCATCAGGGTCTACCAACTCCTCCGTGCGTTCTCGGCACGCATGATAGCCGGCAACGAAGCTGTCTTCAACCGCGCCCGTGACCATGCCATCAGCATCCTGCACTTCGAGAGGTTCTTCGGTTTCGACATCGAGCTCGGCGTCCAGCAATATGTCCTCAACAGCGTGCCATGGCTGATGCCTATCCTGGCCAAGGTCTACTACTCACACATCAGCCTCGGCATCTGCTTCATCATTTACACGTACTCCTTCCTGCCGCCGAGCACGTTCCAACGAATCCGCCGAACGATCGCCATGGACAACGTCGTCGCCTTCTTCATCGTCACCTCGTGGCGCTGTATGCCGCCCCGACTGCTGCCGGCCGAATACGGATTCATTGACATTCTGCACAGTGCACAGGGAGGAGGCAACGCGTGGACTCACAACAAGTTTCAACTCACAATTGCGGCTATGCCGAGTCTTCACTGTGGTACCGCCCTGTTCCTCGCATGGTCCATCTGCCGCTTCTCGCCCCACCGCCCGCTCCGCCTCATCGCGCCTCTGTGGCCCATGGCCATGTTCCTGACGATCGTTGCGACGGCGAATCACTTCGTTCTTGATGCGATGGTTGGTGCTATGGTTCCGGTCATTGGTTGGAGATACAATCACGTCATTCTCTACCTCAAGCCCATGCAGGACAAGGTTTTGGAGGGGCTTGGGTTGAAGGTTCCGGAAGATGAGCGGCCTACTCCCATTCCGAAGGAGTGGTAGATTTCCCATTTCATTGTGATCGTATGCTATACGAAGTTTGAAGGCTATGGTTCTCAGCATCTGTGGCCTCGGTCCTAATCCATAATAAGACACGATTACGATCATACTCTCTGTGTGATGTCCTTACAATCTTCATTACAAGGGCAAGCTCGAACTGCATACATACTCATGTAAGTTTAGTCATGGTGGCCATGCTTTACAGTCCCATGCATGGAAGTAAGTAAACCTCCGCGATACTAAGCTTTCTGCGGGAGGCCTTCCACGCAAGTTAGTACCGTTTGATGTAACTGCGGGTGACGGCCTCATACATTGACCGTCATCCTTCACAAATATTGCCGTAAATGAGAAATTCACACCTCATTTTCCAATCTTCCTTCCATATGAAAACAGGGCCAGGGAAGCGTCTACAAATTTGTTGCAGACAATTATTCTAGTAAAGCTATGTCGGCTGTTCCTGGTGACGTTACCGTTCGCCGATGATAGTACCATAAGCTGACTGTTCAAGACAACACATCTCTTACTCCGGTTGTAGTTGGCGGCAGGACCTATACTATTGACGTGGACAAAATTCCCTATTTCAGGTCTTTGAAGAATTTTCAACGACTATCGAAATGTGCTATCCCAGCCCATGGACCGATTCCGCATTTCGATACGATCGCTCACGCCATTGAACACGGATATCGATACTTCTTCAGAAAGGTGCCCTCGGACTTGGAGGAATATCGGTCTCTTTGCGAAAGTTTGGACTTTCTCGCCGTGGACGTAACGGGTCAAAATCACTTTTCGTACATTTTCCGGAAGGTGAGGCTGCCGCCGTTCTTAGAAAGCAACTTGAATGTGAGAAAGCAAGCCATCCGAAAGTCTAGAGATGCTGCTTTTCAGCTGGTCTACCTCTTCCTAATGGATGATCTTAACCCGACAGACGTTGGTGGGATGTGCTCTAACATGGCGTTTCATGCTGTTGGGTACGTCATCAAGAATTCGTGGTTCAGTGCCTCAACACGAAGGGTGGTCTGGGAAGCTTACAACAAACGCTTCACCCCGACAAAAAAGCAAAGGGAACGTTTGAACTATGTGAGGATTGTCAAGGGCTCGAGCACAGAACGCAGTAGCTCTGACGAAGATTGAAGCTGGACTTCTCGAGATCATTGAGTACCAAATCATATTTTTGGAATTAGAGATCGATCAACATCGTCAAAAATGCCAATTTCCACAAGCTAATTCACCCCGCCGGTTACAGGCTCACTTTAACAATTGACAATCTCTTCAATGTTGCTTCCAAGCGCCCCTCAGCCGCGGTCTTGGTCATGACGTACCATCGTATTTTGGATGGCATGATGTACGCCCTCAATTATTTTTTCTTGGCACGTCGCCCGCAGTCTGTTCTTGGATTTGAAATAGTGCCGAAAATCAATCTATGAATTTACAATGGCTGATGTAGTTCAACCCGCAGATTTTGAAAACCCAAAAGGCTTGTTTGCGCCTTGACGCAATGGATGACCTGTTGCAATCGGAACGGAGTAGAGACCTCTTTCATACAGAGGTGAGGTCTTTGGTCTGCGATGATTCTTAGTGAATGGAATGCTACACTACCGACAGTGACGATGTATAACTGACGACATCGTGGTCCGAAAGAAGTACAATGATCACTGATCACCATTTCCCACACCCAACGACATTTATCGACACTGGCCATAGTAGCAATCATTCAACTCGTTCTGAGCGTGCTTATCAGCCTAGATCGTGCAGTCTTAGAGCAGATATCATACCTGTGACAGTTGCTTTTGAGCGTATATACGATAGGTATTATGTCGCATCTAAGCCGGTACTACTTTAGAACACTGCTTGCGAATCCACTCGAGACATGCGGTTTCTTACTTCGACCCTGTACCCGACACCTCTGCTTCCAAATTTATGCTTTAACAACAAGGAAAGCTTGTGAGGATCTACCAGTCTTGACGGCAAGACTTGTCCCGTCATGTAACCGGAAGATGCACTCGAAGACGAACTAGGAACTCGTCAGTAAAGTTGATTCAAGTCTGCCCACACACGATTATCATGTTCAAAAATCATTGAACCAACCTGTAACCCATTTTGATACTAGGTTCATGAACATAAGTGTTTTGCAGTGGGTCTGTCGGATTAGACTTCGATAACTTGCGGCTACGTTGATGGTGCCTGGGGACGGAGGCGAAAAGTTGCTGAAGATGCGGGGATCCCCGAGTAGCCATGCATTTGATCGCGGGTAGATAATCAGGCTGCGTTGGTGGTCATCCTTGGCGTCCCAATTTGTCTCGGGTTGCAATCAGCCGCACGCATCGGGGCGTTGCAAACACCGTCCTTAGGGGGCCGGATGGTTGTTTGTGTTCCAACCACCGGTATTCAGCTGTCAGCCCGCAACCACTACGAAGGTCACCGGAACGTAATCCCTTGTCTAAACGACAGGCACTGTGTGTGTGGTTGGAATGCGATACAATTGGTCTGCCTTGCCTCTGTTTGCACATTGCTCGCGGTTGAGATACCGAACGGCGCTTCACTTCTTCCGTGGAGGAGGAAAATGCCGTGCCGAAATGGCGAGGGCGTCGGGAACGTAGAGCCTGCTACTAGACTTGAGCCATAACTGGTGAACTTCGAGGGAGACCCGATGGAAGCTTCAATTCTGGCAGCGCTGGCATGATGCACCGTCCACAGACACCCACTGGTCATATCCTACCCTTTATTTCACGCTAGAACAACCATCGCTTCTCGCGAGGCTTAGCATATAGTGTACAGGTCGCCATACTGTACAAAAAACGGTAGAAGAACATCATCTTTTTCCTTTCGCTGTGGGTTTCAGTGCATCAGCCTGACCAGAGTAAGCAAGACAGTGGCGTCAACGCTGGATACGGCAGCTGAATGTGCCGATGACCCAAACCTCCCAACCGAATATCCATTTCCAATTGGTGGCGCACCCTCTCCCTCGACAGAATATGGGTGGCGGCTGCGCAGCGTTGAGGCAAGGCTATCAAATTTCTCATCTGAACATGTTTAAAATGTGCCTTCTTTTCCAAAGTCCTGGGCTCTAGTTCGCCTACAGTATTCACAAGAAATCTACGGCGAACTTTTCCAATCATCAGTACTTCCTCGTGCATCTTGGTCAATATGAGTCGTGAGAGTTCTGATCACCTGGCCAGCGATGCGGATACCGACGCTCCGCTCTCGGTTCCGGAATTGGTAAGTACATGTCATTGTACTTGACCGTGTTCCTTCTTGTCCTGAAACTTGTCTAGTTGTCCGTAGTCCAAAAGTCTGCAGACCGGGACCGAGCAGCGTCGGTGAACCCGTCTAGCAGTGCCATTCGTGGCCAACAGGACTTTTTGAGGGACCCTGGTACAACCGAGGCTCGCTTTGCAGGACCTGCGCAAGTCTCGTTCTTATGCACGCTATCATCAGAGAACTCGGAAGATGAAGGGGGTTCCGGGGTTTCAGCCCAACATGACCACGGCAATGGACACCCACCACCTTCGATTGGCACCAATAGTGTCTGCGACGATTATGGAATCTCACAGCATCAACTGAATCGGGAAACCTCCGCATTAATCGAGGACGAAGTCGACACTGTGCCAGCAGAAGACGCTCTCCGTGGGCTTGCCAACGAGAGCGTGATTCCACCGCATATCGCGACTGGAGAACGCAAAAGCTTACAAGCGTCATTGATAAAGGCTCTGGTCCGGCAAAATGATGGCAGGGAGTTTCTTCCCTTGGCGAAGCTTGACGAGTTAGTCACTAGAAAGGTTGTGGAGCGTCAGCTGAGAGGTGAATTCGGAGCTTCATCTGGAGAGCCCGATATCCAGCGATGTGTCGAGTACGTCTGTAACCGCAAAGAGGTTGAAGGCGCGAGGCATCTGAAGTTCACATCGGGAAGACGGCTTTTTGCCCTTCTGATCATGATTGAAAAGTTGGAAAGCTTTAATGATCTTAGAAATGCCGATCTATGCGACATCGATCTGCCCCTGAAGGGACTCGACGACACCCCCAAAAGTGCCTTAAGAGATAAGGAGTTTACCTGCTTTCAATCTTGGTCAACTTTCAATCTGCGCTCCTTCGAAGAGTGGCAGTGGAAGCTGTTAGCACCTTACTTTTGGACAGCAGAGGATCCGAAAGAGAAAGTCCTGTTTTACAGGCTTGCGCCTCAAACTGTTATGCCGTGGACTGAAGAGGAAACCGCAGCAGTGGAGCACTATGGAGGCCAAAGCTGGGTGAAGAAAGTGAAGATTCATAAATCGCATCACAACTTCAAATCTCTAGAGGTAAGTTGCTTCCATCGTCTTACGTCGCCGTGGCCAGCCGCGCGAAGCTAAACGTCGCTTGCGACAGGGGCGCGATTCTTACTTGGCGGTCAAGAAGCTTCATTCAAGAAATGAGAAGCATTTTCAAAAGGAAGTCGACGCCCTGAAGCGATTCAGCACCCGGTCGAAATCAAACCTTGTCCGGCTGCTGGCAACATATCAGCATCAAGATGATTATTTTCTGCTTTTCCCCTGGGCAGACGGGAACTTGAGAGATCTGTGGGAAGCTGTTGGTTCCCCAATGTCCCAACCTTCGCAGGAAGGGACAGTTTGGATGGCTAAAGTATGTCATGGTATTGCCTCTGGTTTGGCACAAATCCACAACCATACACCAACCGAAGAGATGAATGGAACCACGCTAGCCTCAAGCCCCCGGAAAGCGAACGGCATTACATCTAAGGTCGATATGATTGGCAACAAAATGGTCTTTTCTGGTGGCGAAGACTCCAGCAGACAAAGATATGGCAGGCATGGCGACCTGAAACCGGAGAACATCCTATGGTTCAAGGACCCTGATGGGAAATCTCATCACAACATTGGAGTACTGAAGATCTCAGACTTCGGCCTAACAAGATTCCACAGCAAACGTTCGGTGTCGGAGCGAGAGTCGCAGAGAACCGTGGGATTTTCAAACACTTACAGAGCGCCTGAAATCGATCTGAAGACAGGGATCAACCAGCACTACGACATATGGACGCTAGGATGCCTTTACCTTGAGTTCATCACATGGTTTATGGGAGGCTGGGAAGACGTCGAGAAGGTCTCAGTACTCCGACTTGAGGAGGACAAGTTGATCAGCAAAGACCCCGACTGGATACCAGAAGACAACTTTTTCAGGCTTACCCATGGTTCAACCGGGGCATGCCTGAAAGACTGCATGCGGAAGGTCAGTCCAACACAACCACTGAACTGATGCTGAGCTCTTCATATTCTTCCAAATTGAAGCTAACCTTGCGTTCCTGCCAAGTGGATTTCTAACTTACACGCGCACCCCAATTGTACAGAGTATGTTCACCAGTTTCTCGATTTTGTAGAGAACGACATGTTGCGCATCGAAAAGAAGGAAAGGGTGGACTGCTCTGAAGTCGTGAATACTCTTCACAGGCTTCTGACAGTTTGCAAGGGAAATAAGAGTTTCTGCGTCACGGCTGCGCCGAGACCCGTTGAATATGGCAGGCTGTTCGTGGATAGCGTTACGAATTTCGTCAGGGACCTAAGTGGTTCTTGGCAAGGAAGATGTCCCACCATTGTGACCGGATTTCTGGGGCTGTGCTTTGTAGGGCTGGTCGTCACCCGCTGTGATTGGAAAACGGGTCTCTGGTAATTAAGGTACGGCGCGCATAGCTGAATGGCATTAATATTCATGGTGACTAGATAGATATAGATGTTTCTGGGCCAGGTGATGGCCATTGATCACCATGTACCACAGTAACATGGCGTGGTCGCCCGTACTGGTCTGGCAAGAATGGATCCCGAGGGCTGGATACGCGCAACCCGAGGGAGACAAGCTCGTCCGTGCTCGAAGCCAAGGAGCTGGTGCGGCCCGTCCCGTCTGACAGCTATTCTGGTTCCCACTGGGTCCTGTAGTGTGCCATTCGTCGGTTGATGGAATCAATCTCCCCCTTCTCGAAGTTAGTTCCACTAGTTGGTCTCCTCCACACCCTCATGTGTATAAGGAAATTTACCTGCTCAAGTCTTCGGGGCAGGGAGAGCTGATAGTGGTCTAGTCTGATCTGATGGACGGGTCAGCTGGGGGTTTTGAGAGGTTCTAGGAAAGCCATACCCCGTGAATACGATATTGCTCCCTACCAAATATGCGGTCCAGTTCACGTCTGAGAAGGTCGTTCCTTTGATAGTCGATGGCCACCTGCTGCGGGACCCAAGAAGACTGCGATCGGGAAGGCATAACAAGATGATGTCATCAGCAAATTCGGATGGGCTGGGTAGTGTCGTAGGACGAGGCTACGACCACGGGGTATATTTGGTATGTTGGTGCCAAATTCAGCAGTGGATAAGACACTGGAAAGCATAGGGAGAAAGTGGAAAAACAAATTTGAATCGGGGGTGGCGAAGGCTTGATCTGTTTATTATTGTCTGACCCGTATGGAGAGCTTCGTATCAAGGGATTACTGTTCGTCTTACCGCGTAGAAGAAGTGCAGCAAATGTCTTGCTGCGGTGAGAAGCCTCATTCTTTCTGGGTTTGAGGCTTCGAGATCATGAAGTGCAGATGAACGCTGATTGACATGTTGTGTGGCCCAGTAGTGGGAAGCTCTGAATGCATGGTCCGAAATCCATGCCCATGTGATTACTTAGGCTTATCTGTTGTTGGTCAAGGCAAGATACCGATTTCCACTGAGGCACACCAAGTCGAGGACACCAAGCGTGCTGCGGCTCAGCCTGCTGTGTGTCAGTCAGCCCGCGTAGATTGGCTGTGTGCTTCTGATAGGATTGGCTGGCCTGCTCAACCATGGAATCTGCCTGACACATGGCTGGCACGGAGAGTGACACATACCATAATTTGTGCAGCCACACCAACTTTGGGCCTGGCTGCCTGGACAATGGACTGTCATATGCACCTGCCCATCCCCACTCTTTCGGCTGCTGTCGATGATCCGAGTTATTGCAGGAGACCTTTGTCACAAACAACATCTTCTAGCCATCAGCGCATCGATATCACGATCATCTCTAGCATTACGACGTACCGTCGTCTAACGTGCACTGAAAGCGAGATGGACTGGATACGCAAGAATCCCCAGATGGGGATCCGAGACCTGGAGACATTTGAGTACCAGCCTCGGCAATGTCAGATTCTCCAAGTAGTAAACGGAGATGCTAAAAAGGTACGAAAGAGTCATGGAATTATATACATTGAATACCAACAATACCGAAAAGGGAATCGAAGCAAGACAGGTGATAACAGAAGAGGAGTGGAAGAATGTTTTCCGCCAGGTAAGACTGAAGATGCTCCATAATTGTAATGGTGGTAACCTCGGTACAGGAAGGAGCCACAAATATGTCAGACGGCATTCAATCTTTTGGAGGTGTAGCCGTGTAAGTTCACCATGAGTCCGCTATCTCGAGAGACCTGTGCAGCTCATGAAATTTACTAGGCTGGCAGCTAGAGCTGCAGAGGACAAGACTGATGGAAAGCACTACCATGATCCATCAATTCTTTCCAAACTTCCCTTCACGGAAGCAACATGGTCTCACATGCTTGAAATATTCCACATACATGGTTCAGTCGCAAGACTCATCAACAGGGGACTGTCGTGTGTCTTTTCTCGAAGCTTCCTCACTCTGGACATCTCATCGGAGCCTATCGTGGGTAAGTATGGAGTTTACTGCAAATGGTGTTGTGCTCTCTAAACACTCTGTTAGAAATACTGATGTAGTTATAATTGCCGCTCACCCGCATCCTGGCCGGGTGATTTGGCAATGTCAATGACATGGTTTCCAGAGCGAAACTTTTGGTACGCTGTTTTCTACGGATGCGATCCGTCTACGGAACTAGAGATTTCTGGAAGATTGCGTTACTCTGGCGATGCCATATGTCATCCCTTGCTGATACCTGGCATATTCGCTGAGCTCGAAAGAAAAAGGCAGATTAAGATGGTGAAGCAAGGTAGCCTTAAGCTCGTGGAGACTGTTGCAACTCTTCATGAGGTCCATCATATGCCATCTGATGCTGAAAGACCACACCAGAAACCATATGATAGCCATAGCCCAGGTCCGGATTTGACCGCAAACAAGGAGGTTGATCCCTGGCTGGATATCTACCATAAGAAGAATGGCTTACTGAACTGGAAGGACCAGTTAAATAAGATGGTTACTCATGCAGAAGAGCTCAACATCACTAACTTCAGCCACGACATAAATCAAAGCTCGGATATCAACGAGTTTCGAAAGCGCATGCGGGATACCGGAGATAGAATCAAAGAAAGGCTACAAGACATCATTCGCGAATATGACGAAAGGATAAGAGACTGCGAAAGAAACTTGGAAGGAATGAGTCTAGCGAACCAAATGGTAAGATGATTACCTCTGTTCTCCCAGCTCATATCATTCGCTTTGGTTTTCATCATTCGTTAACTTAAACTTTGAATAACAGGCACACACAAAAGCCAATATGGAGATAGCGTCAAGGACTAAGTCGGACAGCACTCAGATGAAATCTATTGCTCTGCTCACGATGGTCTTTCTTCCCGCAACATTTCTAGCCGTAAGTTACACAACCCGCTTCCTAGATTCCCTCAGAGATCCCGTCGTATAGATGAAGTCAACTTGACTGATGTCGAGCTATAGACTGTATTCTCAATGTCCTTCTTCAACTGGCAGCCGGAGTCAGAAAAGGGCGAAACGGAGGTATCCCCCAGAATCTGGATCTATGTGGTGATGGCTGCAGGGGTGACAATATTGACAGTTTTGGCATGGCTTTGGTTCATAAAGGGACGGTGTAGCTGGAAGCAGAGGCGGCAGTTTGTGGATGAATACGAACTTTCAGACAGCCAAGTTTGATCATGAACCGAGAGAAGGGCCGCGGGCGTTCAAATACTGCTTTCTTTTGTTTAATATGTTGAGACCACTGGGGGGGAGTTGTTATTCCAGGAATTATATCACCAGTTAGTACCACATTGTAGTATCGATCGACGCCGACGGCAGCAGCATTCATGTGCTTTTAAGTAGTTATATATGGTAACTTTCACATCTGAATTTTGGTTTCTGCGCGATTGAACGGGCGGATGTCGTCAAATTGGTGTTCAACATAGGTTTGGGGTTGAAGACTGATAAACACATGTTGGGACAGGAGTCTACCGCGTTCGGATACGTGTTTGACGGGCCTTTATAATCTAGGAGTCTCTTTCTAGCTACATATCTCCTGATCATGGTACGCAAATGCTGAGATACGGAGGCTTTAATCCTCAGAGGTTGCTTTGTGCCTGGGATCCGCCAAGCCGAATGTGGGTATATGTGCTCATCTAAAGCCAGATATCGACAGCTCGCCTAACCTCCAAACGCCCCAAAAAACACTATTGAACAGATTGAATTCAAAACATAAAAAACCAGACTTTCATGTTGGCCCAAGCCTTAAAAGAAAACTTGCAAACACGTTTCAATTCCGGCGTCGTTGGTATCATGAATCATGAATCATATAAGCGTTTCCCAGCAAAGCAAGTCCTCTGACTGTGTTGTAACTATCCTCGAAGGACGGCCTTGGTACAAAGTCAGAGGAAAGAATTTTAACGTCAGAAGCTGTAGAAGTCTTACAATGTCTATCAGTCTCTCGGAAGCAGGAGACTTGATCGAGTAGTAGTTATGCCGCATTTCGACCCTGTAGTTGACGTCGCCGTAGTTCTGTTTGAGCATTGCGGATAGTCGACGTGGGCTAGACACATATTTGGAGTGTATCTTCTGCACATGGAGGTCTTCGTCGACAGACGACGTCGTGGAGCCTGCGTCGGATCTTGGCATTTGAGGCTGGCGGTGTTCTATTGGGTATGGTGTGGATAGTGTGGATTATTGATTTTGATCTTGTTGACGGTGGCCGTAGCTTACTTATGCTTCAAGGGCAGTAACGGACATAAGACTTGTGTGAAATGTTCATATGAACATGAAGGTGTAATTATTGTGATGCTGTGAGTAGCAGACGTGATCGAGTGTAAGTCTGCGCAAAGGGGAACTAAATATCGCATGACGGAATAGAGGCCATCACTGTTTTCAGGCACCATCACCAGGACGCCTGACTACGGCGTACACGAGGCGGGTTACTCACCGGAGCTATCGCCTGGAACGTCCGACACACTTCTGAGAAAAACCCAGTGATTCGAAGTGTAAAAAGTCGCAATTGGCCGCCCGGCATCATTCCTTGCCACGTCGTACTCATCTTGGTTAGGTAATTGGGCGCGGATGCTTCACAATGCGACGAACAAATGCGGACCACGAGGCAGCCTGCATCGCACAGGTTGCCTTGCGCGACTCACCGCCATGGAAATAGCAGCGCGACAGGCGTCTCGCACTTTGGAACATGGACGCAGCTGTGGCAGACAGCAGACCGGATTCCGAAACCTCGTTGCATGTTTGTGCACAACTGGGAGATTGGAAGATTTGAAATCCTACGATTGGCTCGTCTACCATAAGACACAGGCATTATGGAGGGCATAGCCACCACAGCCTGCTTCTCCGAGTGGATCCATGCAGCATTGTGGAATTGTCTTACGCTGTACATGCAGACGTAGCAGGCTGGTTCGAAGTCCCTTGTAAACATTCGAACATCCTGCGCCTTTATCGGGCATACCGTGGGGCTGAGTAGGGAGAGAAGGAGGCAGCAGGATTCAATCGTCCGGGTCGGGATCGTGCTGGCTAAAGTTCAATCCCTCGCCGCTCAATAGAGCTGCGTTTCTGTCTTACAGCATTGATCTATCTGCTCGGGAACGGAAAAAAGGGGATCAACATAGATGCGTGCGATCGATGACAGCCCCGGTCCAGGACCGAACGGAGCTTGTGGGGGCCGCCGGATGACGACCGAGATTTACGGACCAAATGCAGCCGGCTTTTGGTTATTCCTCCAGTTTCCCCTCTAGTTTCTAAGGGCGCACTAGAAAGCCAAGGCTATAGAAATAATATGATCGAATTTTGAGAACTTGAGAATTGAGCTACGCAAACGCTATGCAAGAAATTGAGCCCCTTAACGCCGCCGGACGAACAGTCTGGTGGAAATCCTAGTACATCAAGCTGGGCTGCCCGTATGAACACTGATCGATATCCTCCTGCACCATGTAAGCATGAAATCAAAAAGTCTTTTGCTAAATAGCGTACCTGAGAAAGCTTCCCTCTCGCGAAGATTGAGAACATGTTGTGTCTCATTTCAACACGATATGCCTTCTGTCCAAACCGTCTGTTCAAGACCCTTGACAGCTTCGCTGGGTCGACTGACTGGCTTGCTATCGTCTGAGTCGGTGCCAACACGGCATAACTTCTGCTTTTTTGAGAGCCAGAGCTAGAGCTATGGACACATGTTAGTTGGAAACAAACAGCCGTTTCGTCTCAGCAACTCACTTCATGATGGTAAAAGAGTTATATAATCAAATTGATAGGGAAAAGGTGTTGATGTCGAGCAGAGGCAGTTTCCAGCGAGCTTTCGTGGGAGCCATCCCAGAGTTATCCCCCAGGGCGTCCGACTTCGCCCCCCGCACCCCAGGCCAACAGATCAGGCTGAGGGTGGGCACAGCTGAACACGCATCCCTTGTGCGACATGTTCATTGGATATTGGGGCTGACCGTGCAACCGAGTGCTACACACCACATTCCAGAAGGAACACAGATTTTCTGAGCTAGGCATCCCGCAAACAGGCCAATCGTGTCCATGAACTATCCGCTTATGCGTGCTCCATAGCCTGATTCTGGGCTCGAAGATGGCGGCTTCCGCACAGTAAACCCAGCCCCCATTCCTCTGCATGTGACGCTCCAGCCTGCATGGCGCTGTTCGAGGGAGGAACACTTCCCGAGCTTGAAGACGCCAGCCCATGCACACTTGTACATGTACCCATATCCAAGGTTGATCGCCAGTGTAAGTAGCCGACAGGTTAGGGGCTTGTCCTCCCCTCCTCCCTCATTTCGGCTAGAAGAACTTCTGATCAGGTCCTCCGGGGACCACACTATCGGATCTTAGAAATTCTGGGATTGTTGCAGTCAGAGCCTCGCGACGCGGCGTACATGGAAGTGGATGATTCTTCTGCGAGCATTGTGTTCATAAGAGAGTGTAATCCGATGTTGTACGCATTTTGCTTCGACCCAGCCAACAGCTGTTGCCAAACAATCCAACGTCAAAATGCATCTTGACGGCTCTGTAAGAGTTCCACCCCAAATAGAATGTCCTTGGTACTCATGACCTCTAGACTGAGAAGCACGTTCAATGGGGCTCTCCCGAGGTACGTCGTTCTGCGTGGTGCAATCTGTGGGGAGACCGTTGCTCGACCCATCCCCTCCACGTGAGGTTCTTGGCCTCTTGCTCATATTAATCTCAGGCAATTGCCAATACAAGCCGTTCATCCGAAACCGAGGGTTCAACGGGAGACGAGTCTGCATTGCCCCCTGTTCACTTGACACAGCCGGATGGTACTGTGGTCGAGATTAACGATACTGACAAGGACCAACCCCATCCTGTCAGGGCATTGGAGCGCGTTCCATCTTGGAAGGATAATGAAGACTTGTCTTCGGCCATATCGCAGAATGTTCCAACAACAACACCATCAGACGGCCAAACGGAAGTTAACGACCATGGTGATACCGCACAGCTCAGACAGGGGACAACTAAATCCTATCCAAACGCCACACCGTCATTAGAAAATGACTTTTCGAACGTTGGGGGTGCACCCGGTCTTGGTGACCAGACACCTGTTGCCTCATACCCACTCGACCTGTCAGATTCAGGAAGTGAAGATGGCGATGGCCTTTGGGAGTCCATTGATGAGCAACTGATTTCGCCACCGCCAGACGATAAGGAGTACCTTCCCCTGGACCAGCTTCGAAGAATCATGGTGAAGCGCCGGGTTCGAAAGGCGTTGAAGAAACACCTGAAGCTGGATCGAGATACTCGATACAGATACGCCTGTGAGGTATGCGACACTACCAACTACGGAACCGCGCAAAGAACAACACGACACAAGATCTTTGCTGTATTGGTCCGGATTGAACACCTTGAAGCTCTGCCCAGCATCATCGAGGAGGAGATCCATGACGTTCACTTGCCGTTCACTTTACAAAAGGGCTCTCAGTGGCATCTGACGTATGCGGGCGTCGATAAAGTCCCCGTAAAGTTCAGAGCCAGTTTAGAATGGAGCAAGCCAAAGCTCAACGCGTTCATCAAAGAGCAGTGGCTCTTCATGGCCCCATTCTTCGATATGCGGGCGACTAAACCTCATTTCTATCCTCTCGAGTCCAAGGTAGTCCTTCCATTTGTTAGTAATGCATCTGATACAGACACCGCTTTTGGAGGATTTGGCGACGTTTTCCGGAGGCAGATTCATGCTGCACATCACAATTGCACGCAGGTGAGGCCCGCACATGTTTGGGTGCATTCAGGGTGGCTGTTCCTAACAGACATCGATAGCACACACAGCCTTTCTTCGCCATCAAAAAGCTCCACAACAAGAACAAGACAGAATTTGAAGACGAACAATATGCGTTAAAGAAGTTCAATCAGGAAGACCACCCGCATTTAACGAAGCTCCTTGCCACTTACCATCATCACGAGCATTATTACTTCGTCTTTCCATGGGCTGATGGGAACCTAAGGGAGTTTTGGCAACGCTATGAAATGCCCAAACGTGACCATAATCTAATCGTTTGGTTGGCGGAGCAGTCAGCAGGCATAGCTTCTGGCCTGAAGCTAATTCAACATCCGCCCCCGAATCTCAACTTGACAGTTCAAGATTCCAGGGACTATGGTAGACACGGGGATCTGAAGCCTGAGAACATTCTCTGGTTTCGTGATCCTGGTGCAGATGAAAGTTTGATTGGAAGCGGCCTACTCAAGATTGCCGATTTCGGCCTGACACGATATCACCGACATAACTCAAGATACCAGAAGCTCCAAAGCGGCGGAGGATTCACATGTTCATTGACATACAAGGCCCCTGAAGTCGACGTAGTTGATTCTGTTTCAGAGGCTTACGATATTTGGACCTTAGGCTGTCTCCTTCTTGAGTTCATCACCTGGTACCTCAGGGGCTGGGAGGGTGTTGACGAGTTTTCTCTGAGCCGGGCGAACGAAAGTCACGACCCAGACCACGAAATTCCGCTTGACACCTTTTTCAATGTTGCGTCAAAGAATGGCGTCAAAGGAGCTGGGCTCAAGCGTGCTGTAACGGAGGTGAGTACGCTGCATCAATCATGGATCGATGCTAGACCAGAATCTTCATACTAATAGTGCCTTGCAGCTGATAGATGACTTGCACGAAGATCCCAACTGTTCCAAGTTTCTCCACGACCTACTTACATACACACTCCATCACCTCCTGCGGAGCGATCACAAGAAGAGAGCCAAATGTGTTGATGTGGTGAAAATGCTGGAGAAGATGGCAAAAGACTGCAGAAATGACAAGTCATATGCTGTTGATGGACGCATGAAGCCGCCAAACAAGTCTGACACTATGGATACAACGAGAACCGACAAGACCGTATCGGAATACGGCCGCGACACCGCTGAAAATGATGCACTGGCAACACCGCACGCATCTAGACCAGGCACACCAACAAGAGAGATCGACCTGTATGATTTCGTGAGATACGACGAGATTCCAGAGCGGGCTCTAGACGATGATGCCATGGAAACCGACACGGATAAAATTGATACAGCAGAGGAGCCTTCTGAGAATGAAGAAGGGACACCAAAGCAACTTCTCAACGTCGCTTCTGAGGACGTCGGTCCCGATGAGATGGAAATTTCAACGCCAACTGCCCGCAACACGAGCTTTCTGCAAGACGACTCATTTTCCAGCTCCGGCACCGAAGGCTATACAGTATCGCAGCCGAATGAAAGTGGATTTGGAGAGAATCCGAAGAGAAAGAGCTGTGACATTGGAGAGGGGCTTTCTACTCAAGAGATGAAGCGCCCAAAGCTCGCTGAGGGGGAGTCTACTCTTGTTGGCTCGATTGCAGAATCGAGTGAGCGTCCTGTGGCCCAACCTGTCGAGGCATAAAGTTTCAACCACGAGGAATGCGTCTCCTAAGGCAGTAGTATGGCATCTTTATACTTGCAAATGAGAGCTGTGTTGGCACGACGAGGGATGATGTACATATCGAGTCGATAGACTTGTTAATATTTCAATTTTTGGCCTTGTTTGCAATCTCTCTAGCTTCCCATCCTTCAACGATATGTAGGTAAAGCGGCCGGTGGCCTTATCGTGGTGGGTGATAGTGAACTTGGACTCTATCGTGAATTTCCTGAATCTCGGTCTGGCCCGTGGCTGTCAGCATAGCTCCATACAGCCGTGATTGGCTATACACGGCCTTACCTGTCCAAGCTTGCGAGGGCCGTCTACTACAAATTGGCCACCCTTGGTCTTTCACTTACGTGAGCACATGACTGTGAGAGCGATATCAAACTTGGGGCATGGCATACAGTGAGGGAGTACCGGTGTGCTCCTAGACGCTTGTCGAGCTCCTTCTTGACTGGGCCGGAGTTCGAATAGCACCAAGGTATGTAGGATCGGAAGACAACAGGCTGCGAGGGAGGCATGATATCGACGACGGGCTCCTGGTCGCCGGATACCCAATCAGTTCGGTAGGGGATGGAATTGTATTTGCTGAAACGAGGCAGAAATCCGGTTGAAGAGCCTCGAGGAGAAGCCCAAGGACATCTGAATGTGCAGAAGGTCGAGCAGCTTGATGGATAAGAGTTTTAGATGGGATTACCCGCATGTCCCTCGTCAGAGGCCAAGGCAGATTTGCGGGCGTTTCTCACGTGCGCCTTCTTTTTGCTTGAAGAGAAGCCCTCAACATCAGGCTGCCTAAGTATCTCCAGGCAGCGAGTGCAACAGCTGTGACCCCGCTGTAATCTCAGCATCGCGTGGAAACACTGATCTCATGATTGTGCAGACCTACAGTGCAATATGGTACCTATGCAATCCGCCCTTAGCCATTGACGCTGCGGATGACCCCGCATCTGACATAAAATGCTCAGCCTGCGACGGAGTATGCCTGCATGTTGTCGGTGTTGCGGCGTGCATAAAAAGTGCGTGTGTATCCATGCCTTTGCATGATGCATGCAGCACGCTTCATGGGTCTGTGAAGCAGGCTGAGCAGCTATCGCACGATTGAGAGGTATGATAGGTAGTCACAGCAGACTAGGTCCAATGATCAAGAGACACGGGTCGAACGATGCGACCTGCCGCCCTCCCGCATGGCCGATCGGACAGTGATTGCCGTGGTTTATTCGAGAAGAAGGTAAGCTTGCGGTTCCGGTACACAACCCCGCCCACAGGTAACATCGTTGAAGATGGCACCGGCAGTCCGGGCGAATTTCGAAAGTGAGCGAGCTGACAAGAATTCTCGTAACGTGCGTCCAGCGAGGCAGACCACTGTCGCCAAAGAATTGAGTGTCTCCAAGCCGCCAATATAAGTCTTCAAGCGATTGTCAAAGAGGTCCAGAGACGAAGAGTATCGGCAGGGCGAAAGATTATCTTCGGTTTGTCTCAGAAAACCAAACATGGAGTGGCCATCAAAAGAATCGGGGTTCAGCGCCCACGACTTCGAGTTATTCGAGTACGAAGAACGGCCGACGACAGTTATCACGATCCGGCTTGACGATTTAGCGGAACTACAGGTAGGGAGAAATGCGGCCCACGAAGAAATTTGGATCTAACCCTAAAACCCTGAAGGATGCCTTTTTGGAGGACGAATTAACAACGGCTGAAGATTGGGAGACATGGCTACAGCGGGCCGTACGTATTTCACCAAAAGCAAGGTCTTTTCCAGGGTGCTCATATTACCAATAGAAATCCGATATCACGGATGATGATGCAACAACGTTGAACCTGATGTAAGCGTATCATACGATCCGTTAAGGTGAAGAAGGGATTGGAGGACTGTTGTCACTAACGCAGAACATGAAGAATATTCCGTCGTACTTCGAAGACAGTATTAGATTGTCCTTCGGAGATCCAACAATTACCAGTCTCTGAATCGACGTTTCAAAATGTCACCAAAACATTTCGCGTTCATCGGACCCTTGGCCGGATGATCAATCGCCGAGACTCAGAGTTCCTCCACTTACTAGAGGTCGATGAGAATATTGAGCCACAGAGACTAAGTAAGTTTGGTAGATACCCATCTTCGTCCTTGAGCCAAGCCTGACTGTGATCGTAGTTTACAACTTCAGAACAAGCGCCATCGTTCCTGGAGACATTGCCGTATCTGTGACTCATGATCCCTGTCGTCGGTCAACGACCGCTATCCTGTTTGGTCTTGGGGAAGCTCAAGAAAGGCTCTTTCTGCACAGGATGAAAGAATCTCTAGAAGACTTCTGTCATCCCCTGGCACTGGTCGGAGCAGTATGCGAGCTTGAGCGAGACAGGTGGATCAAAAATGAGGTTCGTCCTATTGAGTCGACGTATATGGAGAAGAACGACCAATGGAGCATGGCTAGTAGTGACAACCTTGCGTCTGCACCAGAAGGGGAAACCATGGAGGATGCTTTGGGGTTGCGGTTCAAGTCTACCATTCTACTCACAAGCCTGACCGCTGCAAGACGGCAGCTTAGTCGGATCGGAGATTACTTACAAGATATGCGCAAAGATGCCAAAATGGCGTCCTTTGTGGGAGGCTGTGATCATTACCATGACAAGGAAACCAAAGCTCTCAATACTGGCATAGATTTGGGCAAGCAGCAAGCTCACACCGCTGCTCGGCTACATCACCGTCTCAATCAGATCTCTGATGAATTTGATATGAAGATTGACAGCTGCAAGGCATCAATGGAAGACATGATGGCTACTACCCAAGTCGTAAGATAACCTACACTACGTAGCGCAATCCAAGCTGACAAGACGTCCAGGTCATGAGCCGAATCGCGAGGCATGACACCTTGACAAACACAGCGATCTCTGTGGCCACGCGAAGGGACAACTCTCAAATGATGTCCATCGCCTTTGTGACTATGGTATTCTTGCCACTCACGAGCATTGCAGTAAGCTGTTCCTTTTACAATGTTTGCGAGAGACATACTGACCAAGGCAGACCATCTTCTCCATGAACGTATTCAATTGGGATGCCAAAGACGGTGAGAATCTCATCAATGTGCACTTTTGGCTTTATCTAGCTGTAGCTGGAGCGTCAACAGTCCTAACCGTTGGTCTATGGATGATTTATTCAGGAGTGACCAAAGGGCTTTTCTGCGTCCGTCAGAGGAGGAAAGATGAGGAAATGGGGTCTTGAGTGAGACGTGAACATGGTCAACTCCATATGGATGTAGTCAAGGCAGTTGCCTAATCACTTTGAAATAATATAGATCTTATGTTCACCGTGCCTTTATCCGAGAAATTCGTTTTATCTTGCTACCCATCCATGCAAAATTGCCACTGAGTCGCGCCGGGGTCGAATCATGTCAACCGAGCCTGTCACATCAATAAAAGGTTTGCCGTAGGAAATCCGCAGTCGCAAAGGTTCTCAACTTTGGTCCAAGCCTCTGAGTACGTCTAGTAATATCTACCAATCATAGATGCACGCTGCCAAATATGTGCTGCTTCAGGGCATCTACCCAAAACTGGCATTCCTTAAGCAGGGCTAATGCCCCATTGAGCCTGGAAACCACGCTTCCGAGGCACATGCTCCTCAACAGCAAAAAGCACAGCGCGACGAAGCAGAACAACCGGAAAGATTTCACACACAAGGGAGCTTCATCCAAAGACAAAATTATCATGATGTGTTGTCAAGGCAATTGAAGTTGTAAATCATGTCTCAAGACTATTGATGAAAGTCAAAGACAATGTCTTGCTGCCGGTGCGGCCCCACTCTGGGGTTAAGAGGCTCTCGCCCGATTTCGACCCCTTGCTTCCAGCATAGCCAGGATGGCCAACCCAGACGCCACTTATGTGGAAATTTTCGTATGACAGATGGAGTCTACTTTTTAAAATTTGAATCAAAATGGGAATAACTATCGTGGGACAGCCTTCGCGTGGCTAGAGCTGGGAAACGTTACAAGGGGATGGCTGTTGCACAGAAACCAAAGCCACGACCAAGATTGACAACCTTGAATGGCTGATTATCTACCCCAGGGACATCTTGAGAAAGTTGTATCTAAAGCCGGTGGCGTTGCTTTGGAGACTTCGTCTTTAGGCCATAGGTCGAGGAAGCGAAGTTCTGTAAGGGATGATAAGGCTAAATTTTACTTTCCCGTGTTTCTGCCCGAAGCTGGTGGAGGTCTTACATGTCGGTTCAATGATTGCTTGCACAGCTGATAATGATCTTCGCGATCATGCAGAGCTGAACTGACTGCCGAACGTCAAATTTCCGTGCTGACGGGCTGGGCCTGGGCCAGGTACGGATCGTTCGAGGTGTTTTGGTCTGACACAAGTCCTCAAAGGTCGCCTTCGCACTTGCCATCACATAAACTTACTCGATACACATTTGTTAAACATAAAAGGTGGCTGTTGTCGAAGGTTTTGCATTTGTCTTTTCTCAACTCTCACAAAGCATCAACCTACCTGATCTCTTCAGATCCTCATCCACTCTTTCCCGTCACCTTTCGAGGTACAGTCACTCTTTAATCATATCGTCACTCGTTTCAACATGCGTTCAATCTTCGCTATTGCCTGTCTGGCTCCAGCCATCTTGGCCCAGTCCAACGTTCTGCCTGGACATGGAACAACTTCTGCAGGGTGGAACACCACCATCATTCCTGGTCCTACCGGGGTCATCTCTTCAAGTATTCCCATTCATACCGGTACCGAGATTACCGTCACAACTACGGGTGCCAACTCAACCGGCATCTGGGTGACTGTTCCTCCCTCCACTATCACGGCTACATACACGGCCACTTACACTCATACTATCACCTCTTGCCCACCTGGAGTCAAGCCATGCCACAGCGGCGCTGTCACGACGTTCCTCACAACCATCACCACAACCTACTGCCCCGAGACTCCTGTTCCCACTCCTTGCCCTGGCGGCAAATGCCATCCTCCTCCTCCCTCACCTCCCCCTTCCCCTCCTTGCACCGGCAAGCACTGCGACAACCCGTTCGTCTGCTACGGAGACCACTGTGCCTACGACAAGCCATGCGACGGCGGAGACTGCAGCCGCTGCCTCCTCTGTGCCGACGGAAAGTGTCAGCCTAACCAGTGCAGCGGCAACGACTGTGGCAAGATCATCATCTGCAAGGGGGACTCCTGCCGGTACCGCAAGTGCCAAGGCGATAACTGCAACAAGGACAAGATTGTCTGCCACGGCGATAAGTGCAAGTCCGAGAAGTGCCACGGTGATGAGTGCAACAAGAAGTACGTTTGCAAGGACGGCAACTGCAAGCACGAGTCCTGCCCTCCCAAAGACAACAACAAGCACTACGACTGTCACGGAGATGAGTGCAAGCCCGTCGAAGAGTGCAAGGGCGACCAGTGCCCCAAGCCTCAGCCACCCGTCAAGCCTTCTCAGCAGCCTTCCGGTACCCCGCCCGCGCAGCCACCGGCGAGCCCTCCTGTTCAGCCCCCGGCCCATCCATCCAAGTCCGGGGATGTCCCGCCTCAGGGTCCGGAGCAAACTCCCGTCAGCCCTCCGGAGCATACTCCTGTGAAGCCGCCTCAGGAGACATCGCCTCAGCCTCCCCAGCCCTCTGGCAGCCATCCTGAGCAGCCCACTCACACGCCTGGGTCTCCTACAAAGCCGTCCGAGTCTCAGCATCCCACCCACTCTGTCGTCGTTGCTGGGTCCAGCAAGTCGGTTTCCGGGATTGCCTTCGTGGGTCTCGCTCTTGGTGTTGCAGGAGGTCTCATCTTCCTCTAAGTGTACGACTGTATTTGTGTAATGTGGCATGTAGGGAAGGCTTTTGTTTCTGTGTTTCTCTTCTTACTGGTCGCAAAGGGCCGAACTTTATCAGTGCCTTCGCGGCCAGCTTGTATATCACAAACTTTTGTACGTAGGAAAGGAGGACCCTGTAATCGTAGTGGAACATAATAGTCGAGGACATGGCATGGATATGTCAACGAAGATAATAGAATCTTCATCTTCTCGAAAAGCAGCATAACCAACCTGAAATGTGAAAAGAAGGACAACGTTCCTTCTCATGATATTCCATGTGGCATCCAATGTCCATCTATCAATCTTGTTCCAGGTCCCAATCCCAAGTCTAATGACGTCTTGAACATCGGTCATTACCCGTGGCTGATCCACAACTCCCGATCAGTGAAGGAGAGCAGCCTTTGCAATATCCACCTCCTCCGCGGTACCGCAGATCAACCCAGCTCTCCCATCGCAATCAACGGAGACCTTATCCAGGAGAGGCTTTCCGTCTGACGGGTCGATCGCCTTTCCACCAGCGACCTCAATGATTAGGGCGATCGGGTAGAGCTCATACAAGAACCGCAACTTCGGCAACGTTCCCGGAGTCACAGGCATAACATACACGCCGTGTCCTTTGACAAGCGCATGCACGATATCCGGTACAAGACCACCGCAGTATCTCAGTGTATACTTCTTCTGGATAAACCGTGTGATGAGAGCACCGTATCTCTCATCATCGGCCGCATGGCGCAAGTTCGCCGGCGCAAAGTAGCGAGTCTTGAAAGGACCATCTGCCAGCTTGACAACTGTGCGAATAATCTCGCAGTCCTCCACTCCATTCTGACCAAAGCCGATCTCGAAGCACGCGGCCTCGGCACCCGGGATGCGGAGCGCAACGATGGCCGTGGTCCGGGGCCCGATGACACCCATTACAGCAGCAATCTGCTTCTCCCGTGGCGACTGTCCGACGGCAGTGCGACCATCCCAGATTCCGACGATCGTTCCAACAGTCCAGTTCGGTGCGATAATAGAGCTACCATCCAGAGGATCGAAAGCGACGGTGTATACTTCCGAAGACGCCGGGGTGCTGTCCGTATTGTCGTTGGTCGACGTCCTGGCTGGCTTCTCCACCGGATCCTCTTCGCTGCTTGCAGTGTGTATCGTCGGGCATTTGGAAATGGCTTCGCGCATGACATTCTCGGAAGCGACATCGACGTTCAGCTGGTCGTCGCCGAAAGCATTCGCGGTCCCTGCCAATGAGACATGTTGCGAGGCATGGAGCGTCTTGGCAATGTCTGAAACAGCTCCCAGAATCGCCGGAATTACTTCGTCGCGAAGAGACTTGCGTGCTTCCTGAGAAATAACGCTTTGGAGCTGTTGTACGAGTGCTGCTGACGGAGCCATCATGAGAGGTGCAGTGTGTGAAGTAAAGATTAACGGAAATTGTTGAGTCAGGGCGGGCCTGAGCTATTTTAGCATGAGAAAGGTGGTTGAGAGATTTTCGATGTTTGCGGATTGGATAGCAAATGCCCCATAAAACTGTCTGACAGTGCCTTCGATCCACCAGTCAGAGGCCTGTAATCTTCTCTTTTGGAACTCTATCTAACGTTTATCCCACGTGGAGGTCGATCTCACCAGCAGGGGGTGCTTAGCAGTGTGTGAGCAACAGCTGTTTTTGTCGACTTCCGATCACTCAAATTTGTACAGGAGGGCTATCAATCATATAATGAGGTTGTCAATGTCTATTTAAGCCAACTATGAACAGACCTTGACTACCTTGACTGATGATCTTACCTTAAGGTCTACCCCTCCATGTGGGGGTCGTGGCTGGACGAGCAATGGCCCCAATTCGACTCATGCCTGCGAGCTTTCTTCGCTTTCATCTCTACCGTTGCGCTTGATGCCGTCATAAAATCGCCTTTCCTCAAAGACACGAATATCATCATCGAAGTTGACCTTGCCAAGCTTCCTAGCCTTCAAGATCTTTCTTCTCACCCGCATCACATCATACTCAGTGTTTCGGGTCAACCACCAGGTCCACAGGTTACCCACAAAAGACGCGATTGTCGTCGCGGCCGCGATCGCAAAGCTTGTTTTGTACCCGTTGTATGCAAACCTGGATTGGAACAGCTGCGGGCCGATAACACCACCAAGCTGCGCAATGCCGGATTGCAAACCCAAAGTGAACGCGGTACCAGTTGACCCGGACAGTGTCGCTGATCTCCATGCCCAGAAAGGAATGAAGTATGACTGATAGAAGAGCGTGCCTAGGATGCAGCTTATGTAAATTCCGTAACGGTTGGTAATTGTGAAGAAGAGGACGAAGCAGACAACCATGCCTGACATGATGATCCTTAACTTTCCGTTAGCTTCAACATTCTTACAGTGATTGGAGGGATGCGAACATGATAAGTGCGGGCCGGACAATGTAGGCCTTCGACATGAACCAGGCTGAGAGAATGAGACCTAGAATGGCAGCTGCAGCTGGCGGAATGTTAAGTAACTGGTTCTTCGGCAAACCCACGAACCCCAGGTTGGTGACAATCGTCGGCAAATACCACGTGAGCGCATATCCGCCAATGTTGATCAATGTTTGTGACAACATGAAAGACCAGATGAGTGGAGTCTTAAGCACTGCAAAAATCTCCTTTTTGGAGAAGTCGGGATCGTTGGTAAGCGGCGCGTTCTCTGGTAGTCGAGCCTCAATGAACTCTTGCTCGCGCTTGGTAAACCAGCGGTCGCTTCGGGGAGACTTTGGGTAGTCAGGCAAGTACCAGAACACGGCGCCTGAGAACACAATCGTTGCCAGCCCTTCAAGTAGATATACCCATCTCCAGGCGCTGAGGCCGCCGATTCCGTTCATATAGCTAATGCCATAGCAGAGCAGAGACCCGATGATGCCTGCAAGGTTGGAGGTCGCGAAGAACCAAGTCACGGGCTTGCCGATTTCATCGGTGCGATACCAACTGGACAGTTGTGCCATCACTCCCGGAAACATGCCCGCCTCGAACATTCTGTCTCACCAAATTAGTCTATGTTAAGCAAATTGAACTCAAATAGGATCGATCCGTACCCTAGTAAGAAACGCATTGCATAAAGCTGATGTCGATTCTGTGCCGCGGCATGGCATGCGGTAATAATTCCCCACGTGAGGAAAATACGAGATTGCCATAGGTGCGGACTCATGCGCTTGAGAAGAAGGTTGCTAGGTGCTTCAAACACTATGTATGCAATCTTGAGAGAGTTAGTCTTATGCATAAGGTACATTTTGGGTGTTCAGGTGATATACTCACTCCATAGATAGACCCAACCCAGTTATACTGGTCGGAAGTCATACTAAGCTCCTTCATGATGTTCCGAGACTCGCCGACCTGAAGAACACGAACATTTGCCGCATTACTTTGGTCAATCTTCATGACTCTCAGTTAGTCGCGTGTCCATACTTCTTCAAACCACAGCCGACCTACCTGTTTGATCATATACATGAAGCCAATGATAATCAAGAACCTTTTGTCAATCTTGTTCAAGACGCTCCGCTCTTCGTCGGCTGAGAATGTTGACAAAAATGCCGCCCTAGCTTCAGGATCATCTCGAAGATTATCGACATTCGCTCGAGCGACGGTGGCATTGGCCTGCTTCCGAGTCGCTGCTGCCGCGTCATGGTCGACTCGGACTTCGCCAGGCTGAATCGTCGAGCTCATCGTGCGGTACTGATCAGTTGTGCAGCGGCCCCCAAAGTCTCGGTGAATATCTGTGGACAAGTCATCTTTATCTTTAACGGGAAATTCTCCATTGGATACCCGATGCCGGGCAGAAGTTCGTCACTTGCGGCGTGTCACCGACGTGCCGCATCCTTATCAGCGGGGATTCCGGGGTAGGATGGATGATGTGCTTGATGTTCATATGGCGATATAAGCTGTGCATACTTATATGAAGGTGTAAAGTGTCATTGGTGAGGCGCTGATATTGCACCTGATTCGTTGAGAGACGCCGAGAGTGGATGGCGAAATCCCGGCCCACCATGCCACCATCCGGCCAACCTCGCACGCTGTCGCAATAACTCCGACGTTGAGCATGACCCGGCTAAAACCCGTTCTCTCCCTATCAAAATAGCGGTTGTTTCTCTGTCATATTCAACGTCGAGGGAATCTATGCCGCCAAGGCAGGTTGCCCGTGTCCGATACAGGACCCGACTTCCAGGGCGCCGGGGGAAAGTATGGGACTTATGCGTGATACGTCGGAAGGATTCTTTCACGCAAGACTCAGAAACAATGACGCAAACCAACAGGATCATTATAATACACTAATCCTGCCGGGGTATTGGTAGAGCTAGACTGAGTATAGACTTTGAACGCATCTTGCAGTGGTCGTGTCCATTCTGCGCTCTACACACCTAGACTGTCCATCTATTCCCCGACTTAACTTTATTCACGATGACTTCATCCGAGGCCCAAGACGAAAGCAATGGCACGAAACCCAAGAAGCAAATTTTGCTCAATGCCTTCGACATGTTCACGGTGGGCCATTTGTCATTTGGGCAGTGGCGAAACCCCAAGGACCGGGCCAAGGACAAGCGCCGGGATCTCACTTACTGGACCGACCTAGCTAAGCTCTTGGATAAGGGGGGCTTCGTAGGCCTTTTCCTCGCAGACACATTTGGGCCCTACGATACGTAAGCTTTTTGACTTACGCAGTCTTTGATGATCACCGTCCTAAATCAGTCTTGCAGATACAAGGGAAGTGCCGAGCCATCTGTGAGGACTGGTGCTCAGTGGCCGATGGCCGATCCTGTCATCGTGAGTGAGCCTATGGATACCCTGTTAGTAAGCTAGAGCTGATACCTTGGTAAAGCCAGTTTCAGCAATGGCAGCGGTGACGAAGAATCTGGGCTTCGCGATTACCACGTCTACCTCGTATGAGCAGGCTTATGTTGTTGCTAAGCGGTTTGCAACACTCGATCATCTGACTAAGGGCCGTTTTGGTTGGAACATTGTGACTAGCTGGAAAGAATCTGCATCCAAAGCTGTGAGCGGTCTCAGTTGCAGGTCGCCAAACATGTCAAGCTGACAAGTAGCACAGGTCGGACTGCCCCTTGTAGAGCACGACACTCGATATGAAAATGCGGATGAATACCTCCGTGTCCTATACAAGTGAGTTGCTGAGCACCTATGAGCAGATTCCAAGTCGCGATCTCTTTCTGACATTGCACACAGACTATGGGAAGGTTCATGGTCAGACACAGCTTTGAAGGAAGACGCGGAGAATGGCATCTACTCCGACTACTCTCAGATCAGACCTATTCACCACCACGGCAAATTTCACGTCGATGCACCATTCCTGACAGACCCATCCCCTCAACGCACACCAGTTCTGTTCCAAGCCGGAACATCGCCGTAAGTAATTGGTTTTTCTGTTTTGGGAATACCTAGCTCACGCTCAGAAGCGCTGGAATCAAGTTTGGGTCGACCCACGCCGAAGGCATCTTCGTCGCCGGCCTATCACCGCACGTTGTGGCACCTCGAGTCAAGGCTATCCGTGAAGGGGCCATCGCTGCTGGTCGCGATCCATACTCTGTTAAAGTCTTCGCCATGATCACCCCAATCATCGGGAAAGATGAAGAAGACGCCAAGAGCAAGTACGAAGAAGCCCTGAAGTACGTCTTGATCGAGGGAGGTCTTGCTCAATTCTCAGCTACGACTGGCATCGATGTTTCAAAGTTCGACCTTGACCATGAGCTCACGGAGAAGGATGTCGCAAACCATTTGCAGAGAATCCACTCTTCTTTGTACAATCTGCGCTACCGCGGCGACGATGTTCCCAAGCTGACACCTCGCAACTTGGGCACCGTCACGGCAATCGGTGGAAATGGGGCTATGCCGGTTGGAACAGCTGCCCAAGTTGCGGACGTCTTTCAGGAGTGGGTTGACATTGCCGATGTCGATGGCTTCAATATCGGATATGTCGTCACTCCCGGTAGCTTTGAGGATGCCGTTGAATATCTTGTCCCTGAGCTGAGAAGTAGAGGCCTCCTGCCGGAAGCAATTCCAGCGGATGCCCCTGCGCCTACCTTCCGCGAGCAGATCTATGGTCTCGGGCAGAAGGGGTTGAGATCTGATCATCCTGGGTTCAAGTACAAGTATGACACCTATGAGGAGACAATTGCCAAGGAAGAGGAGACAAAAGCAGATGCAGGAGATGAAAGGCCATAAGGCTTGAAACAGCTGGCTATAGAGCAGTCAGGCATCCTCATGGACAAAGGAACATATAGTGCTCGAAGAAAATTCAAGATTCCATTTAAAATGAGCCTGCCTGCCTCTGTCTGCGACTGAGATCACCGCAGCGACAAGATGAAGTTCTGATCCGACAAAAGTCAGAGTCAGCTCCCGGGTGCCCAGTTATGAGTGACCTGCCTGCAGCAAGGCCCCGGGATACGGACTTGCAGTATAGCCTAAAGACAGTACAGCGTCCAACGGCGAGCTCCATGCCAAATCGACTTCCCATGTAGATGCCACCGCCAACCGCCCTACGTCCCCGCAGCATCTCGCGGTCGCCAAGATCTGCCCCGCGCCGCAGCGGAGCCGATCAGGGGCAATCTTGGCACGGGATGTAATTTTCCACAACTCAGACCGACTATTTGGTCGAAATTCATCCAGAGAATGCAGGATGGTCCAATTTTGTCCGTCCAGGACACATTCAATCGGTGTGAAATGGCTGCATTCTCAGGGTTGTTCGGAATAACCGCCATCAAGGAGCATTACCGAACCAGCTTGTTAAATGATGACCAAAATCAAGTAAATATCGATAGATTCTATTCAAAAAGTCGTGTCAGTTTCTTTGAGAGACAGACCAGCTTCAGTCGGGACAATACATATTGCCAAAAATGAGGTTTGTGAATGCCGCGATTGTAGTTGGCGCTGTGGCAGCAAGCCGGGGTGCGGGCGCGCCAGCCTGCAATCATCCTCCGTATTCTGCGTGGATGACTGACTCAATGATCCGACGTGGAGTCGAGCCAAGTTTTCACTACGACCAGGCGACTCTGTATACTTCTTTTGAGGCTATCTACGAGCATACGAAGAACCAGACGATCTACGACTACTACCGAGCCCAAGTCGACTCGGTGATCTTTCCCAACGGCACCATCGACGGTTTCAACTACTCGCGCTACAGTCTCGATCCCTATCGCTTTGGTAACAACGCACTTTACTGGTATGAGAAGACAGGGGAAGACAAATATCGCATTGCTGCAGATGGAATCAAGAGAACCCTTGACAAACATCCGCGGACACCTACGGGCGGCCTTTGGCATCGCGAGGTCGTGTATCCAAATCAGATGTGGCTCGACGGCATCTACATGGCTGATACCTTCTATGCGAAGTACGTGTCGTTGTTCCAACCAGACAATCAAACGGCCTGGGACGACATCGTTCTTCAGTTCGACAACATCGACGCGCGCACCCGGCGAGATGACAACCTGCTCGTCCATGGCTACGACGAGAGCAAGCAAGCTGTGTGGGCCGATCCCGAAACCGGCGCTGCGCCGCTGGTGTGGGGCCGTGCCGATGGATGGTATTTCATGGCTTTACTCGAGGTCGTCGACTTGCTCCCTGAACAGCATCCCGGCCGGGAAAGGCTTCTAGGATATTTCAAAGGATTGGCACAGGGCCTCAAAGGCGCTCAAGATGAATCGGGTGGTTGGTGGAACGTCATGGAAAAGCGCTACGAGGATGTCGAGGGCAACTACATCGAGAGCAGCGCCAGCGTTATGTTCACCTTCGGTTGGCTCAAAGGACTTAACCTGGGATATCTTTCTGAAACGGAGTATTCGGATGTCACGGAGAAAGCCTGGAACGGCATGGTGGATATGTTCGTCACCCGCAACGACAATGGCACGATTAACTGGGAAGGCACAGTCATGGTAGGGAGTCTGGGAAGTAATGCCACCTTTGAGGTAAGAACACTCTTTTCACCCGCATTTGGAACAGAGAGATTGATATTTTACCAGTACTACTCGAGCATTGGCCTTCGCCAGAACGACCTTCGAGGCGCTGGAGTCTTTATGATCGCTGCTCTTGAATGGGAAAAGAGATTTGCTTGAGATTCTTTGTCAGATGGCAATCGGGGAATCTTGACTATGAGGTTTATGGTCTGTGCCATTAGGATAAACACAGGATATTCTATTCCTATTTCAATCATCAAAGCTACTTGTGATCAATGCGTTACCATTGACTGGGCATCTTTGGTGAATCTCACATCCCTTCCGACGCGGTGTTTGACACCAAATTCACTTGTAGCTTCGATTCACTGATCAAGCGACCTGCCACCCACACTTCTGAGAGAAAGTTACTACTTAAATGACACATCGTCATCTTCATTCGTTTACTAATTCTCCACATGCACAAGAGCCTCAATTGACAATCAGAACACACAACACAAATCCCCAACAAAGATCTATCAGCCTCCCTATTCCATCATCATGACTCAGCCCAACGCCAAGGAGATCTCAGCCTACCGCGACGGCATGTCATATCCGGTGAGGCAGAAGGACTTTTGGAACGCTTTAGCGAGGTGCGCGAAAGCCTGCGGGGAGTTCAATAATCTTCCGAATAACGCAACCACCGAGGAAAAGTCAGCAGCCTGGCGCAAGTGAGTATTCCCAAATTATCATGTCGTTATCGTCATACGTTTCAGGAAAAGCAATTCCTATGCAATGTAGCATCTTATGGACTAATACTGACCATTCTTCGACTACCTTAGGATCGTTGCCCCTACCTCAAGTGCCGACACGCCAGTCAGCTCTGCGAACGATTTCCCCACGCCGTCCGTCAAGGGACCGATCAGAATTGACTACGGCCTGCGTGTTCATATTGCTGCGAACACCTTCATCAACCATAACTGCACCATTCTTGATACCCCTGTTGCCGACGTTCGCATCGGTAAACATTGTTCCCTCGGACCTCACGTTAGTATCTACAGCGTCGGTCACAACCTCAACTCGGACACCCATCCCAGAGTCAGCTTCGGCAAGCCCGTCACCATCGAGGATGGCTGCTGGATTGGAGGGAACGTAACTATTCTGTGAGTTGATGCCCCTGCCACGACTGCTAGCAGTGATTCGGATTTAAAGCTAACTCATCACAGAGGTGGCGTCAAGATCGGGGCTGGTTCGACGATTGCTGCTGGCAGCGTTGTACGGAGTGACATTCCTCCTAGATCCATTGCTGCTGGAGTACCTGCCCGTGTTATTCGCCAAATCCGTCCAGGCGAGGAACACGACGCTTTCCCAGTGGCTTCGCTCCATGTCGCTCTACAGATCCCCAGCAACCATGGCGGTGTTGAACACATGAATGAGGCGACTAGAGTGCGCCTGGACAAATTTCTTGGCGAGGAAGACTAAACCTTTCAGGAGAAGTTTTCCGGGACGCTTCCCTTTCGGCGCACATCTCTGGGGAGCGACAAGCGTAGGGGGCATATCAAGGGGCGCAACAGAATAAATTGATCGGGCAGGTAGAGATATTGCAAGCTCACTAGTAACTAGACACCTCCAACAATCACATTAAAGCTTTGCCGCTCCTTCCATAAGCACGACCTCAAGAATTCCCTGTACTGATGACGGCGAACCCCATATCTTAACAATCTTCAACCCAATTGACTCGATCAGCTCGCGCCATTCTCTCTCCGTTCGCTCCTTGGCAGAACCGAAGGCCATCATGGTGATGTCGTAACTAGCAGCATGAGGATGCACAGGCCTACTGTCATCCAGCACATGGTCGTGAATCAGCATCTTGCTGTACCCAGGCTTCATGGCAATCTTTTGGTTCTCGAGAATTTTGAGAACGATCTTGTCAGGCCAATCGTGGAGAATGTGGTGCATGTAATACGCCCGCGCGTCTACCACGAATTTAGTGACCTGAAGCTGCATTCAAAAGGGACAATTGTGCAAACTTACGCTTGATCGGTTGAGGTTTGAAGAAGTCATATGCAAGCTTATTGATCCCCTTAACCTGGCATGCGTCCTCATCTGCAATGACGGACGGGAGGTCTTGCAAATATAGTCTCGACGCTGTCTCTGGATATTTCTCCAAGAACGGCTTGAGATCTTGGCCAATGCTACCTCCCACATCGACGAGAAGCGGCAGGCTTGGGTCGGAATCCAAAAGGGTGTGGCAAGGGTAGACAGAAGTCCATCTGGCTTGGCTCGACGTAGAAAGCTTCTGGACAACGTTGAACCCCTTCCCCTCCTCGGGGTACTTCTCAAGGTAACCAAAAAGACCACCTTCCCAGTTGAATGCGGAGTCGAACATTGTGTCGCGACTGCGTGTTGGATTGACAAAATTTGTCTTTTTGAGAAACATTGGCATGTGGTGCAGCATTGGCACCGTGAATTTGTGACTAAGAAATATTAGTGTGACTTGACTGAGCTATGAGGTGATTGGGAAGAAGTACTGAAAGTGTAGCATGTGCTTGTAATTATTGTCCGCTAGTTGCGCGAAAAAGGGAGTAGGTTCGAACTTTCCAAGGTCGGTAATTTTGATGAGGCGATTGGCAGCCAGAAGACGAAGCAGACGGCCTGGAATTGTCAGCCTGCATGTACTGCAAAAGAATATAGCAGAGACGCCGTAAAGATACTGACGAAGTAGTGCGGGGTCGCATGGAGTTGCGACCCATTGAGCGAGCTCTGTCTCTGTCGCCGGTCTATTGCCATTCTCATTCCATTTTTCGAAGAGTTGCAGGCTTTCAAATGTTTCCAATGCGGCTAGAACGGACGGCTACGCAGGCTAGTCAGCAGCAAGAATGCCATGTAACCCGCCTCACCCTTTGGAGGAAACTTGCTTCACTGAGATAAAGTCTCATGTATGTGTCCCACGGCGATTCGACGTCAATCATGAGTTCATACATCCTGAGCACGATTCTCATGCGGTCGTCTTCGCTCATATCGGCAAGTGATGCTTTCAGGTCATCAGCTGAGCGCAAGAAAGCCTCAGCAGCCCTATTTCCACTCGTTTGCGATGCCATCTTGACAGACTTTGGTGTTCGAAAAGCTCTTCTTGATCAGGTGCCTATTGCAACAAATATTAGACGTCGATATCGTAGCCAAGTTTTGAGAAGTTCGTGAGTGCTGTGGCACGATTGCTTTGGTCGTCGTTGCAATTCAGTGTGATACCTTAGGGCTTGTGCAGGGCCTTGTACGACTGCTTCTATCTCTCCCTTCCTCAAATACTTCTTATTTGAGCAGCAAAGTCATCCGTCGGAGGAACTGTGCAGCCGTGCCCTGGAATCGTCTGATAGATAGACTTCCGTGGGCTTTGACTTTTGCGTTGCAGGACGTGTTAAAATGCGAGAATACATTGTTACGCTACTTGTGATTGGCCGGGATCTCAAGGTGGTGTACGTTAAGCTATCGCGAAACTTGGAGTCAGTGAGAAACGGAGGTCTCAGAAACTCTGGCAAGCATGCCATGTGAAATGAACGCTTCTGTGTAAAATGAACTGAGCTTATGGAATAGTCAGCGTGCATCATATGCTTCCTTGTGTAAATATTCTAAGCCAGCTGCCTCGGGAAAATTGGGTTCACCGGGGAGATAACCGTGATGAAATCTGCCAGCAGGCCCACACGCTCCGATTTCCGGTCCGGACCCGTCGGAACGGTGCCCGGGTATTGGCCAAAACTCCGGCCGTTAGCTGCTCTCCGCCTTGACCAAAGCCACGATGAGAATCCTCAACACGAATCAAGGTCTCAATTTTATCGAAGCCTGTTGGTCCCCAGATCCCCCATTACACATCCACTGACATAACCCCTCGCATTCTACTGTTGAGTACCTTGGTTGAACTCAATCGCGGGATCCTCAATCTGCCCTATCACCAAGTTCAACGTTGAACATATGTTTAGAAGACTCTGCATCAGCTGGTCCGCTTACGCCGGTGTTCTGGAATGAAGACGTGGGCAGCTATGACGTCGACCGGAGAAAATGCGACTGTGTTGACCATTCGGCCAAGCTTCTGCGTAAATGTTAGCGACGGCCACTCACAGGAATCGACTATTTGAAAGGGCGGAATGGCAAAACTTCGGCGGCTTGGGTTAGATTCTCTACTCTCCATCTCCTCGCGTTCGACAAGTTACGAGCAGGCCTCCAGCGTGGGGCCGGTCCCCCACCGGGACTGTCGAAAGGGAACCTGATTGTAAGCAATTACAATGTCATGAATTGAAATGGTGAGCATAATAGCCAAGCGTTGAGCGGAAAAGTTGGAGATGCCAAGCATTTAACATGTGCCGAACGTGGAGCCGTCGATGTAGGAATGACAGGTGACCACCAACCCGGTTTACCAAAGGGCAACTGATCCCCGCTTCCCCGCAACATCCACTGTCACAACACCACAAGTCTCGTGCTTTTGTTCGTCCCGAGAGTCCAGACACCGTGAGCTGAGGTGATGAGTAGCATTCCACCCACGGACTAGACATGAGTCTCGGTGACCGTGAGCTTCGGATTGCGGGGGAGGATACCAGGTAACCTGCTTGAGGACCCGCCATTCTCGAGGTAGGGCCGATTCAAAGCCCCAGCTCAGTAATTCCAAGCACTTTTCAGGCTGTCACCCCAGCATAGCATCATCGGCGAGGTCGATTTATGGTCAAGTCTGTGCCCTAATGTGGAGCAATCGAAGGCTCTGGGGTCCCCGCATGTGTTCCGTTCTGCTGGTGACCCGAACATATGCCGACAGCTCCGGTCGGCAGACGATATCCCTGTGCGAAGAGTGTGTTTGCCTCACTGTCACCTCATTCCATTTGGAGAAACTTCAATTGCGGTCATAGGCTGTACCATAAAGCACGAATGTCAGGAACATGGTCGGTTTTGAAAGTCGTGCAACGAGGGTTGGCATTAGTGATGAAGTCAACTACAACTTTCACGGTATTACGAAGAACGATCCGTCCGGTGGTTCTCATTAGCCGAAGCTAGACATCCAGTGGTGTTTTATTGCTCATGGAGGAAGCTATTGCCGCTGCCGGCTCGGGATTCTGCCATTGTTGCGCTGGCCTACCCCCCGACTCCCGAACTGCCCCTCCATTGTGATGGGGCATCACCACATCGTACATGTATTGAACCCCTCCTCAGCCATTCCAGCGTCATCACTCTAGTTATTTGGACCGACGCAAGGCCGTAAGATATGTTGCCAAGAGCAGCCTTTCCTAATTCTTTCGTGATTCCCACCGCACTGGTCTTGCAGCCCAAAGACTCAAGGACTCCAAGTTTGCCAGCCAATGGTATAGGTTGCAGCCATGGAGGCAGTCTTTGGCATAAATACCTTCTTCTCTTCGGGGGGTTCATCAGGATGGCTGCTCACCTCGATATCTCAGTCTCCATTGAACCTCATTCATACGCCTGTGAGAGGCCAAGAACAACATGAAGTCCGACTTGACGACACTTGCCTTGGCACTGCTGCCACTGGGCGTTAACAGCAACCCCACAGCACAATACCCTTGGCTCACTCATCGTGACGACTCTCTTCCTATTTACAAGAACTCTTCTCATTGCGTCGAGGCTCGAGTGGAAGATCTAGTCCAGCGTATGACCTTAGAAGAAAAGGCCGGCCAGCTTTTCCAGACTCAGCTCTACCAAGGCCCCAATGGCACCCTTGACGAGGGCGACGAGGCCGCACGCCGCAACAGCACCGATAACATGATCGGTGACAAGCACATGACTCACTTCAATCTCGTCGGAGATATCACCGACGCCAAGCAGGTTGCCGAGTTCGTCAACCTCGTTCAGCAGCGTGCCTTGGACACCCGCTTGGGTATCCCTGTCACGCTGTCGACAGACCCAAGGCACCACTTCACTGAGAACATCGGAACCGGCTTCCAAGCTGGTGTCTTCTCTCAATGGCCTGAGACCCTTGGACTCGCTGCTCTGCGAGACGCTGATCTGGTGAAGAAGTTCGCCGAGATCGCGCGAGAGGAGTACATCGCCGTTGGCATCAGGTCAGCGTTGCATCCTCAGGTTGACTTGGCCACTGAGCCACGATGGGCGCGTCTTGGAAACACCTGGGGTGAGAACGCAACTTTGACCAGTGAGCTCATCGTTGCCTACATCAAGGGCTTCCAAGGGGAGACTTTGGGATCTCACTCTGTTACGACAGTGACGAAGCACTTCCCTGGGGGTGGGCCGATGGAGAATGGCGAAGACTCTCACTTCACCTACGGCAAGAACCAGACTTATCCCGGCAATAACCTTGAGTATCATCTCATCCCATTCAAAGCTGCGATCGCCGCAGGTGCAAGACAGATGATGCCGTACTATTCCCGTCCGATTGGAACTCAATACGACCCCGTCGGCTTCTCTTTCAACAAACAGATTGTCACAGACCTGCTGAGGCAACAACTTGGCTTCGATGGGATTGTGGTCACTGACTGGGGACTCATCACCGACACTGTGATCCGTGGCCAAGATATGCCAGCTCGTGCCTGGGGTGTCGAGAACACAACCGAACTCGAGCGTGCAGCTCGTATTCTCGACGCCGGCTGTGATCAATTTGGCGGCGAGCAGCGCCCTGAACTCATCATCCAGTTGGTAAATGAGGGTATCGTCGCCGAGGAACGTCTTGACGTCTCCGTTCGTCGTCTGCTTCGCGAGAAGTTCATCCTCGGCCTCTTCGACAACCCTTTTGTGGACCCCGAGGCTGCTTCGAGGGTAGTAGGCAATGACTACTTTGCTCGCCTTGGCAATGAAGCTCAGCGCAAGGCCTACACACTTCTCACCAACAAGAACGACATCTTGCCGCTCAAGACCATCAGCACAGAGACTAGATTCTACATCGAAGGTTTCAACGCCACATTCATCGAGGCTCGCAACCTGACCGTTGTTGACACGCCTGAAGAGGCCGACTATGCGCTGATCCGCGTCAACGCCCCCTACGAGCCTCGCAGCGGAGGATTTGAAGCCAACTACCACGCCGGCTCCCTTGAGTTCAACGCCACAGAGAAAGCACGACAGGCTGCCATCTACTCAGCGGTCCCCACCATTGTGGATGTCATCCTGGATCGGCCAGCGGCTATCCCTGAAGTTGTTGATGCTGCTTCGGCAGTACTTGGAAGCTTCGGTAGTGGAACCGAAGCATTTCTGGACGTCGTTTTCGGTATTAGCTCTCCGGAAGGAAAGCTGCCTTTTGACCTTCCGCGGTCTATGGAGGCTGTTGAGGAGGCATTCGAAGACGTTCCCTATGATACGAAAGACCCTGTTTTCAGGTTTGGCCATGGGTTGAGATATGCTGATAAGTGTGCCGCGTAAATACGATCACTCATTCGGACACTTGCATGGGGGGAATAATGACAAGTGGCGGGTTGCAAGGGACGATCGCAGAAGACATTCTAAGATCTCAGAGGTTATTGGAAGGAGTAACATGTGATTAACTACAGCTTCATGTACATAGCTTGTCATTGGATTTAGACGACTTTATGAAATGGCGTGTGAAATGGCGTGATACTTATCCCTATTCTGACCTTCGAGGACATGCGTTATGTTTTACTTCGTATTGATCCTAGACATAAAGTAGTTTTCATAAATCCCAACGTATGCAATGTCATTGCATCTTCGCATTTGAATTCATCAATTGAGGGGCTTTGCCAGGGCCTGCGCTGGATGATACTTCTATGAGGGATAACGCATGCCAAGCTTGATGTAACTCCACAATCGATACCAGTCAGGCCGACGATCGACCATGCCAAGTACTTTCTTTTTGACTTCTTCGCTTTCGATGGTCTAGATATTCTCAAGCTTCAGTTACTCGATCTATCTTTGGTCTCGACGGTTGTACAGATAAAGACATTGAGCATCAAATCTCCCCATGTCTACATCACACGTGATGCCGAATATTTTCTCGCGTAAACCATCAAAGCTACTCGAAAGGCGTGAAGTTTGCACATAGCTAGTCGAATTCTAGCGACGAAGTCCAGGGCTGGTCAGGCATCATAATCGAGGCGCAAACGGAGCAACAGGTTTTATTTCTGCGTGTAAACCAGGCTCATGC